GCTCTACCACCTGGCCGGTGAGTACGACACCGTCGTTTCCATTGTCAGCCGCGCACTCAGCGAGGCCATCTCTCTTGAGATCGGCGAGGACCCCATGCGCCTCATGCCCGTCAAGCCTCGCGCTGCCGGTCAAGAGGCCGAGACCGGCAGCAGTCTCAGCCTGGCGTCCATCGACGACCCTGTCGAGCTCGCTCGCACCATGATGTCCATGTACGAACGCGACGCCATGTTCCACCGCAAGATCCAGGAGCAAAACAGGGTCGCCTGCCGTGTCCTGCTTGAGATGAGCACCATCAAGTCCCTTGTCGAAGCCGGCCAGTGGGCTCAATGTCTAGACGTAAGCCGCCTTCCCCTGATCCCCCCCATATCTATCTTGGTACCCTAAAAATAGCTAACACCATAAACAGAAAATCCGTGGCCTCGAAATACTCCCCCTCGACGCCAGCGGCGACCCGAGCATCATCCGCGCCTACGCTGCAAAGTTCTCCGGTCTCTCCCAGCCCGTCTCCATCAACGTGCCCAACCTGCTCATGTGGACCATCATCTGCTGCACGCGCCAGCGCGACCAGCTTACGGGCGGCCAGTTCAGCGGTAACGAGGGCACCCGCCGCATGATGGTCGAGCAAATGAAGCAGATGACGCTCGACCTCACCACCTACACCTCGCAGCTGCGCTACCGCTTTCCGCCGCACCTGCACGAGGCTCTGGCCAGGGCTTCTGCCGAATAAGCCCCGCCACGCGTGTGTGGCGGCGGTCATTTCAGCCGGGCATGGAGCGGCCAGAGAGTGAGCCGTTTTTTTTGGTGTACATTTAAAGCAGGGAGGCCAGAGCCGGATAGTGGAAGGAAGGGTGTCAAATGGCTCGAGGATAGGGGCGCAAAAATTTGTTTGAGTAATGCAGCACGAGTGAGAGGCTGAATAGATACCTTCGTGAGATGGACACCGCTGTACCATGATTTGCTGTGACAACTCAACGACTAGGGATGTTCCACCCTGCGAATATCAAGACACGGGAGCACCGAGGCGTAGACATGTAACCATCATCGGAGTGCACACTCCGTTGGCATTTCCTACCTGCTAATCACTTCGTCCTGGGTATTGTGGTACTACAAACAGCCAAAAATCTCTGGCGACATTGCCGGCTCAAACGCCTCCCAAATCTTTCCTCTTGCGGGAAAGCAAATCAAACGCACAAAGTCCATCGCGTCCCTGTTCTTTGGATACCCCCTCCTTAGTACCCTCGTCCACGTGCGCGTCCGCGTCCACGGCCACGACCCCGTCCTCGTCCTCTACCCCTGCCCCGGAAAGATCCTCTGCCAGACACAACCAGGGACCCGCCAATGCCACTCTCGGACTCGGACGACGAGGAAATCTCGCTCTCGGATTCAGACTCGCCAAGCCTCACTATCGTGGGACCAGTCGAAGGTCTACCGCGGCGTGCGGGCGGCGGTGGGGGGCTTGCGTCGGGGATGCCCGAGTCAGAGGAAGAAGAGGATGGTGATACCGCGGGGGCAGCAAAATCAGATGCTTCATCATTCTCGTCCGACTTCCGCCAAGGCCTGCCGACTGCGCCTGGGGGCGGAGGAGTATGATCCGAACTTGGCTCTCTCTGTCTTTCTCCGGGAGGCGAGGGCGTGTGATCCGAGCTAACTTCTCTTTGTTTGGCTGTCGCGCCAGGAGGCGGAGGTGTAAGATCCAGACTCGGCACTCTTGAAGTTTGTCGAACAGGCGATTCGGCCAATGTCACTCGCCGCTGCTGTTCGCTGTGTCCTCTAGACTGCCTCTCGGAAGATACCTGCGCCGTGGGTGGGGGTTCCTTAGTACTCCCATCTCGCGACTTACGCGAGGTGATCTTGAACTTTCCACCACGGGCTGCAACGCGAGCTGCCATGGACATCATTCTTGTTGCACCTGGAGGAGGCGGAGGCGGAGACTTATCAACAGGCTCCGTCTCTGCAGGAGCTGAGATAGCGGCCCTGTTTTTGGGTGGCCGACCACGACGCTTCTTGGGAGGCTGCAAAATAGCGTCCGCCGTCTGGGTTTCGATCGAAGCAACCAGCGCATTCGGAGAAGATACTTCTCCAGCCAACTCCCTATCGAGTTCCACCTCGAGCTCAGCCTCTATCACGTCGTCGGCCGCGTCAGGTTTGTTGTCTGAAGAGCGGTCTCGCCTTCGGGGGTTGAAGGAACTGGCTTCGTCGATAGTCACAACACGACTGAGACCAGATCGCCGAGATGCGCGTTCCTCACGCTTCTTCGCCGCAAGGTCTGTAGGAGACGGTTTTAGCACAACCGCGGCTCTTGTAGCTGATGTCGGTGTCGAGTTTGCGCTCTTTGGCGGCCTTCCTCGCCTCTTAGGCACCTTAGGCGTTTCGAGTGTAGTAGCGGCGGCGGTGGCATCTGCTGCAGCGGTTCCTTTCTGAATAAGCGCACGTATAGCGTCGGAAGCAAGGTCCAGAGGATCGCCGCTACCATCGCCAGGCTGCGGCTCGTCATTTTGGACGGGCGGCCTCTGCTTGAACGCTGGCACTATGTCGTCCGGATCTTCCGCCACCGGCTCCTCCGGCTCAGCATACGACACCTTAGGTCTGGCATGCCGAAGCGAAGGAACGTTCGCCGGATATTGAGGAGCCGGATAACCGCTCTTCGGTCGCTGTCCGTCTCCCGCCTGCGCTACCTCTTTCTCCGACTGAGCCGAGGCTTCGTTTTCAGGGGCAACGCTAGTATCGTTCGACTCAGCATTTTCAGCATTTTCCGCCTCTCCAGGAGTACCCGCGGCGCCGGAAGTAGAAGATGCACCGCCAAACAGTGCAGGGTCCATACTCGAAACATCGCCTGCATCATCCTTCTTCTGTTTCTTCTTGTGGTGGCTCCTAGGCGCATTGAAATCTGGATCAAAGTCATTCTCGTGCCTTGCTTTCCGCTTTTGAGCGCGCAGTGTCTTTTTGACAAACTCGGCCTCTTCATCAAAGACCATGGCGTCGGCAGAAGGCATCTGGAACGGATCAAATAGAATTTGATCCGGCCCATCTTGCTCATAGTACCCCATACCAAACATGCGTTGACCATCCAAGGGATCTGGATAGGCTGACTGGTCCCATTCGCCAATCGTGTCCATGTCAGCGAATGGCATTGACTGATCGTGGTCTATCTGGGACATGTCTTGGTCACCGCTGAGAGCGCCCTGGTCCTGCATTTGCACGTCGTGTCCTTCGAGAACATGGCTCTGGCCGCCGTATTCATTGGCGCCATTTTCCGCAGAGTCAGTTGGGCCATTGGCATGTTTTGCAATGTCTTCGGCAGTAATGGCTGCTGTTTCTTGAGCTTTGGCGGTGTCGGCCTTTTCTCTTAATTCCTTCATGCGCTTGCTGTTGGTGCTACGGCCCTCTTCACCTGCCGTCTTGAGCCAGTTCAAGTTGTGAACTCGAAAATCGACAAGGACCTCGACGCTTCGGTCGTCGGCAATGGCTCTGGTGTCATGGCCAAGGAGGGTGTTCTTGGGCGTATAAGGATTGGTGCTCTCCGCGCGGCGGCATGCACCACAATTGCAGATGCCCAGGCACTTCGGGCAGAGCCAGTTCTCGTTCTCTTGTACTGTCTGCGGCATCATGTCGAATGCCCGATAGAGCACACCGTAGCAGTAGCCATCTTTGCAGTCTGGGTTGGAGCATATCTGCACCTTATATGCATAATCTTTGTGACAGCATACGTGACAGCGGCGGAGATCCCCCTTCTTCTTCTTACGCTTGTACTTCTTCTTCTTTGGCTTTCCGTTATCATCAAGCTCTGGCTCGGGGTCCGATTCAGTAAGTCGCTCCTCCTCCTCGAGCTTCGAGATGTCCTTGAACGGTCGCCTGTGTAGGCCTTCTTGGCAGATTTCGGCGAGTGACTTCTTGCCCCGCCGGCTGCGAGCGATCTCAAGAGGCTGTGGTGAAAGCTCTATATCGACAAAGCCATCGTTCTTGATGACAATGGATCGCCAAAGCTCGTAGTTATCCGTCAGCTCTGACCACTGCCATTGTTCGCACCATCGAAGGTTGGAGATGCAGACACAGGACCGTCCCATGGCATAGCACTCCATGCAGACATCGTATGCGTCCTCGTCGCCATTTATTAGAGTTCGCACACAATGTTTGCATGTCAGGAACCGGTTAAAGATGTTCGATCTGCAGTACGAGCATGTGACACAAGAATCGTACTCGATGTATTCAACGTTCTTCTCCTTGGTAGCGAACATCTCGTCAACGAGAATCTCAGTAAACAACGCAAAGAGATGGCGGAAATCCTTGGCCAGCTGTTTGTATCGTGACGAAGAGCGAAACAGTTCAGATCCCAGACCGAGAATTCCCATCTCAGCCTTCTCCTCTGCTTGCACCATCTGCTCGTAATACTTCTTGAGCGTATAGTAGATGATGGCTTTATTCTTGTACTGTTCGTCGCGACATACAAGTCGGGCCTTTGGTAGAGCCTCATGGAGTGCCATGTCTAAGGTCTCGACTGTTGTCCGATTCCACGCGACCTTCATAGTGCGGGTGCCCCTGTTCCAGACCTGATGAGGAGCCAGAGGTGGGATGAGGATAAAGTCGCCAGGTTTCTGCTCGACAACGTAGACAGGGAAGGTGGCCTTCTTCCAAGCGTTAATCTGCGCAAAATGCTTCTCAATTTCGATGTCATGGCCGAGCATCGAAAGGAAGTATTCACGAACAACTTCTCGATCTTTTGTTTCCGTCATGAACCAAATGGAGCTGCCTGGCTTCTCTCCGTTTTCGCTGCCCGAAGCTTCCACCATGATGTTCTGTCCAAGGCTGGCACACATTTCACGATGCGCCGGAGTAAAGGTTCCTTCGTGACCAATGTAACACATGAGGTTCTGCGCTCGCATTTCTTCGGGCAGGCTTGACATGAGGTCGCCCGCGGGAGCCAATGTCGCTCTTTCGCCGAGACCGTGGAAGACATCGTTGTTTCGAGGATTGGCAGCTCCTTTCTGCGTGACGTTCTCATTCATATAGAATAAGTTCGGAGGGATGACCTTTTGAAGATGCTCGTGCCACTCGGGGGGCAGTCAATGTCTTTCAGGTAAAGGCGTTGCCGTCTCTCGTCTCGGTAGTTGCTCGGGGTCCATTGGTTGGTGAGCTGCTTCATAGCTCTCATGTAGTGGCCCATAGTCATCGGGATTTCGGTCTGACCGGTGATGTCGCGAACGTTTTCTTCTGCTCCAGTGTTAGCTACCGCTCGGTTGCGAGGGAAACAGTCACATGTACGCTTCTTGTCGTAGGTCTTCTCCAGCCATTCGCCACTGAAAAGCCATTGGGGAAGGACGTCATTCCATTTCTCAATGACCAGCGGCTTCCCGCCTTGAATAACTTGCAGTTGCACCAGTTTCTCGAATTCCTGAGGGCCAAGGCCCTGGATCTGCGCAGTAGAGATTCGGAGGACCCATTCGAAGTTCGGAGTTCGCTCGACGAGTGTGTGGAGGTCCAAGTCCGGAGGAATCGGATCGAACTTGGCCTGGGGATGCATTGAGGTCGGCATCTTGACGATTACGGGTCACCGTCCATGGTGGGATATCGATAAGAACGCGGCAGTCAAAGACTCATGCGTATTACGCCGAGTGTGACAGGTGCTTCAGCGTGGGCGAGACGACTGACAGCACGTCGGGCTGCCTTAGTATGAGGAAGAAGAGGCGTCCGAGAAAAGTTGCGTTGGTCGCGGCTGAAGGCGCTGCGATCGCAGGAAGGCGTGTCGCGCGTCGACGGAAAGTGGCGTCAGGCAAGGCTGACCATTACAAGGTTCAAGGTGGACGAGAGACAATAGAAAGTCAAATGCGCAGCCAATCATGCGTTGAGTGAGTGCACGGTCCACTTTCCTGCTAGTCCTTCGATAGAAGCTCTCAAATTTCGATTCTCTCAATGACAGATAGGAAAGTTGGTGAAAAGAACAACTGGAAATCAGATAACCCTGATTTCCCTAATATTGGTAAGCCCCATCATCTCATATGTTAGTTAGGAACTCGAAGGATACGAAGATCGAGGCCCCGAACCTTTGCCCCTGCAGCTTTCCATTACACATCGCGTGTAAGCAGCGCGTCTACCATACCTTTTTGAAAAGGGCCAGAGGGAGCCCATCCTTGGCGTCACCACAGGACATTGTGTACATACCTTTTTTTTTTTATTCCTATAACCCGATAAATGTGTTTCATTATAACTTCACTTCTTAAAAGCTTTATAGTTTTGGATATTCTGTCATTGAAAAGTAATACACCATAACTTGAACTAACACCACGATAGTGAGGATGAGACAAATCAGCTTGCTGAGAGCCCCCTTGCGGGTGGCACACCAGTCTGTGTTACGAACAACGGCGACTGCTTCAGTATCATCAACGTCACGACTAAGGCTACAGCTGCACAAGAGAGCGACCACGGCTCTTGCCCTTGGGAATCCGTCACACCACCAGCAGGCAGCCCTGCATACATCAAAGGAACGACTCACAACTGCCGTCACCCAGGATGCACCTGAACCACCAGCCTCCCCTGAGGCTGTCTATTCCCCGCCCAAGACAGGTATTATCTCTTACTTACCTGCGTCATGGGTTCCTTACGCTGAACTCACCCGCATGGATAAGCCGGCGGGAACCTATTACCTCTTCTTCCCCTGCCTCTGGTCGACTCTCATGGCCGCGCCAATGGCCGCTCCTATGGCTTCTCCAGGATCAGTCCTTGGGACTTCTCTCCTCTTCTTCTCGGGAGCCTTCATCATGCGTAGTGCCGGCTGCAGCATCAACGATCTCTGGGACCGCAACCTCGACCCCCATGTTACCAGGACCAAATTCCGTCCCATTGCGCGGGGCGCCCTCACTCCTTTCCAAGGACTCGCTTTCACCGGAGCTCAGCTCCTGGCCGGTCTGGGCATTCTCCTCCAGTTTCCCACCTCCTGTCTCTTCTACGGCATTCCAAGTCTACTCCTTGTCGCATCCTACCCCCTTGCCAAGCGGGTTACGTACTACCCGCAGGCCGTGCTGGGACTGACGTTTTCCTGGGGTGCGATGATGGGCTTCCCTGCTCTCGGTATTGACTTGCTCTCCAACAGCGCGGCGTTGACGGCTGCGGCCTGTCTGTACTCCTCGAATGTCGCCTGGACGATTCTGTACGACATGATCTACGCCCATATGGACATCAAGGACGATGCCAAGGCGGGTATCAAGAGTATTGCTCTGAAGCATGACGCGGAGACAAAGCAAGTTCTGACTGGGCTGGCCGCGGTTCAGCTCAGTCTTCTTAGTGCTGCTGGCTTCGCCGCAGGTGCTGGCCCAGCATTCTTCATCGGCAGCGTCGGCGGAGCGGCAGTGACACTTGGCGTCATGATTAAGCGTGTCAACCTGAAGAGCGTCAAGGACTGCTGGTGGTGGTTCATCAACGGTTGCTGGATCACCGGCGTTGTTGTCAGCCTAGGTCTCGCCGCCGATTACACTGTAAGGTATGTTCGAGACGGAAAGGAGGACGTAGAGGGCCAAAAGCAATAAAAGGCTCCGACGCAGCGAGAAAAATGTACCAACATCATCTGTATTCATAGCACATAGAATCGAATTTCCTGATTCTTGTTCACGCCCGATAACCCCGTTTTTGTGTGATGTGTGAAATGCCGCATGTCAGGTGACTTTCATGATGTTTTATTTCATCGACCAAAGTCTACCCGCAGTATCAGGACCATAACCCATTGATGCCAATGCAAGCGTAAAACTCCGAGTGCCGAATTTTCTTCCACTGCCTTCCCATGCTTCGCGAAGCCTCCCGTTTAGGATCTGGGCTTCTCCTTCTTCTCCTTCCACAGAGCGAGCAGACCGACACCAGAGACCTTGACGACCTTGAAGCGAACACCGGGGATATCACCCTTGGCCTTGCCCTTGCGACCGAAACCGGCCAGGAGGACCTCGTCGTTCTCGTCGACGAAGTTCAAGCAACCGTCGTTGGGGACTAAAAAGACGCATATCAGTAAATAGTGTTCCCATGCCACCATGGCATCCTCTTGAGCCATCGTTCCATCCTATTCGTCTCCATTTGATATTCGTTGAGGGGTGTTCGGGGGTCTATCGTACCGAAAGCAGTGACCTTCTTGCCGTTCTTGATCAACTGAACACGAACGCACTTTCGGATAGCGGAGTTGGGCTGCTTGGCCTCAACACCGACCTTCTCGAGGACGATGCCCTTGGCGTGGGAGGAACCACCGAAGGGAGAGGACTTGAAAGCAGTGCCGAGAGCGCGCTTCTTGTATCCGAGGTCGGCCCACTTCTGGTCCTTACGGTTCATGCGCAACTTGCGCGCCGCATTGAGTCCACGAGGCATGATGGCTGATGTGAATTATCGTCAGTTGCAAAGCTCCAAAGTAATATTTTTTTTCGAGGGGCAAGTCGGTGGGATTTCGTCGAGGTCGTTGGGGGAAAAAAGGAAGTTCGTCGGCGACGGGCTGCGAGTGCCTAGGAGGATGGGCGTAACGTACCGGTTTGTTGGGAGGTATCGAGAGACTTGACTTGGTGGTGGTGACTGAGCCTCTCGTGCTGCGAAAGATTGACCAAGCTACGCTTCCAGGTTGACAAACCACCACCGATTTTTTCGGAAGGGCACGAAAACCCTACCAAGGCAGGAGGGACAAATTTTGAATCACGTGAGGATGGCTCGTGCTTCCCTTGCGTTAACAAGCGGAAGAAGGCCGGGTCTGGCGACTTTAGCGGGGCACGCGCTCGCCCAATCACACGCTTCTACTCCGAGTTGAGTGTTCACACGGGGAGCCTTGACCCCACGTCTCTCTGTGAGCTCTGCCAGGGGTGACCCCTCAGGTCCGCAACTTGATCTCAAGCGTCCAGCCAATCCGATCAGATGCCATCAGCTTCGAGAGACGCTGTCTCAGATGCCAAGTCCATACTCAGGAATGTTCACGACGACACACAACATGTAGGTATGTCTCAATCAGCCAAGAGCAAAGGAAAACAGCGCGACCCTCCGCCATCCCTCTTTCTCCATCCATCTCCCGCCGCCTCTCATGCTTCGCTACCGGGTATTCTTGCGCCGGGAGCGCCGGGAGCGCCAGCGACATCGTCGGCAGGCGTCTCACCCCTACCTCAGCCTGCCTTGAATCTGCAACGCAACGGATCTCTTCACACTGGCTCCGTGGTCACGCCGTCTGTTGCTCGTCCTGCCCGGAATCTCAAGACATCCGCCAGTACCCGGAGCACCGACAGGACCGACGCTCTATGGGCCGAGATGCAGGCGACGCTCGAAGAAGTAGAGTTGTCCGCGTCAGGTGGAACTCACGTCTTTGGCCCGGATCACGACCGCAAACTAGAGGAGCTGAGGGCAGCCCAAATTGCTCTGGCACAGGCCTGGGCACGAAGCGAGGCGGACGAGGCCATTGAGATGACGGGACAGCGTTCCAGCACATCAGCAGCCGGAGAGGAAGTTCGTAACCTCAAGGGCGCGGTCTTGGGAGAGACGGGCGTGACACCAGACAGCAATGAGGGTCCACGAAGCACAGGAAGCAACAGTGGTCGCCCAGGCAGCAGTGGAGGCACAGAACGCCTTGGTGCTAAGCTCGAGCAAGAGACGGAGGTGGACATCCTGCTGGCACGAAAGAGGCGCGAGGCCAACGATCGGTACTTCCAACGGGTCAACCAGGGCGTTATTGACGTCGTTGCCAAACTCGAGGATGTTGCTGTTGCAATGCGAGCTGTCGAACAAGAGACCAAGGACATCTGGGGCGAAAACGATAGCATGGCAGGCAGTGCAAAAGGGTAGAGTCCTCGGAGGGTCATGGGGCTCTTCGCGACGACGTACGGTATCGGCAGTCTGCATTACACCGATGCTGTTTTCTCGACAATTTGGGGGTTGGAGTTTGTTATTTGGGGTTCATGAATCGGCGTTGAGGATCACATGCACGCCCATGGAGAAGATGGGAAGACATCCATGCAAGGTCGCCTAGACAAGGCGGGTTCTGTACCTCCTTAACGGCCACAAAGAGTAAAAAATAATCATGCAACGAATGTTTCGATTTGCTCGATGACAGCAGCTGTGATGAGACCAATGTGTTCTGTAGGGTCTTGCAGGGTGTTCAAACAAATACACCCTTGGAGGCCGCTACTCCCGTCCTCGGTTGCGCCGGCGGGAGGAATGCAGATAGTAATTACACACGAGTCGGGTGACGACAGACAACCATCTATACACCCATTTCCCCAACCGGCTACATCAATGTCACCATATTCGCTAACTTGTGGCCGGCTCGCAGCGGGACCTGCGGGAACACCGAACGGCCGATAGTGCCATCGAAGCCTAGGTGATTGCATCTCCGGGTTCAACGTGGTAATCCGGTCAATGGCCACAACGCCACGACGCAACGGCCGATGAGGTGGTGAAGTGAGTGTTTGTCTGAGAGCACCACATCAGACCGGGAGGTAATGTGGCCTAGGTTTCGTGGGACCTTCCAGACAGGGAGTGCTTGACTCTTGATAGGACGAAGGAACAGGACGCAGAGGGTGCAGCGATGTGGGAACTTCTGTTGCACAGTCGTAACTGGAAAGCTACGCCAAGACCGTCGCCACCAAGAGTCGAGAGTGAGACGGAAACGATGGCCAGAGATGGGACGCACATGTGCATACAGATTGCTAGCGTCACTGTTGTCCCATCACTGCCGGTTCCCACCGCAGTGATGGCTGCTGGTTGGAACCTGGGAGATGGAGGGGCTGAACCCAATGACGGTGCTCGACAGGTCACCTGTTAAGCCAATAGCCAGCTGGGACGGCCTTGCTTTTGGGGGATACCGTTGGTACCGACGGGGCAGGTGTTAAGGAAGGTTCGGCTGGTTACTGCCAATCTAGGTACCTGCCGCGCTGTGTCTCCGTCCGTTAAGCGACGAGCCTATGACAAAGGCGGCCGGATATCAATATCCAAGGTCCAGTCCGTTACCGTCTAGCCTGAACTTGCTCCTTGCATCCACCCATCCTCACCAACCCGCCATTCACATTCTCCAGCAAAGAACGATTTAATACCCGCGAACTCCCCCACAGGACCCCTAGGTGCCTTCGTCTACATCCAGCCTTTCCTGAAGCATACCGCTATTTCGCCCATTCCCGATATTGATCGATACCCGACCGCACCGAACGTACCACCACCGATACATAGTGCCTACTGTCGCACCCAAAGCTTACGACAACAAACAATCTTGGAACCCGTCTTACTCGACAACCCCAAATCCCTCAACCCGCCATCATGAGACCCTCCGCGTTCCTCGTCGCCGCTCTTGCCGTCGTCCCCGGCGTCCTCGCCGTCGACCAGATGAAGTCCGTCATCATCTGGGCACAGTCCGACTCTATCAGTGACGATATCATCGCAAAGGCCAAGCAGTCCATTATTGACGCTGGTGGCCAGATTACCCACACCTATTCTCTCATCAGGTAAGCGATGCTGTCGTGCAATGCGGGCGCTGCGTCACAGAAGCTAACATAATGCCAGGGGTTTCGCTTGCGTCACTCCCGTCAAGGTCCTCGAGTCTGTCCAGGCTTTCAGCGAAGGCCTTGTAATCGATGAGGACCACACCGTTACCGGCTCGTAAGCAACGCATCATCAATCGAAACGGATACATCAACCCGCCAGCAAAACTTGCGACACGATTCTTGCGATGCGCGCGACTAAGAAGGATACGACAACGTGTGAAAAAGACTTTGGCTGGACTAGGTCACGAGGACAATGATATCCGCCCCCCCTTTCCCTGGTGGTTTCGACAGGGACAGGCAAGGAGGCACTTACTTTCCCCATTTTCGTCATAGACGGTTTACCCACTACGGAGTCTAGGAGTTTGCGACCGTTTCATCAGTGTCTTCGGGCATCCTTTTATGTAGGGCTGCGAGAAGGCTTTGGCCGCGTATGGCTGAATTCTTTTCCAAGCTGCAAATCAAACAAAACCCAATATCAATTTCATGGCATTACCTACCTATCCATGACTCAAGCTGGACTGATGGTTGGGCCTGCGACTCCTCCTAGAATAATGGAGGCTCACCGTTGTCCAAGGATCGACGTCATGTTGCTTACGGCCGAGGGTTGTCGTTGTAAAGGCCAGAGCCGAATGCGGCTGATAACCACATGGGCGAGGCATTGATGACATATCCGGGCCTCGTGGGCACATCTAACCCTCCTAGGACCAATTCTCGGGCGATGTGCCTGATGAGTGGGGAGAAATCGTGAGCGAAAGGCAGGTGCGCAGATCAAAAGCGGATTTTGAGTCTTCTAGCCTGTGTTCCTTCTCCACTGCCAGCCCGGGATCGTCAATCGATTTTTGATTTTTTTGGTAAAGGACAAAAATGTCACTGGACAGCTGCGATCTCAGCTGGACAAGTTGAAGCATCGTCTTGGAAGCTGCTCTCTGCAGGTGCTTGATCGCAGTGCAACAGGACGACCTGAGGTATAATAAACCCGGGTGGTCCCAAGAGGACGAGAGACGGTGCATCAAATGCCCGCGCAATGCTCTAACTGCGCTAGGCAGAATAGCTCCCGTCCATGTCACAGACGAGTCAAAGCGCACTGCACGAGGATGATATCAGAGGCTCAATAACGAGCAAGACGCAGTGACTCTAGGTCTTCAAATCGAGAGGAGGGCCTCCTAAGAGGGGCTAGCAACTCGATCCTTCAGTCTCGGTTGGTTCGTTGGACATGCACAGAGCCGTTGAAAAGGGGCTCAAAGCAATCCGGTGCAATCCTACGATGGGTGGATGGCAACCAACCAACCTCTTCCCAACCGTTGCTGTCAATATCACCTCAGATCCGGCCCAAAAAGCTGCTCTGACGGGCACGGGAGAGTGGTATCGAAAAGAGGACCAGTCACGGCGAACCTCGAAGATATGCAGAGCAAGTCTGCCTCGAGGACACAACTGTTTTTCTGCTTTCTTCTTCTCGTCTTTTTTCTTTTACCGTGTTCGATGTTGTTGACAAGAAACGGTTTCAACTGTGGTTGGGTTCTTCGAAGACGGATGGCATTGTCCAAGAATTAATGCGAATGTGGAACAACTTCGTTGTTCTTTCTGTTGGTGTCATTTAACCCATCAATACTCGAGCAGAGACAACCCAACCTTCTTTCGGAGGCAACGAAAAGCAAAGCCGTCGGGATTTACGATGTGCTAATGCAAAGCCACAAGTCAAAGAACCCCGAATGTCAAGCCGTTGCAGCTCGTGTTTGGGTCCTTTTTTCGGTATGAAGTACACTACGTGCCGGCATCCAGCATTGCATTCACCAGGGGTCGGCGACTCAAGAGTCAGTACCGGTAGTCAAGCTGTCAGTGGTCACTGAGAGGGCTTGGTTCGAGATGAGAGCGGCCGCCCCACTGTCGCATCCTGGACTTCCGTCCCGCTTCGCGTCACTTCGAGTTTCGGGCTTGGGGGCGGGAGGTACCTTAATAAAATGATGTACATACATAATGTCTTCTTGCTGGACGGCGAGAGACGATTGTAGGTACTGCCCACCAGCCCCCTTTTTGCCAGAGGACTGTCTGAGATAAGGTGCATGCACTAGGTACCGTACAACGGCGGTAGTTGCGCACTACGCGCACCGAGACAAATTTCCTTAGCTGACTGCTGCCAATCGATAAGAGATGAGCTCGATGTAGGTCGGCCAACCTATGCAAGATTGAGTGTGGATTCGACAGAAACGGAACGACAGGAACAATGCACCTGTCTTGGAAAGTTTGGGATGATAACCACGGCACCAACTAGAGTCGAGACACGAGAGACAAAGGCACCTCTCGAATTTCCGGCCCTTGTCTTCGACTGTGCGCAGACAAGGCTCTTTTCTGCATTCCTTTCACCGCCCTTCCCGCGGAGAGAGGCCATTCGACTCTTGACTCCGCGACCTGAACCTTTAATAACATCCTTCCTTGCCCCTAAATCTGCCGGCCCCTTTGCGATGCGAGCTTGCCGGGCCCATGGAACCACAATTCCCCTACCGCTTTGACTCTCAACCACCACGAACCACGATACGACGCCAAACATAGTGGAACCGGAGGAGAGACCATCTCACTTTCCCACGTGCTGCTCCCCATACAATCATCAAACCCCCCATAGACATCTTCGCCCAGGAATAACCGACGAAGAAACGACACACGACGAACACGACGACCGACGACGCACGTCACGACCCAGTAGACGGGGGCATCATGCCGTACTCAGAGAGCGCGCAGGCCGCGCTGGTGCAATGGGTAAGTCGGCGTCCTCGAGCTTCCCCTCCAGACAGCATCCCTAATTTCCCCGTCACCTGTGTCATATCCCCCTCCCCATTGTGCTTGCTCCATGCTGCTTTACTGTCACGATGTGTTATGCTGACCCATTACTTTTTCACAGGCGAACACATTTCCCCTTGATAAAAAAGCCGACTCGATAACGGATTTCCTCGATGGCCACCTCCTGTCCCAGGTCCTCCAGGACCTGGACCCCTCCTTCGACTCCAACACTAGTGAGGGCGAGCTTTACGACGTCTACAAAGGCATCACTAGGCTAGTTTACCGCGAGTGCCCCGGCCTCATCCGCCAGACCAAGCTCGCCGATATCCGCCCCAGGGCGAGAGAAGCACAACCCGAAGCCATCAGCAAGGTATGCTCCTACCCGGGCCAGTCCCGGCGTCGTCGACGTGAACGCACAATCCGGCTAACAAGGTGTGCCTCACAGCTTCTCGCCGTGCTCTTCGCCATAGCGATGCTCGGTAGCAACAACGAGCGATACGTCATGCGAATTACCCGCGACATTACAGACAAAACGAACCTTATGCAGCTGCAACGGGTTACACAGGACATGAAGACAGCGATGGACGAGGCCGAGGCTCAGGACCTGGAGGAGGCCTCAGAGGTCGGTCACGAAAGCCACGATGCCGACCTTGCCATGGAGGCTGACAACATCCGCCTCCGCTCTGATCTGGACAAGAAGGGAAAACTGCTGGCAGATATGGAAACACGCTTGGGTCACTTACAGGAGAGCTACGACGACTTGAAAGAGGAGGTTGTGCGGAAGGGCAGAGAGCTGGAGGCGTTCCACAGTGCCCAGGATGGTGCTGGAAAGGAGGTCATCAGATCGTTGGAGCTCAAGCTGCGCGAACAAGACGAGCTTATTGCCAACCAGGAGGCCCAGGCCGAGGACGATCGCATCACCAAGGAGCGGTTGATGAGTGAGGTCTCGGCGCTCAAGTCCAAAACCCAGAAGCTTGAGACCCTTGACGACGAGGTGAAGGAGCTGCGGTTCAAGAACGAGGAGCTTTCTCGCAAGGCCAACATGGTGGAGCGGTACAAGCAGAAGCTCGAGGCACAGTCCACATTATCAAAGGAGATGGACAACCTGCTGTATGAGAAGGAGCAGATGCAGCGCGACCTAATCGAATACGAGAAGGTCCTGAAGAGGAACCAGGCGTTGGAGCAGACCAACGAGCAGTATGCTTCCAAGCTCAGAGACTATGAGCTGCAGTACGTTGAGCTGGACGCACAGCGGAGGGCTCTTCACGACGACACTCAGCAGTTGAGAGCCCGTCTGGCGACTCTCGACGCTCAGCGTCTCTCTGATGAGCGACTAATCGCCGAATTGCAGGACCAGATCAACTCCGGATCACAATCGGCTTTGTCGCCCGATGCTGGGACCGCAGGCTTCAGTCTCGAGGAGGAGCTCGAGGGTGCTGGCGGTAGCGCCGCCCCTAACCCTGCACTCGAGATCTCGCGCCTTAAGGCTGAGAACAACCTGCTTCGTAGCGGTATGGGCTCCGCTTCAGAGAACGCTCGGCTACGACAAGAGCTTGAGGAGGAGCGTAGGCAACGGGAGCGTATCCAGGGAACTTATAACGACACGTTTGAGAAGCACCAGCTTGCGGAGGCACAAATCAGTGCTCTGATCGAGAGCAGCGGCCAAAAGTTAGTGAAAATTGTTGACGAAGCCATGCGACTAGGCTTGGGTAGAGTGCTAACTCAAGACTACTATCACAGCGAAGTACTAGCCAACCTGAGGATCCAAATTGCCCAGAAGACACACGAACTTGAAAGCGAAAAGAGACGACTAAACGAGGTTCAAGCGCAGCTGGCAGACAAGGATCGCGAGCTCCTTAGCGCGAGAACCGATCTCTCCGCCGTTGCGAAGGACAGCGTCGAAGCCCTCGAGGAACTCAAGTCTACTGACCAGCTCATCTCAGGGTCCATCAGGGAGGAACTCGAGGCCGCGCGCCAACAGCTCAAGAACCTTGGCACCGACCTTGAAGAGCAGCGCAGTTCACTCATCAACGCCCTGCTTGAGAAGGACAAGTTGCGCAAAGACCTGGACGAGGCCAAGGAGGGACGGCAAGACGGAGCTGAGCCCACCGAGGTCGTCCAGAAGCTTCAGGACAAAGTTGAGAAGCTACGCGTCAGACTCAAGGAGCGCACGTCGGTGAGTAAACTCCACAAATCCTTCATTCCGCGACAGCCCGAAGTCGGCGTACCCAAGATGCCTGCCGTTCCCTCGGACGCCGTCTTGTATGACAGCAACCCGAATTTTCGGGCCAGAGCTCCCTCATGCCATTCCCACGTCCATCTTCCTATCCAGTCGGGGTTCGCGCAAGAGCCTAAGAAGAGATGGTGGAAGAGGATGTTTGGACGGTCAGGGATACGTTTCGATCTTAAGCGTTGATGCGATCCTTTATGGACACTTTGTACGACGTGTATGATATGATGCGGTTATGGCTGACAGTTGTTTCTTCTTTCAGCAATTGGAGAAGTCGGAGCAAGACAAATACGACTTGCAGCGGAAGCTTAAGGCAGCCGAGGGCGGGGAAGCCGCCGCAGCGCAAAAGGTACGTTTCCAATCCATTTGGATATCAGTGATACATGACGAACCCTTGATTATCTTGTTTTCTAAGAATTGTTCTTGTTCTCGTCATGATGTTGTGAGATTGAAGGGTCCTCGAGCTAACGATTTCGAAAAGGCTGCGAGCGACCAAATCATCAAAAATCTCCAGCGCGAGAACGCCCTCATCGCCACGGCGTGGTACGATCTTACCAGTCGTATCCAGAGCAATCACGTCGTGCTGCAGAGGCGCAATGAAATGCCCAAGAGCTGGCTGGGTAAGCAGAGGCAGATGGTCAACGGTAAGTTCCTTCTCTTCGCCCTAATTGTAGTTGTTTAGGACTGACGGGAGAAAACTGTAGCTACTCCTAGGAGATGAAGCGACTTTACACCTGCTTGGCGTTGTACCCGGCCCCTGCATAACATTTGACGACTCAGGTTCCCCCTTTGTAAATACATTACTTCTCATCACACCTTTTTCGTCACCTTTGTCGCCTGGCTTCACCTGACGTTACGCTGGGTAGGAGAAAGCACCGTGTCGTTGGCCTTTGCTGTCTTTTGTCCTTTGGGTTTCTTCTTTCCTCAGCCCGGTTTCTTCTTCTTGGCGAAAACATAGGGGATGGACGGCTTGTGGCTGGCCTGCATCTTGGGAATAGGAAGGCATTGCATTGCACTGCGTAGCAGCTTGGGCGGTATTTTCTCTTTTTTTGTCGTCGCGGGGTCTCCTTTCTTTTCGCTTCTTACGTGCGAACATTGCAAAGTCTCCTTACTCCTTTCTCGCCGTGCTACCCTATCTCCTTTGCCTTTGTAATATAACTACTAGCGTCTGGGAGGTTTACAAGCCGTACTTGGGTTTAGAAAGAATTCAGTATAAACACACCCTCGGTTCTCTGGCTTTGCATCCCATGGAGCCATGCGACCCACGCTTTGTTTTTGCTTTTCCTTTTGCTGTCACAGGAGCCCGTCTGACGTACGCGCCTGCTATGGACAGAGCCACCGATTTTCGGGCCGTCTATGAACGGTAACCGAACATCCCGGAGATGCAACACATTGTCTCAATCACTTGACCCTCGGCTCAGGCGGACAACGTTGGATGAGTGAGCAATGACGACGAAGTTGCGGGCGCCGGCTGCTGCGCTCAGGAGACGACGGGAAGTCGGGGAAGGCGGCCCCACTGTTTTCGCCTCTTTGAGAAGCACCGACAAAGCCTGAATGCGGCCAGAGTGTTCCTTTACGCGTCCGGCCACCCACCCACAACGCGTTGTCACGAAATGTTGCACGTGGAGAGGTTCCTTGGGTAGAAATGGTTGGCCATCCAACTGCAAACCGCCGGTTATGGTAATTAGTGAGACAGTAAAGTTGTGTTTTTACATACAAGCGTGCGATGAGGGTTTTTCTACACGATACAACTGGTCCTTGACGGGGGTTGGGGAGAGAAAATGCGAGAAGTCTGGCCGCGTCGAACGCCAAAAATGAAGCCAGCTTGCTTCAATTCAAGCAGCAAGGACGGGGAGTGACGAGGATGAATCCCTTTCCAGTCCGTTTCATGATCCATAAAAAGTTCCATAAAAAAGTTCCTCCGATCCACGCCCTCCTTTTCCCGGCCGTGGATTCCGAAGGCGATAATGCATCACAGGGGGGAGGCCAAAAACAGGACGTTGCGAATAAACCCTCTCGTTTTCTTCGTGGTCACTGCGCGCAGGGCGGTGACAACCAGGGCAGCGGCGTCGCGCGCGGGGGTTGAGCAAGGCTCTTCAAGCCTTGCTCGTCTAGTTCTTGCCAGCAATGCGGCTGAGAATACCGGAGGCGTGGCCACCCTTGCGCTGGGAGTCGAAGATTTCGAGCATGTTCTTCCAGACCTGGCCGGGCTCTTGCGAGGCGTCGATGCCCTTCCAGATACCGGTCTGCTTGTAGTAACCGACGACCGGGGCGGTCTGGGAGTGGTAGGTGGACAGACGCTTCTTCAGGGCCTCGGCGTTGTCGTCGCTGCGCTGGATGAGGGGCTCGCCGGTAACGTCATCCTTCATGTACTCCTTGGGAGGGTTGAAGGTGCTGTGGTAGCTGCGGCCGCTAGCGGGGTGGACCAGGCGGCCAGTGATGCGGGCGACGAGCAGAGAGTCGTCGATCTGCAGCTCAACAGCGTGCTGGAGCTTCTGGTCGCGCGCCTTGAGCATAGCGTCGAGGCCCTCGGCCTGGGGGACGGTGCGGGGGAAACCGTCAAGGATGAAGCTACGATTGTCGCGGTCAGCAAATGCTCTCACGTCGTGGTGTCCGGAAGCCTTCCGGTCGTCCGTCCGGCTCCGACACGGCAGAGAAAAGCGCCATACCCTCCCTTGCACTCCTTGTTGTTCTCCAACTCCTCCTTGATCATGCCAATGACAATGTCATCGCTGACAAGACCACCTTGGTCCATGATCTTCTTGGCTTCCCGGCCGAGCGGAGTCTTCTTGGCGACCTGGGATCGCAGCATGTCGCCAGTAGCCTGGAGTTGGAAATCCACAGTCAGAAAAATAATACAGAGCACAGCAGCAAGCAAGACGAGGCCAATTGACTTACCAAGTGGCAGCAGTTGAACTTCTCCTTGATCTTGGGAGCTTGGGTGCCCTTGCCTGTGCGGGAACATCAGCAATCAGCATCACCGCGACGTAACAGCACGTGCGAAAAGGCACTCAATTGGAGCTACGTACCGGCACCGGGGGGGCCGATGAGGATCATGCGAACCTCCTCGGTGGTAGGCTTGCCAGAACCGCCGGCGGCGCGGTCCTCCAGAGACTTAATTCTGGACTCGAGGCTCTCGACCGTGCTGGTCAGCTTCTTGACTGCTTCCTCAACGAGACTGCTCATTTTGACGGCTTGTGAAGGTGTTGGTATGGCCGGACCGAGGCTAACGGAAGGGGAAGGGAGGAGGAGCGAAGAGATGCAAGAAGCAAGAAAAAAGAGGCAGAGAGGAGAGGAGAGGGTGATGGAGTCGAGGTTAAGAGGATGGAAGGACTGGGGAGTAAGTGCGAACTAAAGCCTTGCGGGAAAAATAATTGCGAAAGAGGTTGAGAAATCGTTGCGAGGTCCTGGCTGGCCAAGTCGCCCAGGTTCCGTCTCCAGTTGTGCCAGGTACCACCTACGCCGTACCGAGCTTTGCGCCTGTTGCTTTCACCTCCCGGCTCCCAGTGCCTGCTTGTCTGCGAAAGTGGTCCCGTTGAGTGCAGGTGACAGGCCACCTAGCGGCCCCGGTGCCATTATCGACGCTGTTGATTGGCCAGCTCTGGACGCTGGGGACCGCTGGGCGTTCTGCTGGGGAACAGGGTGGCAGGCGTTCGTTCGGCTGTTTCGCAGCGTAACAGCGCCCTCCATATTTCCGCCTTGGTGCCACTGGTCGCGCTTCCGTTACAGCGCTCAACGCATCATTGGTCGGCGCTCGCCGTTGCCTCTCCGCCGAGGTCCAGCGCGGATACGTACCGTCTACATCGGGGGATAGTAACGCGAGGATTGGTCCTGCGAGCTAGGTAGCTTGCGGATAAGAGACAGCACCAGAAGCTCTCCAAAGGTGCCCCCGGCGCACCGGATGGTACGCCTTCATGGTATGAGGTCACTGGGTCAGGTTTTTTGTGGTTGGTGCCCACGGCTTCGAGGTGCTTTTGGTGCCATCTTGGCGCGACATGTGAGCCTCTTAGGGGAATCCCAGTCACCCGCAATTCTCCGAACGCCTCAATGGCTTCGTGTTCAGCTGTTACTAGTCACTTGGTCTAGATGGAATAAAATCCGACGTCAACTTTTGGTGGTTCCTTACTCAGTCATGCCAGTGAGCATGGAATGGATGGATCCAGCTGGGCCGACGCCGGACTCGGCTATCCAGGGCGCATCTTCAATGTTTGATGACTAAGGATTTCCACATGCTACCTAACACTGTGGCACAGGCCGAACTGTGGCTAGTGTCATTTTCCTGCTTTCGGTCAAAGACATTGCGGCTTCCCCGTGCTGACTGTACAGAAACACACGTGATCTGGCGAGGCTCGAGCTTTGCTAGCACCTAGGCCCGATTCGTAGCTAAGCTGGGCGGGAAGGCAGCCTCAGCAGTTACGACACCACCACTACCTTGCAACACCACACTACAAACCAAATCCACCGCCGCCTCGCCAAACCTCCTCCATCTCCTCACGATCCTGAACCCAATCAACCTCACGAAGCTACGACAACACCCCTATCATGCCTGCCACCACCGCGGAGACTCTGTCTCTCGTCCAGCGGAATGTCTCCGTTGCCCCTCTCGTACTTCTTTCCGTTGTCGACCACTACAACCGTGCGGTAGTCAAGGGATCGAAACGAAGAGTAGTGGGTGTCCTGTTGGGTTCAAATGATGGCAACAACGTCCGCGTATCCAACAGTTTTGCAGGTATGCGCGCTTTGCCTGTTTGCGAATCATGAGTCCGGCTCCCAGGAAGCTGACCAACCCGTGCAGTGCCTTTCGAGGAAGATGACAAGGACCCCTCAGTGTGGTTCTTGGACCATAACTACGTCGAGGGAATGAACGACATGTTCAAGAAGGTCAACGCAAGGGAAAAGCTGATCGGCTGGTATCACTCCGGCCCTAAGCTGCGGGCATCCGACCTCGAGATCAACGAGCTCTTCAAACGCTACAACCCCAACCCTCTCCTAGTCATTATTGATGTCCAGCCGAAGGAGGCGGGTGTGCCGACAGATGCGTACTTCGCCGTGGAGGAGATCAAGGATGTGAGTGCCCCATCATTGCGCAACCGGGGCCTTGGACTAATTAACACGACTGCAGGACGGCACTACCACGTCACGAACCTTCGTCCACACCCCGTCGATTATCGAGGCCGAGGAAGCAGAGGAGATTGGTGTCGAGCACCTCCTCCGTGACATTCGCGACGTCGCGGTTGGAACTCTTTCAACGAGAATAACAAACCAGCTCCAGTCCCTCCAGGGACTGCACCTCCGCCTCCGCGATATTGGCGCATACCTTCAGAAGGTCCTCGAGGGCCAGCTCCCCGTCAACCACGCCATCTTGGGCAACCTCCAAGATGTTTTCAACCTCTTGCCCAACCTGTCAACGCCAAAGGGCGACGGCAAGTCGAGCGGCGGCGAGCTCTCCCACGCCATGAGCATTAAGACCAACGACCAGCTCATGGCCATCTACCTCAGCAGTTTGATCCGCGCCATTACGGCCTTCCACGACCTTATCGAGAACAAGATCCAGAACCGGCAGCAGGCGGAGGAGAAGGAGGCCAAGAAGGACGAGGCGAACGGCAAGGACGAGAAGAAGGACGAGAAGGCGAACGGTGTCAACGGCGAGAACAAGGAGACGTCTGACAAGGACAAGGAGGCCAAGGAGAAGAAGAAATAGACGACTACTTGGTGACGTAGCGCACGGGGGAAACACAACACTCACACGGGAACTGATACCCGCGATAGACATTGGGACGTGGGCATGTCATAATATCTCGGCGTCCAGGAGGGCAGGCCGGTGGGGAACAGGCATATTCGCAAGAAAAGAGTGTGCCTTGTACAATGATAGCATGTTTTGACTGATGATTCGGAGGTGTTCTTATTTCGTTGTTGGTCTCGTGATCAAGTCAGACCTCGGCGACCAACCCCGCCATCTCCTCCCTGCTCACTCTCCTCTCCGTGACATACTTCCCCAGCGCATTCCCCCACTGCTCAGACAGCAAACAGGCAAGCAAGTGCTTGCAGCAGGGCACGCCACCAATATCTATCCCGTCCAGGCTCAGGCCTCCAAATTGCCAGTCACCCACTCCGCCCTCCCCCTCGGAGTCCTCAGCCGCATCGGCTTCCATGATTTCGTCCTCGAGGCCTCCTCCCGCGGTAGCAGCACCAGCCGCACCCGCACCGGCAGGAAATGCTTCAAAGGCAAAGTTGGCGCACGTACAGTTCCAGGCGTCGAGCCGGACGAGGTACGTAGTCAACGCCGAGGCCGATGTCGCAACGGCGTGACTCCGGCGGGACATTGTCGAAGCCACGGAGCGGACGAGGTGGAATGCGGCCGGGGACGGTCGGGGTTCCTTCTTGGGGTGTTGAGGGCTCTGAGAAGGGAAGGGTGGTGAGGACCCCTGGCCATCGGCGGCGGCGGCGGCGGCGGCAGCGTCGTGGGCGCGCTCGGGGGAGTGGTGATGGTGGGCGGGTGCGGGGTTGGCGGGGTCGTTTCCCTCCCGCCCGCTGCCGCCGCTGGGCGAAGCGAATTCCGGGACCACACGGGTGACGAGGTTACGGTCCAGGAGGTCTAGCGCCGGGAGGACTAGGGACGGGAAGAGGACGTGGAGGGTGACGAGGAGCGGACGGTGGGATTGCGGGAGGGATTTGAGCGGGTTTTGTGTGTCGCCTCCGCCGCCTGCCGGGACTGTGGATGATGACGGTGGTAGGAGCGAGGCTGATGCGAGGGAGTTGATGAGGTTTGTGATTACGATTCGAGGTGCGGGAAGGCGGGTCGAGGGTGAGGGTGTTTGCGAGAATGCCATTATGCTCGCGTTGGGGCTTGTCTGCAGGCTGTGGTCTGTAAGTGAGGAGGTTGAAGTTCAGTCGCTCACGGGTGGTGAAAATGACTGCGAGCTATTGTGTTCTTTGGGCTCGGAGGTACCTCATTGAAGCTAACTTTATATCTTATGCCTTTTTCTATTTTAATTAGGAATAGTCGAGGGGATTTCAAGAGATGTTCGTCTCTGAGTTCTCGTCCCTTAGATCGTTCCACACTGTGGTGATGGTAGCCTAAGTAAGTCTCAATACGGCATATTCGGTGCACGGATAGACCCCAAAAGACAAACAGATAAAAAAAGCTCTTTGTGAGTTTTGCCGCCTTAAGGCTTTTGTCTAATCGCATTATGTACGCCGCAAAAAGGCATAATAGTACAGCAAATATTCGCTCGAATCCATTGCTCCATATCCAGTATTTCCCCTTCTGCTCTATTCCTGATTCACTCTACACCCACTCCTTGGGGGCTCTGAGCACATCCACGAGGCGCTGCTCGCGGCTCTTGGGCTCAGGCTCGTGCATGTACTTCCAGCTCGCCGTCAGGGGCAAGCTCATCAGAATACTCTCGACCCGCGAGCCGGGGGTGTTGAGGCCGAAGGCGGTGCCGCGGTCGTGTACCAGGTTGAACTCGACGTACTTGCCGCGGCGGATCTGTTGCCACTCCTTCTCGGCCTCATTAAAGGGCATGTCCTTGCGCTTCTCGAGGATGGGGATGTAGCCCGGCAGGAAAGACTTGAGGCAGTCCTGGATAAAGGCAAAGGTGTTCTCACGGTCCTTCTCGGTCTCGTCGAGGTCGTCAAAGAAGATGCCGCCGATGCCGCGGCACTCGCCGCGGTGCTTGTTGTAGAAGTACTCGTCGCACCACTTCTTGAAGCGCGGGTAGTAGCTCTTGTCATGCGCGTCGCACGTCTCCTTGAGCGTCTTGTGGAAGTGCACGGCGTCCTCGTCGAAGAGGTAGGAGGGAGTCAGATCGCTGCCACCGCCGAACCACCAGGCCTGTGAGGTACCGTCGGGGTTCGATGTCTCGAAGTAGCGGTAGTTGAGGTGGACGGTCGGGGCCATGGGGTTCTTGGGGTGCAGGACCATGCTGAGGCCGGCAGCGAAGAAGGGGAGGGAGTCGACGTTGTCGTCAACGCTCTTGTGGTTCACGCGCATCTTGGCGATGGCGGGCTTGGGGAGATTGCCGTAGACGACGGACACACCAACGCCACCCTTCTCGAAGACTTTGCCGTCCTGGAGCACACAGGTGATGCCGCCGCCGCCCTCCTTGCGACTCCATTCGTCCTTGCGGAACTTTCCGCCATCGACCTTTTCGAGCTCCTTGACGATGATCTGCTGCTGCTCCTTAATGAACTTCTCCATACGCAGGCGCATGGGCGAGTCGACGGTGATCTCGGCTTCCCGCTTGGTCATGGCATCGCGCTCGGCGAGAGTCGGCGGGTCGAGTTGGAACGGTTCCTGAACGGCCTTGATCGGGCAAGAGGTGTTAGCATTCCAGGAAGCTCAACGGGGTACGGAAACGCCAGCAAGGATGTTGGCGTCGGTGAGGAGGAGCTGCGGTACCATCTTGTAGGCGAGGGGTGCTGCAGCAGCAAGACCAATTGCTCCAACGATAAAGCGGTTGTATGATGCGCCGGATGATTGGCCCTTGAATTGGGATTTTGCGGAAGATGAGGCGAGTCTGCGACCCGATTGAAGCTGCTGCGGGTTGGTGATGGCGATTCTGGAACGGGAGTTGCTAAGTTGTGCAAGCAACCTTTGCGTGTGCCTTGTGAAAGCCATGGTGGGCAATCAATATAAATACAAACTATAACGGAATAGTAAAGGAAAAAAAGAGCGACTTGGGTGGTAACGGGACAATCGGACGATTCTTTCGAAGTGAGAAGTATAAGACCACTGGGAAGCAATCATGGACTGACTGGACGTCGTTCGAGTCAGTCAGGCCAGCTGTAAAAGTAAATTCCGAAATCGTTCCACGTTCAATGGGCGGAACCCCGGTCACTGAAGTGACGGCGCAGAGCTAGACCATCTGGACCCTCCAGTTGGGAGGTGGGGTGAGGCGCACGTTGCTGCCGAACGCCGGAGACGCTGCGTTGTGCAGTGGAAGCCCCTGTAATCGCAGCTACCGTTGCTGGGCGTTGCGTGCCTGAGGTGCGGCCCCGGGCTCGGCGCGCCATGCAACCTCAGGATCATCTGCCCCTATCCTCTTCCCTATCGCCTCGACTGCTCCTATCTCGTCTCCGCTGGCACTGGACGAAACGAGGGAAGGGAGTTTAAAAAGGAGTATGGCAAATTTTGACCGGCTTCTCTTGTCAATTGCACGCTCGGCTTTACCATTCACTCGGGCAACATAGCTTCCACAGCTTCCACAGCTTACAGCGTTGCATTCACATCCCCGTAGGTAACCACAAGCACCAGAGTGCTAGATGACAATACAGTTACGCTTGTGTCTTATCCCCTATCATGTGTTCTCTCTACCTGGATTTTTACGTCTGCAGCTATATTGCGTTATTTTCTTACCCTATATTTAGGTTTAACGAGGCTGTAATTGAGAAGAGTTAACATCCCGCGTCTTGGGCCAACTTTGGATTCGCTTCCAAGAGCTCCAGAGACCCGAGGTCGGTTATCGGAGGTCTAATATGGAGACCATTAGATAAGCTTGTTCGATAAGATCGGACCGTGTGTACGAAGAGTCCCAACCGTCCGCGTGGTCAATCAAAGTCATACACACACAGTAACGTGAGTGGGCTCTGCCAGACTCCTACCTCTTACCTCTTACTGGGGACAAATGACGTCAAGGCGAGGATGCTTGATAAGGCATTGCAGCGTCTCGTCTGGAGATGACAATGCACTTCAAGCAGCTTGACAGCTTTTTGGAAGCACAGACAAAAGCAGTTGCGTGCACGTATCAGGAGGTTGCAATTCCTATGATCCCGTGAGACTTTTCAGCACCTCAGTTCAGGAAAGGAACGCAAAGAGACAGTGTGCCAGGGCCTCCTGTGACTCAGGTCGGAGCCAGAAGGCGTGACAGGCTGCCAGGCTGTGTCAAGTGGCTGCGTGATCGGTCACCTGCCTTGCCTCTGGAACCTGCACCAGCCTGGTTGGCCCAGCTGGGATGGTAATCGGTGTTTCGCCCCGCTCCGATAATCCGATAAGGATAAGGCCCCGGAGGTGAGGTGCTGGCTGACATTGGAGGCGGGCAATGAGGATGAGGAGGGGAGGAGGGGGCGTGGGGTTCGGTGCTCTCACCGGCTTAGTCATTCAGTGGCCTCAAATGCGGCAAAGTACTTCCCCAGCCGCAGCACCCCGTGAGGTACCTCCCCTTAGCTTCCTGCCTTTCTGGGTACCTTCCATACCAAAGGCCGGTACGCAAGCCAGCCAACCACCTACCTGCCTGGCGCCTGAGCCACCCAGACACCTCCAGTCAGTGACCGCCCATTCCCGTCCCCGTGTCTGACCCCAAGGCACCCCAAGGCAAAGCAGGCGGCAACCGATCCGTCCTTTCTTCTGCCTTCGCCAACGAGCCCCTCGTCACCTAAACTCTCCCTCCTACATACTTCGACACAAGTTATCAACACTGTCGACGGACATCTTGCCATCTATATCTTGACCTCCGCCCACTCCAAGGAGCAGACCATTTACAGAACCACTACCCACTTTCCCATCGCCCACCCGTAACCCGTCATCATGCGATCCAAGTTCAAGGACGAGCACCCCTTTGAGAAGCGAAAGGCCGAGGCTGAGCGCATCCGTCAGAAGTACTCTGACCGTATTCCCGTATGTTCTCTCCCTCTTCTATCTTCGGCCTCGTTTCGCGGCCGTTCGTGGGGAGCTTCACCGTCTGGTGGCTGTCGCTGCATTCGTCAGCTTCGCGCCTTATCGGCGGTGCCCCACGTTCCCCGACCGTCACCGCCGATCTTGGTATCTACCATCAGGGACCTCGAAACTAACTAAGGGTTTCACCACACAGGTTATCTGCGAGAAGGTCGAGAAGTCCGACATCGCTACTATCGACAAGAAGAAGTACCTCGTCCCCGCGGACCTGACGGTCGGTCAGTTCGTCTACGTCATCCGCAAGCGCATCAAGCTCTCCCCGGAGAAGGCCATCTTCATCTTCGTCGATGAGGTGCTGCCGCCCACTGCTGCTCTAATGAGCAGCATCTACGAGGAGCACAAGGACGAGGACGGGTATGTTTCCAAGCTTCGTAACATTGTTTTAGGCTCCGGCGCACTAACACCCCCTCTCAGTTTCCTCTACATCACCTACTCCGGCGAGAACACCTTCGGCGGCTTCGAGACGGCTTAAGCTTCCCAACCTTCTGATGGTCTAGTCACCTAACGGCTTCAGAATGTTCACGGCGTTTCGGTCTGCTATGCACGGTTTAGCACTTTTGGAATGGGTTTTCATACGGATATCGGTTCCCCTCCGAAGCAGGGGTTTATGATGAAGAAACGCAGTCACGTTATCGCGCGGGGTCACAGGACAGGGTCAGGCGCGGCCCTTGGCCGATCACAGAAGAAACTCCCGCGCGGCTTGGGAACTCACCAAGGCATGAAGGCTCGCGAGGACGATGCATGGAAATTAGCTTCATGGATTTTAAAGTGGTTTCCTTAGATCGCATGTTCAGTCGCCTTCTCCACGCCCTTCTCTCACTATCTTTTCCTCGCGCTGTGGTGACCCTGGCATTTCGTATAGCATACCATCCGTTAGCGCGCCGTATAAGCTTGTCTTGACTGCTCTCCCACATTCTCTGACTGTTCTCCTTCATTGTTACTGAAACCCATTCACCTCCCATCATGTCGAAGTCCCGGCATCGTGTAACGGCGCATTGTCTGGTCCCCGGAGTGAAGCGACCCAAACGTGTACCAACAGCCCCTGGATGACGGTCAAAGAGTCACTTCTGAAATTCGAGACTACGGCGGAAAAGACGAGCTCTCCGAGACCCCGACAGAGAGATTCGGCTCGCCCCGGCATCATGCATAATCCTGTTGGAAACGCATCAAGTGGTTGAGCTTGGTTGCTCGGGCGAACAGATGGCACGTCTGAGAGTGAGATGACACGGGCGAACATCAGATTGCATAATAGATCGGATCACGTATTGGCTTTTTGTTCCTTCCCTCGTTGCAAGATGGACCAGTGTATTTTATGATTTTGCGCCTCTCCCATCTAAACTCCTTTTCCATTCCCAACCCTGCCCCGAATATATATTATTATACTTTTTGTTGTCTTCCTAAAATACGAGAGATAGTGATCGGAAGATATGCCAGTCAGCCGACGCGGATGACTAGTGTCAGTGACCAAGCATCTGCTGCATCGCATTGAGGCGGTAACTCTCGCTCTTCTCCATGAGCTCCTCATGCCGGCCCTTGGCGGCGATGCCGCCCGCCTCGACAACGAAGATGACGTCTGCCTTGCGCACCGTGTGCAGCCTGTGAGCGATGGCGATGACAGTGATGCCACGTGCCGCGCGCTCCAGCCCGTCCTGCAGCGCCCTCTCGCTCTCGGCGTCGAGCGCGCTCGTGCTCTCGTCCAGCAGCAGCAGCCGTGGCTTCCTGACAAGAGCCCTTGCGATTGCGATGCGCTGGCGCTGGCCTCCGGAGAGCTGCGACCCGTTGGGTCCGCATTCTGTGTCGTACCCCTGCGGGAGGGCGGCGACGACGTCGTGGATGTTGGCGAGGCGGCATGCCTCTTCGATCTCGGCGTCCGTGGCGTCCTGTCCTGTGCGCGCGCCGAGGCCGACGTTGAAGCGCACGCTGCCGTCGAAGAGGGCGCTGTCCTGCGGGACGACGGCGATGTCGTCGCGGAAGTCGGTGGTGGAGAACTTGGAGATGTCGGCGCCGTCAATCTCGATCGTGCCGGCGCTGGGGGTGTACATGCGCTGGACGATGGCCATGACGGTGGACTTACCGGCGCCTGAGGGCCCGACGAGGCCGCAGAACTGGCCCGGCTGGATGGTGAAGGACATGTTGTCGAGGATCTGGACCTCCGGGCGGGCGGGGTAGGAGAAGGACACGTCCTTGAAGGTGACGGACACGCCGCCTCGGCCCGGGGAGGGGCCGGGTTTGGATTTGGCGAGGGCCTCGACGTCCTTTTCCTTGCCCTTGAAAGAAGATCCGTCCTCTTTGGTGTTCTCGGACTTATCGAGGTCGAGCAGACTAAAGATACGGGAGGCCGCCATCCTGGCGCGCGTCACTTCGGGCGCGAGACTGAACATCTGGCCCCAGAGCTGGGCGCCGACGAGCATGGCGACAAGAATGATCAAGAACTCGGTTTGCGTTGCGTTGCCCTGGATGATCTGCTTCGAGCCCCACCAGTACGCGAAGGCGTAGATGATGTTACCCGTGCTGTTTGCGATAGCAAGCCAGATATTGGCGATGGCGCTGGCGGAGATGATCTCCTTCTTAGGTCCTTTGAGGGCGCGCTTGTACTGTCCAAGGACCTCGTGTTCCAGAGAAAGGGTGGCGACGGTCTTGATGGAGTTGACGGATTCAACGGTGATACCGACGGCTTGGGCGTACGCTCCGGCATGCTTTTCCTCAAATCTGGAAAGGACTCGGATCTGCATGATGCCCGAACCCAGCAGGATGGGAATGATGACGAGACACACGATGGCGATTCTCCAAGCCAGGATGTGGGAGTAGATGATGGCGACGATGAGGTTGACGACAACAGCGAAAATGGTACCCATGATGGAGCCACTGAAACCACCAATGGCCGCGGCATCGTTGGTGATAACGGACAGGAGCGTCGTGGGGTTGCGGTTCTCGGACTGGTGCCACTCGAGCTCCTGGCAGAAGAGGGAGCGGAACGAGCCCACGCGGATCGCGTAGAGGAGCTTCTCGGCGATGTAGCCAAAGGCGGACCAGCTGGCCAGGTTCGCGACGAGCTCGACGCAGGCAACCATGAAGAACAGGCCGGCGAAGAAGGCACCCCTACTGGAGATGTAGCTAGGCTCGTTGCAAGGGCTAGCGACGCCGATGGCGTGGCCGAAAACCGTGCCGGACGCGCTGTAGGTGCAGCCGACGATGAAGGCGGCGACGACAGCCAAAAGGAGCCAGAGGATATGGGGACGGACCATGACGCTGATTCGCTTTGTGATCCACCAGGTCGACTTGTCGGTGTCGAGGCCACCATTCTGCAGCTCTTCTGCAGCGGTTTTCTTCTTGTTCTTTTTGGCCTTCTTGGGTTCCTCGGACTCTTTCTCTCCTGCTCCTGTCTCGATGGCCTTGACGAGATCCGCTGGGTCAACGCCACGTTTTTCGATGTCGACCGAGGCGGCTGAGGATTCGACGTCGACGCTGGTGCGGGAGGGTGCCTCGTCATCTTCGACGGTGTGGATGTTCTGTAAGTTAACCAGGTTGGCGTAAGCCCCGTTGCGAGCGACCAGGTCGGCATGAGTTCCTTGTTCGACGATGTCGCCGGCGTTCATGACAATGATGTTGTCTGCGTTCTTGATCGTGGAGAGTCGATGGGCAATGGAAATCAAGGTCCTGCCCTTGGAAACTTTCTCGACAGCCTTCTGGATCCGGTGTTCGCTGGCAGAGTCCAACGCCGCAGTGGCCTCGTCAAGAAGGAGAATCTTTGGGTCGCGGATGAGAGCCCGCGCGAGAGCCACACGCTGTCTCTGACCACCACTGACGAGCTTGCCACCGTTGCCGACGGCCGTTCCAAACCCATGTTTGAGACGGGCGATGAAGGTGGTTGCATCGGCCAACTCGGTCGCATCCTGCACGAGCCTGACAATCTCGACGACTTCGGGTCCGTATGCCTGGGCTGCGGTGTTGAGGTCCGCACCCTTCATGAGGTCCTCGGCAAGCTTCCCAAGCTTGGGCCCGTAGAGCGCTTCCTTGAGCCTCTGGTGTTCCTCCTTTGGCGAGTTCACGAGGCCGAGCGCAATGTTCTCAAGCACAGAACGGTCCAGAAGGGATGGTTCCTGCTGGACAAGACTGATATAACTGCGCACGTTTCTCACGTTCAGAGTACGGATATCGTGGCCGTCGATGAGAACTGTGCCTTCTTTGGGATCATAGATTCTCGTGGCCAGACCGGCGATCGTCGATTTGCCACTTCCCGAGAGGCCAACAATAGCAGTGTACTTCCCACCGGGGCACGTGAGAGAGACGTTCTTGAGCACGTCCGTGTCGGGGCGCGATGGGTAGGCGAAGGTAACACCGCGCAGCTCGACCGTGCCAGTGATACTCGAGGGTAGCTTTTCACCCTCTTCGGTAACGGAGTCGATGTTGGATTGCAAATCGATATCTGCTCGGAGCTTGAGGAATGCAGCGGATGCCGAGCCGAAAAGGGGTAGTAGGGGTGCAATGGTGCCGAGCATGATGCAAGCTAGGAATGGTCAGCACAAGTATACACCTTCTACAGGAGTAAGACACATACCGTCCACGATGAGGAATACAACCGTGTAAATGTCACCCACAGAGGTGCCATCGCCCGTTCCGGCTACAGACGCTGCGATGGCTTTGCTACCTTGCCAATACGCGAGTGCGTTCGCAGAGTAGGCGATGAAGTACAACAGTCCGGCCTGGGAAGCAGCAGCGACAGCCTTCTTGATGCCCTCTTTCTGGGCTACCATGACATGCGACGAGAATTTGGCTTCCAGGCGAGGCCCTGCACCAAAGGCCTGAACCACTGCGACATGGGACAGAGCCTCGGATGCGATCGATGAAGCTTTCGCCATGCCGTCAGACATGGTCCCCGTCCATTTCTGAACATATCCGCCACAAACAATAGACGAGATCAAGTACGCGGGGATAAGGGATACCAACATGCCCGCCAACGGGGCATACTTGATAAAGCCAATGACGTAGGCCGTGACGAAGAACGAAATAGTCGCGATGAACATGCCGACTTTCTCGGATGTTCCAGTCTGGATGGTTTGGATATCAGAGTTCAGGCGCGAGGACACCTCGCCCGCCTGCCTGCTCTCAAAGAAGCCAACATCCTGTCTAAGCAGGCTCTGGAAGTATTTCTCCCGGAAGCGCTGCGCGAGCCTCTGACTCAGCACGCTCCAGGAGGTGGTGTAGCAGTAGATCAGGGCAAAGCTGCCAATGCTGATGTATACGAGCTTGAGCACCTTGTCGTCTACAGCGGCTTGGTACGCGTCCGCGTCGCCAACGCCCTCGGCGCACGTTGCGCCATTCATGTCGTCAATGAGCTGGCCAAATAGAATTCCCATGATGGGGAAGGGCACGCCGGCCGCCACGGCGGTGATGCTGCCCACAACGAAGAGTGTGACGTCAATCCATGTTGGTCCGGCGTAGAACAGCAGCTGGAAAAAGCTGAAGAAGGCCTGGAAGCGCTGGAGGGACAGCAAGTAAGCTTCACGTAGGGTGAAAACAGGTGTGAACAGCCGAGGGTGAAACTGACCTTGGGCTTCGCGATCTCTGGCGTCTGTTGCTGCTGTGGCTCTGGTGATGCCGAAACATCAACAGCAACCTGTTCGGCCGAAGCCACTCTGGGGTCTTGGTCGGGCATAGTGAAGCGACCTGACACCCAGATCAGAAAGAGATGTCGTGTCTCGTTTGAGGTCAGTTGATGAAGAGAAGAAATGCATGAGACTTGGCGTGCAGCTGTGGCAAGGACGAGCTCAGCGAACGAAGCTTGGGGCTCTGCTGGAGAAGACTGGACGGTTCTGTCACCGGCATCCGTAAACGTAAGCGGGTAGCTGGGAGGTGCTGAACGACGGGCCTGACCCCCGCTGGAAAGGTGCCTTCGGGGCCCGTGAAAAAGCTAGAAACCATCATTAACACTTGTCGATGGTACATGCCCGTGGCATCCCGGTATGCTGGCATTGCTAGTGGGTAACGCTATGGAGCTCGTACGATAGCATCGATAGCTACATAGTACATGGTACAATGGAGAAGGTCCGGAGGGGTGAAGTGAAAACGAGGAAGAGGTTCGTGTGGGGCCGATGCCGGGTCAGTGGGTTCGGATCAGATAATTTGTCTTGGCGGATCCCTGGGTTTATCCCTTCCGTTTTCGGTAAGGCTGCTTTTGTCAACCCGAGCGGGTACGAAAGCCACGGAATCCTTGCACTTTTTTTTTTGGCGGATCTGCACGAACTTATTCACACCTCGTCAATTTCCCCCTCTCTTTGTACGTACACGCAGATCAAAAATTTCAAACGAATGGCGCGGCGGTAGCTGCTGGAGAAAATGGCGCATGTCTGGACGCTGCCCCCCTACGCCCACACGATGTCGCGTCCACTCACACACCCACTCCACGTCAAATTTGTCAGAGGAAATCGGCCGGCCTTGGGTATACGACCTGTCGCAATGAGAGGCCCCAGGTACTTATGGCGGCATTAGCTTCATGGGATGATCCATTACACTGTCCAGCTCAGAGACGGGACGCAAAGGTACCCCGAGATGGATAAGATCGAATCCTTGAGACCCGACCATCGCTGCCCACTGAAAACGAGGCGCAGACAAACGCGTACTGTGGTACCTTTTCGTACTTGTCCTCGTTAGGTAACGGCTTGATCCCAGCAAGACAGTACCTGAAGCCCCCGAGCTAGGAGTGGCTTGCATGTCTCTGGACGGATCTGATAACTTTAAGTCCTCCACCATCTGATAATTCTCACCAGGACAGCCCCTTCCGAATTGCTCCTTCAAACCACCCCTCCTCGACTGGTAACAACCAGTAATTTGAACCCGACCTCTTGGCGGCTCCCACCCATTTTATTCGCACACGCTTCCACGAGAAGTCACATTGCATACGTAGCAGCACTAGATACATACCATCATGACCTCCTTCTACTATGTACAAACACATCCAAAGTGTCCGGCGTGCCCAAACCCACCCAATCATGCCGTCATCTCCGCTGTCGCTTGCCTCCTCTGACACGAGCCCGCCAGTCCTTGCCATCTCCCTTCTCTTAGAGCCCCATGGTCAAGCGGATCCCAGTTGCCCTTGGTCGTGCCGTCTCGGCTGCAGTGCGTCTCATTCTCCGAGCCAGCCTTCGGCTCAACCTGCCCCTGTCGTGGCGGTTGTCGCCTTCCTACACTATTCACCTGCTGCCCAGACCTTGGGGGATGAGTCTGGATCCCTGCTGTTGGGAGGATTCGGTTGGATTCATCGAACAAACGTAGCCGGTCTCTCCGTCGCTCGTGCGAAGCAATTCCGATCCGATGCAGGGCCTCCGCTCGGCTTCCGGCGGGCTCTGTCTTTATGTCTGCTGGTGACTACGCAAATGTTCCCGTCCACATCTGCATCTTCACACGCTTCGTCCGCCTCTACTTGCCTTCCACTTTCCAACCGGTCGCTACCAGAGTCCAATAGCTTCAACCGGTGTTTCTCATTCTTCTCCCCTTCCTTCGGCGCAAACTCCTCCTGTTCCTAGAGCTTAGCAAAGGTAGACAAGATGGGCTCTCTTCCTGGTGCTATCCCGCCCTTCAGGGTCTTCATCGTTGGAACATCATACGGCGGCGTCTCTGCGGCGTTGAACCTGCTCGACTTGAGCAGCGGCAAGCCCCCTCGTCTCGCTCACACCCCCTACCAGCACCACCCGGACTTCAAGAAAATCCCCCTTGACATCACCATCGCTGACGAGCGCGATGGATACTGTAAGTCGACACGCACAGCTTTCCTCCAATCAGAACAAGCCCGCTGACCAAACGTCTCTAAAGTCCACATAATCGGCACGCCGCTCGCCTTCGCCGACTCCAAATACGCAGCAAAGTCTTGGGTCAAGTTCGATGACATCCCCTCGCTGCAGCGGCCCAACGTCCGCTTCGTCCAAGGCTCCGTCTCCAAGGTCGACATGGCCACCAAGACGGCCACCGTCCTCGACCACGCGACCAAGCAGCCCCGGGACTTCTCTTACGACTTCCTCATTGCCGCCTCGGGCCTGCGCCGCGTCTTCCCCGTCGTGCCCAAGTCCCTGACGCGGAAGCAGTTCCTCCTCGAAGCCGAGGAGCAGATTCGCTCCGTCCAGGACGCCCCCGACGGCGTCGTCGTCGTCGGCGGCGGTGCCGTCGGCATTGAGATGGCCGCCGAGCTCAAGCTGTCCGAGCCCGCGACAAAGGTCACCCTCGTCCACTCCCGCGACAAGCTCCTCTCCTCGGAGGGCCTGCCGGACGAGTGCAAGGACAAGGCGCTCGAGCTCACGCGCGAGGCTGGTGTCGAGGTCCTCATGAGCCACCGCGTCAAGGAGACGCGCAAGCTCGACACCCCCGCCGACAACGGCCGCGCGCGCTACGAGATCGAGTTCACAAACGGCACCAAGCTCCTCGCGTCCCGCGTCATCATGGCCATCTCGCGCAGCGTCCCCTCGACGGACTACCTCCCCGCGGCGGCCAAGGACGAGCAAGGCTACGTCAAGGTGCACGCGAACCTGGTGCTGTCGGGCGACGTGCCCAACGCGCGGGATCACATCGCCGTCGGCGACATCGCGCTCTGGTCGGGCATCAAGCGCTGCGGCTCGGCGATGCACATGGGCCACTACGCCGCCATCAACGCGCACCAGCTCATGCTGGCCAAGTTGACGGGCCAGACCCACAAGCCCACGTTCTCGGAGCTTGGCCACGTCGAACCCATGATCGGGTTGGCCGTTGGCAAGAAGGCCGTCGCCAGCGGGCCCCTGGTGGGCACTACGTGGGGTGAGGATGTCATGCAAACCTACTTCGGGAACGACCTCGGCTTTGACAGTGAGTTACCTTTTTTCCTTTCACCGCCCCTTGTCGTCGTCCCGGATTGATTGCTAATCGTTGTGCCGCGCAGACTGCTGGAACCACCTGAGGCTGGGACAGGCTCCCGACTCTTGATTCAGTCATGATGGGAACCGGGGGTTTCTTTCACGATTTACTTATTTCCTCTTCTTGCATATATGGGTTTTGGGTAACATGGTGTTGGGAGTAATGACGACGACGACGACGACGACGCAAAGAGCTCGTCCGGCAGTTTAGATTGAATTGGCTAGACTTGAACACGATGATGTTTATGAAGAATACACATACAAATCAATGCGTGCTGCTAATGCATGCTGCTATCATTCGTAGTCGGAATCATCACCGTAACGATTGAAAAGGTGTTCAAGAAAAAAAGTTGGACATAAAATTTACACCAAAATGACACCTTCCTAAATCCGGCCGTCCTTTTCGCGTCTATGTACACACACGCCCACATTCCGACTATCCACTTACACCCCCCACCACCACCACCACCACCACCATCTCGGCGCCGCTCCACCGTACTCACAACTTGGGCACCAGCTGGATGCGCATGCCGCCGACGACCTTTTCGTTGTCGCCCAGCGGGCACAGCTGGAAGAAGCGCTCGCGCGAGCACCGCACAAAGGCGCTGCGCTTGTGCGGCAGGTCGACAAACTTGTCGAGGCCGAAGCCGTGCATGAAGTCGTACATGAGGACCGTGTCGTTGGTCTTCTTGGGCTCGCCGACGACCCAGCTCGTGCGCGGGTCGTCGAGGAAGAGGAAGTGCATCAACGAGGACCACCAGGCCGTCACGCGGTGGGGGCCGCGGAAGCGCACGTCGCCGACCAGCGAGTGGCGCCCGCGGTCCCAGTCCTGCGCGTCGTAGTAGCCGCCCAGCTTGTCCTCCTGTGATCCCGAGCGTTAGTGGCTGGTCCTGCAATTGCTGTTAGGGGTGAGGAAGAGGGAGTGAAACGCACCTTGGCCCAGTAGACCTCAAAGTAGGCAAAGAAGGTGTCCTCCCACGCGGCGAGGATGGCGAACTGGTGTGGGTCCTCGTCAATCTTGCGCAGGTACTCGCGGTGCTGGTCGAGCGTGCCCGTCTCGTTCCAGCCCTGCGACACGCGCGGGTCGTTCTGCCACTCGTGGAAGAGGCGCAGGTGCTCTGGGTTCTTGTAGTCGAGCGCGACCATGGAGAAGGTCTCGCGCAGGTGCGGGATCCAGCGGCTGTAGACGGTGGCGCCGGGCGCGGGCTTGGCCGGCCGGATCGGGTGCCAGGCCTGCTGGTAGAGGTTGGGGTTTGCCGGGTCCGAGGCCGAGACGGCCGTCATGGTGTGCTGCAGCGGCGTGAGGGGGTATGAGGACAGCGGGCGCTCAAGGCTGGCGGGGGACTCGGAGGGAAGCCAGACGGGACGGGGGCCGAAGGGGGAGCCGGCGCCCTGCCAGAAGGCGGAGCGGAGGAGGACGACGGTGGACAGCTCGGCCGTGGAGGCGGGCTTCTGCGACTCGTTCTGTGTGGGGTGCTCAATGGCGAGCAGGACATCGCGAAGCTGCTGGCCGAGGGTTTTGGCGCCGGTGCCCCGGAGCTCGAGGCGGATGAGCTCTTCCGCGGGACGCAGGACGAAGAGGACGTAGACGAGAAGCCATGCCTGGGCGAGCGTAGGCGTCGTCTTGCCGTCCCAGGAGATGACGGTGCTTGGGGAGCGGCGGGAACGGGCCCACGCGCTGTTGTTGGAGTCGGCGGGGAGCTCGCTGGACTTGAGGTCCGCGGGCTCTGTGAAGTAGAGGTTCTCGCTGTGAAGACGTTCGGGGAGGGCGGTCTGCTTGGTGTCCTTGGACGGGGCAAGGGGGACGAGGCGGTAGAAGTGAAGGCCGCCCTCGGAGGTCTTGCCGGCAAAGGTGTCGTGGTTGAATGCGCGTTGAACCGCGTACTCGGCGTGGTACGGGTGAGGGAGCTTGATGATGCTCTCACTAGAGGAGACGGAGGAGAGGGAGATTGGTGCCGACATGGCTGCGGTTTCGTCGTCTACTGACTGACTTTTTGCAGGATTAAAGGTGCAATTGGTAAGGAAACAAGCTTCGAGGAGGGTATCAAGAGGTGTAACGAGGTTCCTCTAAGCTTGTACGAGTCTGATGCGATGGTATTCACAGCTTCCAGATCCAAAGTACGATAGACAACAAAAGTTCTAGGAAGAAAGTGAGCTTCGGCCTCGGAGCTTCACGGGGATCTGTCACCACCGCCTACTTTTTTGGACAGACACGCCGAATCCACGCCATTGACTCCTCCGTCCACGTTGCAACCATCCTGGTCCCTCGGCGCGGAGACCCGCTGCCTACTCGTTCTGCCATGCCACGGTTCAAAAAAAATTCTCGTCCATGGGCTGCAGGATGCAACAGCTTGAGGAAGAAACCGAAGCGTCTGCAGCTACAGGACCGGCCCATGACATCGTTTCCATCTCACCGTCAGTAACAAGTCCTGGGGGGTGGTCAGAGGAAGTCGATGGCGGGGAACGCTTGTACCTTGGCCCCGCGACAGCTTTAGGGGGGACGTGTAGATAGAAAACGAGAGGTACGCGCATGTACAAAAGAACCAGATCGAGCGATGATTGACATGGATGTGGTAGGGGTCTCCCACCCCTCGGTCACTGGCCCACGCCGGGCATTCACAGAAAAGCCAAGGCCCGAGGTCTTGGAGGGATGGAAGGGCGAAGAAATGCTCCGAGCAACTTGACTTTCCCAGCATGTCCCAGTCTTTGTACGGATCTGATAACGGAGAGTTCATCAGGAGTGAGGCAAAACAGGGCTCGTCGATGTTTGTCCCTCGTGGTTATTTCCATGAAGTCAGTTACGTGCATGACGCTTGGCTTCGTTTTTCTCCAGGGGAGGTGGCTGCACTAACTAGTACTTGGCGGATCTGATAACTTTATTAGAACCCAGTCCGGCCATAACTCCGGCGTCGGACCGGCGTCGATCCACTTGGTGCAGCCACCAACGGATCTGATAAGATCAAAAGCAAATTTTTCTCACGGGCGGGGCCAAGGGAGTGGGCATTACGCGGAGTTTGTACCAGTACATTGAGCAGCCTGCCACAACATCCCGAACCCACCCGTGCGTGTCGAGGGGGTGTTCTTAGCAACAGCTTGTGTGGAGTCAGATTCGGGCGAAGGAGCCTGTTTTGGCAGATCCATGGGAAAACGACGCATCTCTTGCGATCAGGGGACCTGACTCTCTTCTTCTCCACTGCCTGGGACCTTAGGCGGGCGGGCCCTTCTCTTCGGCTCAGCAGTCGGCCGTTTGTGGCCTGGAGGCCAAGCCTTCAGTATTCGTCTGTCAGCTGTCGAGTCTCGAGGCTTCTTTCCTCGGTCCTTGACTGTGCCGTGATCGGGATTGCCCGTCTGCCAAGTCTCATCTGCCGTCCGCCAACCGTCAACTGCGCCGCCTCGGGCTGGTTCTGAACGCGCTGGCATTTCGATCCACAGCCTGAAGCCCATCTCACGAGGCCCCCTTAAGTGCGACGCCCTCTGGAAACCTCGTAGAACATGAAAAGGATCGTCCGATGGACACTTCGCCCTAGTCGTCTCCGTTGCCCACGCCAGGCCCACGCTCACCACCCACCTTCCAACGACGCAACTCCACTGCGATTGATAACTTGGAAATCACGACTCATAGCGTCCCATTGCTTTCGCCCCAGTCAAGGCGGTGCCGTGATGGGGCTCAAGCCAGCTTTAGTGCTGTTGATCTGGTGTCGGTCGGCATTATCGGTATGTAACGAGTTGTTCAGTAGCGTATGACCGGCAAAGGTGGCTGCAGCTCGCTGCTGCCCCATCGTGCTAGACATACACGGCATCGTCAGTCGGTCGCCGAAGGTAGTGCAAGCCGTTGTGCGCCGTCCACATCATTGCAAACTCCGGGCAATCCTCTACACGTTTACAACCCGGACAATGACCGTCAGCGTGGCTGTGGCCCTATTCCACTGTTTTTGACTGGCACCTTTGAAAGGTTGCAGTTGTCCTCACAAGCTGGATCTGTTACGGGAGTGTTCGCTGCGCCTTGCCTTGTTCATCGTCAGTATTACACCGAGCTAGGGATGAACAACCCCTTCTCTTCGTCTGATGCCCTAGTCGGCTACCGATTGCTTAGGTGAACATCATTATTGGGCATTCCCGAGCTGCTGGAAACGTGACACTGTGCCATACGCAACGAACAGCAGCCGTCCTGCAAGCTACAAGGTCCGAAAATCTGCTGCATCCGATGAGCTGGTCAAGCCCCTGAGGTTGTTTTTGGCGTTGTCGCCTGCTGTGCCAAGTGGCTTGTGGTGCAGTCCTTAGTATGTCTGTGATGTCTGAACAGAAAGCTCTGTCTGCAAGACGGCACGAAGTTAGAGACGTTGTTTGACAGAGAAGTATGAGGAAGCAGATGCCGAGACAAGCCCTGATACGAACATAAACGGCAAGAACAGCGCCTTGAAGTTAATCACACTCTGGTTGATGCTTCTTGCCTTGTCTGAGGGTGTTCGTGACTGCAAACCACGCATCCCATCAGACTGAAGGAGCATCTCGTATGTAATCTTGCTTGATAGTCCATCTCAACGTCTTTCTCTTGCCTGTCCACTACAATGTCGTCGCTGCCGCATCATGGTCAGACTTGGCTGGTGATGGTGCGGCTTTTGACCACTCACATCCACCTTGTTAGATCTGAATTCCACTGCTTTATGTACAGCTTCTGGACTCCATTAAAACCAGCCCCTAGCAACATCATCCAACATGGCCCGCTCGAGGGCGACGGATGTTTCGGTTTCCAACAGAAGTTACCACGACGACGATACCATCTCCCAGAACGCCCCGGCCGGTGTTCAGAAAATAGAGGCCACAACGAAAGCCTGGTCCCGGAAAACGCTCATCATTGCCTACGCCCTGATGTGGCTTACTTACTTCGTCAACAACACGCAGCAGGGTATGGCGTTTGCGTTGACTCCCTACGTTACGGGCCGGTTCCAAAGACATTCCTCTACAGCGACCATTCACGTCATGGCTAGTCTGATTGGTGGTCTGATAAAATTGCCGCTCGCTAAGGTTCTCGATGTCTGGGGTCGTCCTCATGGTTACGCATTCTGTGTGAGCCTCTTGTCAGCTGGCCTAGTCATGATGGCGGTTTGCGAGAACCTCGCAACGTACACTGCTGCGCAAGTCTTCTACTCTGTTGGGTAAGCCTTTCCACTCTCCAAACCCTGGTTCGCTGTGAGCCTTGCTTGGCCACGGGTTCTGTAGTAGGTCCCAGTCAGTGGATATGCGGGGAGGAGCTTACATGGCATTCGTAGGAATTGACGGGAAGCCGTGGCGCAACTTGAAGTGCACTGCTGATGATCTGACAGATACAGTGGCCTCGCATATACCCTGAGTATATTTATTGCCGACACTTCGGCACTCAAGAATCGAGGACTCATGCTTGCCTTTGCACTTTCACCCAATATCATCACGGCATGGCTCGGCGGTCCAATTGGTAAAAGTATTCTCGCCGGCCCCGGGTTAGCCTGGGGGTTCGGCATATTTGCCATCGTTATCCCGGTCATCACCATGCCACTCTTCGGCATCTTCATGTACAACTATTATCGAGCTAAGAAGCAAGATCTCGTCGTAGTAGAGAAGAGACGTCAGGCCACTTAGGAGATCGTTTGGCACAACTTCATTCAGTTCGATGTCATCGGACTCTTACTCGTCATTGCTGGCTTCGCCCTCTTCTTGTTGCCATTCAACCTCTACCAGAGACAACCCGAAGCATGGAGATCACCTAAAATCATTGCCATGTTCGTTTTGGGAAGCGCTCTACTCATCACCTTTGTTCTGTGGGAGAGGTTCTATGCGCCTGTCAAGTACCTCCCATGGGAGCTCTTGACAAACCGCACAATACTTGGCGCTTGCACCCTTGCCACAGTCATATTCATCAGCCACAACCTCCGGGACTCCTACTACATATCTTTTCTGCAGGTCGTCGATGACCTCGACCTCACGACAGCAACTTACATCACCAATATCTACAGCGTAGGGTCTTGCATCTGGTGCATCCCTGTTGGTGTTGCGATCCGCCTGTCTGGTCGCTTCAGGTGGCTCGCCTGGTACTTTGGTGTACCGCTGACCATCCTCGGCGTTGGTCTCATGATTCACTTCGAACAGCCTGGCATAAGTATTGGGTACATTGTTATGTGCCAACTCATGATTGCGTTTGCAGGCGGGACGCTCGTAATATGCGAGGAGATGGCTGTCATGGCTGTTGTAGAACACCAGTACCTTACGGTGATTTTGGCCATTGGGAGCATGTTCGCCAGCGTTGGCAGTGCCATTGGCGCGACTGCTGCTGCAGCCATCTGGCAGAGTGTCTTCTCCGAGAGACTCTTGGAGTATCTCCCGGCTGATGCCAAGAGGAACTTCGCCGCGATCTACGGGGCCTTGGAGGTGCAAAGATCTTACCCAGTTGGATCAGAAACTCGGAACGCCATCATTCGTGCATACGGCGATACGCAGAGGATCATGCTCATAGCCTCGACGGCTGTCTTGGTTCTCACCATTGCCTGTGTGGGCGCCTGGAAGGACATTCGTGTGAAGGATTTCAAGCAGACTAAAGGCACTTTAGTCTGAGGGGTTGCTGAATGAGTGCATTGAAACACCGGCTACAAAGTATTTTTGTACTGAATATTGTTAATGAGAACTTGTACTTGAAGCGCCACGCACTCCGTATAACATTGAAGACTGGACAAATTTGCGTTTGTGACCGACGCCTCAGCGCTCCATAACCACCCACACAGCATCCATCGTCGCGACCTTCTCCCCGCTCTCCTTCAACTTGTCAACAGCGGCTTTGACCTCAGCAACGTATCCGAGCAGCTCCTCCTCGGCCTTCTTCCCCAACCCCTCCTCGGCCACCTCCTCCGCCCAACTCGGATCCACCACGGCGCCAACCTCCCACCGCCCATCCAACAGCCCCGGCGTGTCGACCACCCCTCTCTCCACCAATTTCCACCCGGCCTCCTGCGCCAAGGCCACCATCTCCTCCGGGTCCAGCGCGCCGCGGACGTTTGCCTGGTGCAGCGTGAGCCCCCTGTCCTCGCGGAGCGCATGGAACCGCTTCTGCGCCGCGACGGCCATCTCGTGCGGCTTCTGGGAAGGGGTCCTGGCCGTCAGAGCGTACTCGGCGAAGCAGAGCCTCTTGACCTGCCCCGACGAGTAGAGCGCCTCAAAGAGGGCGACGACGGCAGCGCGGGACGGGAAGTACCACAGCGAGTGGCACAGGGCCGCGGTGTCGAAGGACGCCGAGGGGTTGGAGGCGAGGTAGGCCGGCGCGTCGGCCTGGTGGAAGGTGATGTGCGCGCCGTGGGGGAGGCGAGGATGTAGGACTGGGCCTCGGCGAGGGTGTACGGGGAGCCGTAGCCTCCGGGGGCGGGGTCCAGGGCCGTTACGTGGCCGGGGCCGGGCGGGGCACCGGATGCCGCCCCGGCGCCGGTGGTGTTGTCACCATCAGGGGTCGGTGGGCCCACGACGTGGGAGAGGGCGAGGGACGAGTCCCCCTGGCCGCAGCCGATGTCGAGGACTTTTGTTGATGGTGCGATGGACCAGAGGGCTGCGAGGCGGAGGCGGTGGGCTAGTTGCGGGAGGAGGACGGTGTGGAGGTGCGCTGGGTTGTGGGGGTAGGAATTTGCGAGGGAGAGGAGGGTTGGGGAGGGGGGTGACGGTGGTTGGGACATTGTTGCAGCTTTGGTGGTGGAAGAAAGGCGTGCTGGGGAATGATGGACTGGTAGCGGTTCTCGAGTGACGCTGGCAGGAGGGCTTGTTGAGGGTGTGAAAGTGTCTGTAAGTCGCAGGTGCTGATGATGATTCGCAACTATGGTGAGTGGAAACCCGTGAACTATATGGTATCGTTTCTTCTATAGTATCTAATGTCCAGATATCGACGCTATCGCTTGTAACCCGCACGAATTTTCCGACGACCCTGAGACCGATGCGGGGGGGTTCGCGCCCGTTGGATTGAATTAGGGTGACTCACCCAGGCACTTTTGAAGATGCTGCCGAATCTCTCCTAGCAATTGACATTGGAAAAACTAAACTCGAGTCCATAAAGTAGGGAACAAGTCTCAATGACTGCATACTGTAAGCTTATGGGGCAAACCTAACCCAGTGACATTGGCCAATGAACGTTGTCTATTCTTTTCGACGTATCCCATATTTCCGAATTGGTGTGGTGTGGCGCAATTCGACCTTCCCTAAAGGGATGAAAAAAAGAGTCACGTATGACTGTGGATAAATTTGGCCTCAGTGTTAATCTCAGCGATGTCTACATCAGTCATTACACAATTAAGCAGCGCCAGCTGTTAGCTGTTAACAGGCATAAACGCCGTCCCGGCCTAAGCCACGGGATTAAAAACTGGTAGGATGCAGATGTAGCGGCAATAGAGATTCAAAGAAAGGAGGGGAGAAAAAGTATCTTTGCGGTCCATGGGCGGTCAAAACTCTATTCAACGACATCTCGAATTTCAACCAGTCCAACCCAGAAAACATCGCCCATCAAGAAACAAGAAAACAAGACTTTTGTATGGTATCGCTCTCAAAACTTCATGCAAACCTCATATCAAACCGGCTGTAGAATTACAACTTGGCGGAGACGGTCCTGCTCTTCTTGAGGAGCTCGTCGCCTACCTTGGCCATCTCGAACTTGCGCACCTTGCCGCTGCCCGTCAGGGGTACACTGGCGGGGACACCATCCTCGCCGAGCCAGAAGATGTGCGCGGGGCTCTTGTGCCCACCGAGGCGCTCTCGCACCCAGTCCTTGAGCTCCTGGAACGTCGGCTTCTCCGAGTTCTCGGCGCGCTGCACGAAGGCGCCGACCACTTCGCCGTAATGCTCGTCCTTGAGACCGACGACGATGGCCTGCGAGATGGACGGGTGGGCCATGAGGCGCTCCTCGATCTCCAAAGGATAGATGTTCTCACCGCCTGAAAAGGAGGTGTTAGCGGGTGAAATAAGATGGTGAGTGGTGTTATGGCTTACCTCGGATGATAATATCCTTGAAACGTCCCGTGATCGAGCAGTATCCGTCGTTGTCAAAGACGGCCTCATCACCAGTGTGAAGCCACAAGACACCGGAGGCATCGCGGACCATGACCTCGTTGGTCTTCTCCGAGTTATTCCAGTAGCCGGCCTGCAATTGGTAACCGGCCATGCACAGCTCACCGCGCTGACCCATAGGCACAATGTTGCCGTCTCTGTCGACAATCTTGGCCGAGGCGTGAGGCATGAGCGTACCGACAGTTGTCAGTCTCTTACCCAGGGCGTCATCGGTGAAGGCGTTGAAGCATGTGGGAGAAGCCTCGGTAAGACCGTAACTGCTGGTAAACTCCCTCATGCCAAGACGGTTGACCATCAACTCCATCAAGTACCGGGGCACGGGGGCACCGGCAACGATGCCGGTGCGGATCTTTGAAGACTTGAAGTCATCGGGCGCCGCTTGGAACAGAGAGTCGAACATGGCAGGCACGCCGTGAAGTGCTGTGCAGTCCTCCTCGAGGATGGCCTTCAGCGTCGCCTTTGTGTCAAAAACTTCTGCAGGGTAGACAATCTTGGCACCGTGTGTGATGACAGACAGGAGACCGAGGACGAGGCCGAAGCAGTGGAAAAGGGGAGGGGGGCAGCAGAGAACATCCTCGGGACAAAGGCGCATGCGGTCACCAATAAAACGTGCGTTGTTGACGACGTTGCTGGACTCGAGGTTAGCGACATCGACCTCACAAACGATTAGAACGAGCTTACTGGTGAGTGAGCATGGCAGCCTTGGGACGACCAGTAGTGCCGCTGGTGAACTGAAGGTTGCATACTTGGTGCGGAACAACCTTGCTCATAGCAAGGTGAAGTTCCCTCGGGCTCTGCCTTGAGCTTGACTTGATGAGTTCATCATATGTCTGGTACCCGCTCGTGTCGCCCCGAATCATGACGACCTTAGGTCCGTTGACCTCATTCGCCAATTGAGTCAAGAACCTCGTGTTGTCGAGCCGACCAATCTGTTTGGTGGTAAACAGGATCTTGCATTCTACCGACAGTATTAGTCCGGGCCCCGTTCACAACCACAACAAAAACCTACCTGAGAAATGGACAGCATACATGGCCTCGCTAGGCGTGTATGTGTTGTTCAGAATGACTAGGATGGCGCCTATTCTCGACACGGCAAAGAAGATTGCTGCGTACTGCTCGCAGTTGCCCGCCATGACGCCCACTCTGTCGCCAGCCTTGATGCCCATCTTGAGCAGTGCCTGCGCGAGCAGCAGGCTCTGCTGGTTGAGCTCATTGTACGTCCATCGTGCACCGGTCCAGGGAATTACCAAACATTCCTTGGTGCCGTGCTGGTAGGTCTGCAGCTCCAGGAGCTCTCCCAGGCTAAGGTCGACCAGAGGGGGGTCGCGGGGGCCGTGGAGGATGGATAGCCTTTGCGTCGGAGCGAAGGGCACGGAGGCCGGGACTGATGATGGTTCTACGGCCATTGTGTCGACAGATGGCGATTGACAACTGGCAGTTGCTTGAGTATGATGCTAAAACAGAAGCTGTCGTCGCCGTCGTTGACGTGGTTGTCTATGGCAAGTGGAAGAGTTTCTCCGCGATCTTCGTACAATGTTGCCATCCTCTCGGGTCGCATGGGAGAAATAACTGGCCTGGTTCTATACGGTAGGACCCCCATGTCCAGGGCCCTGCATCTGCGTCACCGAGGGACGGCTTTCGGCGATCGTCTGGATCCAGCGAGAAGCAAGCGAGGTTGCCTCACCCCCGCTGGGCTGGACTAGCTAAGCATGCAAGCCTGGTATAATCCGTCTTTGGTGCCCTTGAAGCCAGGTGCCACACCACGGGACGTTGCGAACTCGCGCGCATGTACGGCGTAGAATCTTAGCAGGGTTTCTTTGGAGTTGAGTCAACGCATACAGTCAGCGGCGGGCTAGACCAAACCGACGGTTGCTTCCACCAAGCCGACTACCCTCATGGCCCATGTCGAGGGAGGGGCTTTTGCGGGCAGTTACAGAGCCACTCGCGTCATGACAGGGTGACGGGACCGGCACTTTGCACACACCTTGGCTACGTACTAGGCAGTGTCGAGTAGATGGGCCGTGACACTTGATGGACATTGTGTCAGGGACCAATGCTTCGTGCACTGCTGGCAGCGAACTAGAATGTGGGAAGTGGGATGGCGATGGCGACGGCGACGGCGACGGATCGAAGGTGTGGGTGCGTCAAAGGGAGGTCACTCTCTTGACATGTTTGATTGCAGTGGATGTGGATGAAGTTCCAACTTGGTCAATGGCGTTTGCAGTTCCTTCTCCCGCCCCTGTCGCTGCTTCCTCATTGTACCGGAAGGTAGCCACTCAGAAAGTAGTATAGTCCCACACCACACCCCTGCCAAAAGGAAAACCCGCTTCATCCCTGTCGCTAGGATTGTCGGATAGGTTCGGGACTTTGATCTTATCAATCAAATCTGGGATCAGATAAGATTACGGGAAGAACATTTCACCTCTTCAGCTTGCAAAAAATTTTCTCAGCTGGGCCCCTCAACCTCCTCGTTCCGCCCTCCTTCCACATTGTCTCCAGCGCCGTCGCCTTGTTCCTCCGACAATCCATCACTTGCATGACCCATGGCCTTGCTTCACACCCTCCGAAATCGGTTCTTTCCGCCGACCTTCCCTAACCTCGTCGCTAATCCACGGATCGGCGCCAACTCGCCTCTTCCAAAGACGTCAGGTTGCATTGCGTACCTTCGCCCACCTTGTGAGAGAACCTCTCACTCGTACCGGTACCTCGGTTCTGTTCTCGCTCAAGTCATGATGCCATCTCCGTAGTAATTCTGCACCCCTCCCCCACCCCCATCCCTTCCCTTCCCCACGAGTCTCCTCTTTCCCTTTGGCGCACCTCGCGGCACTTTCTCACACTCCCTCGCGTCCCTCGACCAGGACACCTTGATCTTCATGCAAGCAAGGGAAGGGCTGCGAAGCTGTCAAACATGTACAAAGAAAGCCAAGAAGAGCCATGCAGGTGTGCAGAAGAATTCAGGCACAGGCGACTTTGCTCTCTTCAGACTGACCGGCAGGTTCGCCACGTCTTGGCCTTTCCAGAATACCAACGTCTAAGTCTTTGGATGGAACTCGTTACATTGCTAATGAGGTAATGCGCTGCTGATATCGCTGCCAATCCAGCCGCGCGCTCACTTGAAAGGCGGGTATCCTTGAGCACGCCATTCCTCAAAACTCAATCCCTTGGCAGCGGATGGCATTTTCACCATCAAAGGCACTTCGACATCCTTTTCGGCGCCAACTAGCCCTGCACGGTGAACAATCTTCTCCTTGAGCACCTCAAAGCCCAACTGCTTGTACAGGCCGAAACCCTCCTCAGACGACTCCAAGTAGACGGGAAGCCCCGCCAGCTCGGCCATGTCAAGACCCCATTTTGTCAAAAGAGCGCCGGCACCTCGTCTTTGGTGTTCCGGCTTCACTGCAACAACATGACAGTCTGTTCCGGGGAGACGAAAAACATGTGTCATCAGCAACTAGGGCATACAAGATCCCTCGAGGCGCGAACCGGGGTCGGGAGAACGAGGACTGTGCTGTTCACGGGATCCACTCACAAACATATTTCCGGCCGCCCCAAATTTTCTCTTTGGCTTCGTTGAGCGGGCTGATCAACTCGTCGGCCCTGGCCCTCTCTTCGCCCTGAAGCCAGACGGCGCCCGGACTCCGGTATTCTTCCGGAGTGCGCTCCTGGAGGAAGACATCCCACAAGGCCATGCCCACGATCTCACCCGTCTTGGCATCGACGCATTTGGCAGTGTATTGCGTGTTGGTCTTGTGCCAGTAGTCGAAGGTATGCTTCGTGTGGCCCTCACGGAAGGCCTCGTCAATGCCAGTCGGGAACAGGATGTCGAGAATCACTGACCCCTTGAAAGCTCCAAAGTAGGCATCGTATACTTTGGGGATGTCGGGGATTAAAGCGGGTAGAACGGTGAGGCCCATGGCGTCCGGTGGGAGCCGAGAAGGGAAAAGGAAAGAATTAACGACTTTGGTCTTACTCTGGTATGGTCTGACCTGGACCTTCTCGTGCAGAGCGCGTGTGGCTATGAAACCCAGAATGGTCCCGATAAGGAGGGTCGCTTCGGGTCGTATTCTTGTAAGAAAAGTGTGCGTTGTTTAAGCAACAAGCGCGCGTCAACAAAACGGCAAGTCGGGATTCCGCAACGTAAAGAGTCGGCCCTCCCAAGCTCGATTTTCGACCACCGTGCGATCGCTATGAGTATTTAGCCTGGGTCACGCTTGAAGACTTTTCCCTCAAGGACTGGAGCAAATTGTTCCACGGCGACTATATGGGATTGTGCAATTGTGTGCCAAGCACTGTCTTCATCAAATCTTCTAGGGTTGATGCGGCAGTTCAAACTAACCCTGGGGCTTCAAGGAAATGCCTCAACAGGAACGAGAGGAAGCCAGCGCTTCTTTCTCCACGGCGCGTGAGCGCTCACTGGATGACGCAGAGCCATTGCACTCATCTCCAAGCAAGTTGCAACTTGTGAGGAGCCCGGTTCGGAGGCTAGGCGGGGCCTCCAGTTCTCTCCCTCCACCCTCCCGATTCTCCTCCTCCCCCACATCCGACGCGAAGCCATCAGTCACGAAGTCACGACAATGCCGGTCACATCCCGGCAAGAACAATGGTGCCACGGTGCGTTAAAGTTATCAGATCCCCGATTCAGGAGTGGTGGCTTTCTCTTCGCGTGTGTGTGACCCTTTCGACGAGACTGAGGAAGAAATCTGTATTGCAGAGAACGACCATGTCCGGTGCCTGTCCCGACCTCGCCTCCGGCCCACAAGCGGACACCCTCCTTGGCGCCCCTAATCAGATCCGTTCTTTGCACCCTCGGTCAGGTACCGGTTTGTATCCTCCGTTCCTCTTTTTGCAGTGTAACATCTGGCCCACGACATCATCACACGCCCCCCCCCCCCCTACCTCTCCCTCCCTCGTCCAAAACGTATGATGAGATGGCGCCTTAGTCTAAGGGACCCGTCATGGAACTCTTGCCCTATTGGTCCTGCGAGGGTGTGCTCAACTCATTCGCATCTGACGTCTCTCTCGCTAAAGTGTCTTCCATCACTGAAATTGTGGTAGCTCTGCATGTCAAGGCCCATTCGTTCGTTCGTGCCGACTGCACTCTAGTACGCGCAGTTCTGGTATACCCACCCGGACGGCTTCATGGATTAGGGACCTTGCGCCGTTGTGGCTCGCATCTGCCCTTCATCATAGAAGCCGGCCTGGCCAAAAATGCGCGCGGCCTTCACAAGCCAGCTCCATTTGCCCTCCGCAGGAACCAGCTCGGTCTGCGAGGAGAGTAGCTCGGCCGCGGTACCAGCCATGGGGTTCTTCGATCTAGCAGAGTCAGGAAGGCTGTCCTGGCTGCCATGCAAGGATACGGCCCGACGAGCTGCAGAGTTGCACATAAGAGTCTATTGTGGTTCACAAGACGGACTTTGTCTCGCTGTGTGAAAGGCTAGCTCTCCACCCTGCTGGTTGATCATCTCGTTGGACAAAAAATCCAAACATCTTCCACATCTCAAGATCGTCGCAGAAGAAGCCATAGTCTTGAGAGATTGTGAAATGCTGCAAGTTCAACCTCGACTTATTTAATCACGCCCGTTGCCCCTCCCCCGCCACGGCCCCCCGATTCGGAAGTAAACACAGTAAACGATGCATTTGCGGGACAGCGAAGGCGGCGGAACCGCCTACCAAGAGAACGGCCATGCCGATGGCGCAAACGGCTTGACTAACGGCACCGTCAACCCTTCCTCGACGAGAACCATTGCCGTGACGCCCCGGACCGAGGCCGGTGGTGTAAGCGACTTTAGACATGAGCTGCTCCTCGCATGGCTGCTCGTACTCTACCGCAACAATGACGACGGTCTAAGCAGCGTAAATTGGGGATTTAGAACGCGGGAGGGTCAGCAGCCGTCGTCCGCAACTCACAACAGCTTGAGTTTGAGCGAGGCGCCGTTCAAAAACAGTGACTCGATATCTGAGGCTCTCGAGGTCATCAAGGACCTTGGCGCGAGGGAGCTTGACAGTGATGCGCAAACGGTTCCGGTGATATACTTCAACAATGGAGCACCAGTCACTCAAAGCCATTTTGAGAAGACGCCATCCAAGAGATCGCACGACGTACGTAGGCCCGTCCACAAACCTGATTCACTTCCACGCCCTTCACTTTTCGTTCACGATTCTGACCTTGGCTTCTTCAGTGGACATACCAGGTCGAGACGACGATCAACGAGAATCAGATGGTGATCAAGGCCCAGTGGGACCGCGCCGTTCTCTCATATCGCCATGCCATCTCACAGCTCGACTCCTTCGTCGAGATCCTCACCACAATCCTCGAAAAACCACACCGCCAGATCTCTGACACGATCGGACCCACTGCCAAGGATCTCGAGCAGCTGTGGACATGGAACGCCGAGCTCCCAGAGAACATGCAGAGATGCATGCAAGACATCATCGCCGAGGTGGCCAACAACGGCCCCGATCGGCCTGCCGTTGAGTCCTGGGACGGGAACTTTACCTACGGCGACGTAGAGCGCCTCTCGACTCGTCTCGCGCGCCACCTTGTGCACCGCGGAGTCAAGGTCGGCTCGACAGTGCCCATGTGTTTCGAGAAGTCGCGGTGGACGACCGTGGCTCTCCTGGCCGTCATGAAGGCCGGCGCCGCCTTCGCTCTCACCGACCCTAGCCAGCCCGAGGCCCGTCTGCGCACCATTGTCGAGCAGACTGGTGCTACCATCATCGTAACCTCCCAGAAGCAGAGTGAGCTCGGCCGGCGCATCGCTCCCGAGGGAACCCTCGTCATCGCCTCCGACGAGACCCTCAACCAAGACACCCTCGAGCTGGCCCCTGAGCTACCCTATATCCCACCATCCTCCCCCCTCTACATCCAGTTCACTTCCGGTAGCACGGGTAAGCCCAAGGGCGTAATGATTTCCCACGAAAACTTCACCAGCGGTGCCGTCCCCCGTGGCTGGGCCGTCGGTTACCGCGCGCACTCTCGCTGCTTCGATTTCGCATCGTACGCCTTCGATGTTGCCATCGACTGCATGCTCTGCACCCTCGCTGCGGGTGGTTGCCTTTGCATTCCCTCGGACGAGGATCGCATGAACGACTTGAGTGGGGCCATCCGCAACTCGAAGTGCAACATGGCGCACATGACCCCTTCTGTCGCCCGTGTCCTGGACCCGGACGTCATCCCTTCTCTTGAAGTCCTCGGTCTCGGTGGTGAGGCCGTCTCTGCGGGCGATGCTTCGACATGGAGCAAGACGACGAGCGTTATCATTGCCTACGGCCCATCAGAGTGCACTGTCGGCTGCACCATCAACAGCAACGTGAGCAGCACCTCGACCAACATTGGCAAGGGTTGCGGCGGTCTCACCTGGATCGTCGATCCTGATGACCACGAGCGTCTAATGCCCGTTGGCGCCGTTGGTGAGCTCCTCATCGAGGGACCCGTCGTCGGTCTGGGATATCTCAACGACAAGGCCAAGACCGACGAGGTCTTCATTGAGGACCCCGCCTGGCTCCTCGCTGGCGGCGGCCCCGCTCGCGGCAGACACGGTCGTCTCTACAAGACTGGCGACCTGGTCCGCTACGACCCCGACGGCACCGGGTCTATCGCCTTCGTCGGCCGCAAAGATCAGCAGGTGAAGCTCCGCGGTCAAAGAATCGAGCTGGCTGAGGTCGAGCACCACCTCAGGGGCAAGATGCCCTCCGGCGTCAAGGTCGTGGCCGAGGTCATCAAGCCCGGCGGCAGCGAGCCCACCCTGGTTGCCTTTGTTGTTGAGCAGAACCCCGTTGAAAATTCCGAATCTGAAGGCGATGTCACCGTCTTTTCGCCCGAATTCAGCCAGGCCATCGCGGAAATCGATATTGCGTTGGGTGCCGAGATCCCCCGCTACATGGTCCCTTCCGCCTACATCCCCCTCCGTAAGATGCCTTCCTTGGTCTCCGGCAAGATCGACCGCAAGCGCCTGCGTGAGCTCGGAGGCTCCATGGCCCGCGAGCAAGTCGCCCGTCTGCGCGTGGCTCCGACCGAGAAGAGCGAGCCCGAGACGGAGATGGAGAAGGCGTTGCAGCAGGTTTGGACCAAGATTCTTGGCAGCGAGGCCAGCATCGGTCTGCACGACAGCTTCTTCGCTCTTGGAGGCGACTCCCTCCGCGCGATGAAGCTCGTCGCTGCCGCCAGAGAGGAGGGCATCGCCTTGACTGTGGCGAGCATCTTCAACTTCCCCACGCTTAAGGACATGGCCCAGAACGCGACCAAAGTATCCAAGGAGGATAAGGCCGTCGTTGCCCCCTTTTCTCTTCTCGAGGAGGGGTGGACCCCTGAGGAGGCCCGCGCAGAGTCTGCGAAGCTTTGCGGCATCGACGAGTCTGCGATCGAGGACATTTACCCCTGCACGCCTCTTCAAGAGGGTCTGATGGCCCTTTCTGCCAAGGTCAAGGAGGCATACGTCGCGCAGAGAGTTGTTGACCTCGCCGACTCTGAGACGGCAGACAAGCTTCGTACTGCCTTTGACGTTGCGGCTGCAGACTGCGCCATCCTTCGTACCAGAATCGTCCAGGTTCCTGGCCGCGGCCTCGCTCAGGTCGTGGTCAAGGAGGACATTGCCTGGCACATTGGTGATGACCTTCAAGGCTACCTCGTGAAGGACCGCGAGGAGGGCATGGACCTTGGCAGGCCCCTAGTCCGGTACGCACTTATCACAGACAAGGAGACGGGCAAGGTGCAGTTCGTATTGACGATGCACCACGCCCTCTACGACGGCTGGTGTATGCCTCTGATCGTCGACAAGGTTAACAAGGCCTTCGATGGCGTCAAAGTTCAGCGCCCTGCCGAGTTCAAGGACTTCATTAAGTACCTTGGCAGTATGGACCGCAGCGCTGCCGAGACGTACTGGCGTGATCAGCTTCACGGCGCCAACGGCCCTCAGTTCCCCGCTCTGCCGTATGAGGGCTATCAGACGCAGGCCGACTCTCTTCTGGAGGTTTACGTGCCCTTGAACGGCCGGCCGGCGTCCAACACCACCGTCGCGACAGTGATTCGCGGTGCGTGGGCGTATGTGGCGTCTCACTACTCTTCATCAACCGACGTTGTTTTTGGTGAAACACTCACTGGACGTAACGCCCCCATCCAGGGCGCCGAGGAGATTGAGGGCCCTATGATTACAACTGTACCCTTCCGTCTACAGATCAACGGAGAGACGACTGTCAGCGACTTTCTCCAAGATATCCAGGATCAAACCATCCAGCAGATTCCCTACGAACACACTGGTCTCCAGCACATCCGTCGTCTCAGCCCCGACGCCCTTGAGGCATGCGAGCTGAGAACAGGTCTCGTACTGCACCCGAGTGCCGACGACTTCGACCAAGAGGAGTTTAACAGGTACCCTGCGAACCGCTTGGTGCCCGCAGGTGACGCGGAGGCCGCGGAGGAGGCCCTCAAGTTCAACACCTATGCCCTCATGCTCGTATGCTCAACGGACCCTAAGGGCTTCCTCGTCATGGCCTCGTTCGACTCCAAGACTGTCCAGAAGCCGCTGATGGAGAAGGCTCTTGCTCAATTCTCCCAGGTTGCCCAGAAGCTCTGCCAGCTTACTGACACGCCGCTTGGCGATGTTGCATACCTGACGCAGGAGGACCAGGCCGAGGTGTCCCGCTTGAGTACCGAGAGCGTGAAGAGTGTTCAGGAGGAGTACCCCGAGGCCGATTCTGTGTGGATAGTCAACCCGGCCAACTCTGGGCGTCTGGCTCCTCTGGGAGTCGTCGGCGAGCTTGTGGTTGTTAGCAAGGCGGAGTTGTCTCTCTCTACTCTTGAGCAACCCTCATGGGCGGAGAACAAGGAGACTGGCAGATTCTACAAGACGGATCGTCTGGCCAAGTTCAACCCAGATGGATCTGTTCAGATCACCGGCAAGAAGAGTGATCTGGTCCAAAAGTCCAGCACCGCCAGCAAGGCTCCCACCAAGCGCATCTCTGCTACCTCTGCTAAGCAGCGCCGCCTGCGAACTCTCTGGAGCCGCGTCCTTAAGCTCCCCGAGAGCGACATTGGTCTCAATGACAGCTTCTTCCGGCTTGGCGGTGACTCCATTGGTGCCATGAAGCTTGTATCCGAGGCCCGTCTCGCCGGCCTTACACTTACCGTCAACCAAGTCTTTACCAAGAGAACGTTGTACGATATGGCCAGTGTCTTGCAGGATTCAGAGCCGACACAAGGCTCTCAAGACACGGCGAAGGCGCTGGCTCCTTTCGAGCTCCTTGACAACTTTGGCGCTGCCCCGGCCGAGACCCTGAAGCCCCTGCTGGCCGACCAAACATGGAAGATCGTCGACGCCTTCCCCGCGAGACCGCTGCAAGAAGTCGCTGTCAAGGGAACCATTGAAATTCCCCGCTTCTCTGCGCGTTACGAGGCCATGTACTTTGAGAGCGATGTCGACCGTCCCCGCCTCTTCCAGAGCTGCCAAGAGCTGGTCAACCTCAACGAGGTCCTCCGATCTGTCTTCGTGCAGCACAACGGCACCTGTATCAGCGTCGTTCTTGAGAACGTTAAGACCCCTGTTGTAGAGCATGAGATCGACGGCGATGTTGAGACCTTCGTCAAGGACCTCTGCAACCTTGACGTCCAGACACGCATGCCGCTTGGCTCCGTCTTTGTCAAGTGGTTTTTCGTGCACAGCAGCAGTGGCCAGTCGGCGCTCGTCTTCCGCGTCTCGCACGCGCAGTACGACGAGATCTGCCTGCCCATCATGCTGCATCAGCTGTCCGCCCTGCACGAGGGCAAGCCCGTCCCGAAGTCGCTGCCCTTCTCCTCCTTCGTCGGCCACGTCGTCAAGTCCAACATCCCGCAGAGCATCGAGTACTGGAAGGAGCTTCTCGAAGGGTCCTCGATCAACGTGCTGAAGCCCGACACCCCCGTCACAGAGAGGCAGCACTACGCCATCGACAGGACGTTTGACATCTCGTCCCGCTCCAAGGACGTGACCATCGCCACGCTCCCGACGGCGGCGTGGGCGCTGACCCTCGCGCGGATGCAGAAGACGCGGGACGTGACGTTTGGCGAGGTCGTTAGCGGCCGCAACATCGACTTCCCCAACGCCGACATGGTCGTCGGGCCCTGCTGGCAGTACGTGCCAGTTCGTGTCAAGTTCGAGGACGACTGTACGGTGCTGGACCTGCTCAACCTCGTGCAGAACCAGCACATTGCAAGCTCGGCGCACGAGGGCGTCGGCCTGCCGGAGATCAAGAAGCTGTGCGCCCCGCACTGGTCCGAGGAGACGGACTGGTTCGACACGGTGGTGCACCAGGACGTCGAGCACGTCGAGAGCCTCGGGTTCGAGACGGCGAGCAGCAGGATGGAGACGATCTACCCGCACCAGGAGCCGCTGCGGGAGTGGAAGATCCAGGCGTTCCCCCAGGGGACAAGTTGACGATTGAGATTGTCACGTTTGAGTCGTGGAAGGGGCACGCCAAGGACCTGCTGGACGAGATTGAGACGACATTCAAGGTTCTGCTCGGGAACCCTGGTGCATTGTTGTTTGAGCAGTGAGGGCAGTTAAGTGGTTTGTACATATTGTACTGAGGCTGCATAGAAGGGTTTTGGATGTTTCTTCCGTTGTTAGTGGAGATGCTGTTAAAGAATGGTGACTTGATTTGGGAAAACGTTTCAACGGGTTAAATTTTTTGCTTTTGGTTGGAGTTATGTTTATTCGAACACATATCATGACCTGAACCTATTCTCGTCACTTTCCCAGTGATTGCTTTTCCGCTACGTTCTTCCTTCTTTCTCTATTCTATGATTCTTGCTCTCTCCTCGACCCTGTGCTGTTGTGCTCTTGGGCACTCTAGGTTTTGTGACTTGTGATCATGGCTCAAAGATCGAGGGCAAAACTAGTAGGTATGAACTCAGCGAACTAGCCAACATGGGACAGAGGATACGGTGGGAAGTGTAAGAAGTTAGGTTGCCCCGCCATTTCTTCGTCGAGCAATCGTGGTTCGCCCAACTCTGCCGCCTACTCAAGGCAACCTCTATTTGCCAACCTACATCTGGCTTCCTGCAGCCTCACTTCAGCCCCCATACAAATAGGGTGCCAGTGCATTTTTTCCACATAAATAGGGTGGAAGGTGGCTGACAGCTCAACCTATCACCAGCCGCCACCTTCACTGTCTGCAAGCACAAACTGATTCCACCCTGCTCATCTCATGCGTCCTCGAGAGGACGGGTTAAAGCCGCGAGCTGTTTCTTCCACCAAGGAGATAAGCATGGTGTTACCCCGACGTCTTTCCTCTCCCCTGGGGCCATTTTACACGCTTCTTTTGCGACTCCAACACCAGCTCACAGCCTGATTTCCACTCGCCGCTTCAACGCAAAGCAACAACAACCCGGCCACCATGTCTGACAACGTCCCCTGGACCAACAGCTTTGACCAATTCCTTGCCGGGATGGACGCCCCTGAGCATGCCACCGACATGAGTTTCATGGATCTCCTTGATCCTACTGGCTATTACGGACTCGACCACGTCGACGATTGCGCTCTCAGCGCTGCAGCGCCCCTAGACCCGTGAGACTTTTTTTTTTACCACCTGCTAACAAAAAGGGTGTCAGGACTCACACTTACTCAGAAGATGATGGTGCTCAGATTCCTCCAATGACTGAGACCCCATCCTTTTCTGACCCATCCATGTCTCTACGGTCCACTACTGCGTCAGAAGAACATACGAGGGAACAACAGAGCTTCGTCTGTGCAGAATGCAGTGAGGATTTTCGGAGTCATCGTTCGCTGGGCTGGCATGCGAGAGACCATGGTCACAAAGCGTTCCTCTGCACCATTTTGGGTTGCAAAGAAGTTTTCATACGTAAAAGTGAACTGTATGCACATCAACTAAGACCTCACCTTGAAGGCCATGGTCTTGTGCAGCTCGACGATCCTCTCACTTGCGTGGAATGCAAGGTGAAGTTCCGCAGCAATGCGAAACTCCAAGAACATGCCAACGAGGCACAGCACAGCCCATTTTCCTGTATGTGCGGCAAGACGTTCGCTCGGCTTGACGTCCTGAACAGGCACCTCGACTCTTTAGGCACTGGTCTTCCCAAGTTCCCATGCCAGTTCTGCAAACGCCACCGAGGCAAGGGCGGATTCCGACGCAGAGATCATCTTCTGCAACACATTCGAGGCTATCACAAATTTGAAGCAGAGGAAAAGATTGATTATATTCTGCCTTCTCGACGAGGCAAGCATCTGGCACCGCCAATTTGTTCTTATCCCGGTTGCCCACAGTATCGCGATGACAGCTTTCACAAGTTGTCTCCCAAAGAACAGCAGCGGATGAAACCATTCGCATCGCAGTCAGAGTATACGAAGCATATGAAGACTGTCCATAACTTCACGCCATTCCCCTGCACGGTGTCAGGTTGCAACAAGACAGGCTCCAAGGGTTACGTGCGAGAGAAGGACCTGCTCAATCACAGAAAGAAGGAGCACCCTGATGCGGCGGCTTATGTACCAGAGGAACGAGACGCCAGGGTCACTTGCCGTTATCCAGGCTGCCAGGTCAAACTTCACTCAAACAACATGTATTGGCACGTTGCTTCGCATGAACCCATTTTGCGCGTTGCCGAAGAGCGTCGACAAGCGTCTGGTTGACGGAATTTGGCGGAGTTGTTTAGGTAGTCAGTTCGGGAACTTCCCCCCCAAGTTAGGTCTCGTTTTTCAAGATTCTTCACCCCAGTGCCTCTTGCTTACAGTTTTCCCTCTTGTCAGTCCTCATTCTTATGGATACATCCTCTTGGCTGCTTTTTATCATGTTCCTTTCTCCTTGCTTCGATTGCGTTTTCATGTTGGGGTTTGCTGGTAACTGGTATTAGCCGCAAGGTTACAAGATATGGAACTGGCATCACGAGAACCACTTCACAACGTTAGCAGGAAACTAAACACTCATCAAAATTTTGTTTAAGAATATATCTTTATGTCTTTGGGAACGCAGTGACAATTTCGTTGTCTCATTGAATATATCACCGATTGCCTCCAACACCCATCTCAGACTTCCACCTAGTTACTATGTCATCCAAGCCTGTAATTAGCCAAGTGTTCTACCCTGCTCGTCGACAATCGGACACTTGCATAAGCATATAACAAAACAAAACATTCGCTTATATTCTACCTGGAAGGCGTGGGCTTATCGAAATCCGTAATATGAGGTATTCATATGTCTTATAGAACCAGACTGGGTATTTAAACCAAACGCCAACCCAGGTTTCTGTCACCATCGTGGATGCAGACGACCACCTCTTCACCGAGAAACATCCATGTTCTGAACTCCCCGATTAATGGCATTCAAAACCCTCTCAGCATACGTCCTCCCTGGGGTACTCAGCATTATCGAATCATGATGAAAGCCTTCCGCTTCCCAGGGCAGAGTCCGCGGCGCGGGATCGGCTGGATGTAAGTCACCGACACGCTGCGGCATGCCTCTATACCGTTTACCACTATCGTCGACCCAGGTGAGAATTTCCGTTCGGGGATCTCGCTTTCGTTCGCGGAAGTAGTCCGTGGGTGAATCCCACTCTGGGTCGGCGAGGATCAGTCTCGCGAGGTCGGTTTGGTCGTCCAGCAGCAAGGCCAGGCGCGGCGCAGCGAGCTCTTCAGACCAGTTCTCGCCGAGATACCGGACGATTCCGGCAATCTCGCGGTCGCCGATTCCGTCGATCCACCACAGGTTCTGCACGGCTTTCATGAACATGAGGTAGTGAGCGAGAATGACCAAGGCGCGAGGCCTCTTTTCGCGGCCCAGCTCGACGAAGCCCTTGGGGATGAACGTGAACCATGTGACGACGCGGAGAGTCATGATAGGACTGAAGCCGTTGGCGAGCTCCGAGTAGAGGGAGCCAAGATACTTCAGTGTGTCGTAGTACGTTGGCACGTCCTCGTAGTCCAGGTCGCCGGGTTGGATGGAGGAGATCATGAAGAGCAGGTTGTTGGGGATGTGCCTCGCAGACTCGTCGAGATCGATGGGCGGGCGCATGAAAAGCTCCGCCAGCCCCGAGTCCCAAAGCGTCTGTGGCGTGGCCATATCGATCATGAGGCCGATGCCGCGCCAGACGATCATCCAGTCGATGATGTAGAGGTCCTTGGTGCCCTCTTCACGGAACATTTGCGAGGATAGCGCTGTGAGAAGTAAAGAGGTCGCGATGAGGGCGGGAAACGTCTCAGGCTTGCCCTCCTCAATGGCCTTGCGGTAGCCCTCGAAGGCGCGGGCGCGATAGCGGAGTGCGCGCGAGGGCGCGATGTCCTGTTTCAGATGCTGAAGCTGGAGAGCGGATGTGCCCAGCAGACAGTCCATGAGGAAGGGACTCTCAAAGGCGTGGCCGGGTATCTTGATTTTGAGGATGTCGTCGATTCGCTTCACGCGCCCTGCCTGCGTCGCGAACGACGTGAAGGTGTTTGTGGTGTAAAACCACAGCAGTTTCATATCGGTGGCGTCCCTTTCGCCGGCGGGGATGAAGAGCGGCTCCCTCACGACGAGAGCATTGTAGTCATCGTCGCTGCCGGCGTAACCGCCCTGCGGCGTGTGAGACCGCGATCGCGACCGCGAGACTACACTGGCGGAGGAGCTAGATGGCGATCCCGGGCCAGGCTCGGAGTGGGAGTGGGACGGTCCAGGGAAGACGCAATCGGCCTTGCGGAGCATGCAGTTACGGCACGTCGGGCGAGCTTCGTCGCACTTTACCTTGCGGGTTTTGCAGTTCTTACATCCCGTACGAGACTTTTTGTGAGGTCGTTTTGAATGATATGGCTTGTCGTCGGTGTGACTTGTAGTTGTGGTGATGACAGAGGCGGAGTCTGCTTGTCCGGAGGAAGAGAGGAGGGTCATTGTGTCATTGAGAGCCCCTTGGCACGCTCTCCAGTCTCTCTGATGGGCCAGTAGCTGCCGTAACCTTGCGCTTTTAGGATTCAGAGGATGGGTTGATGGTGACTTGGGGTGAGCGAGATGAGGCGAGGGTGCGTGAGATGAGTGAGAGAAAGAGAAAACTTGGTGGTGGCAACGGCTGCGTCTGTCACTAGTGTGAAGTCCGAGGTAAGGAAGAGGGACGATGCTCGGGCCTCTTTTTCAAGGGACGATGTCCAACGGCCGGACGGGGGAAGAGATGTCGTCGGGGTTGAAACAGAGTTCGGTGGGCGGGTGATGCTGCTGACGGAATGGTACGACTAGTTATTGGATGAAGCCTTTCGAGACACGTCCCTTTGCTTCGCACTGATTAGGTCGGCTGAGCTTTGGTCCGCTTACCCCTGGAAGCCGTTGGTCTGAGAAACTTGCGACAGCAAAATGGTACCGAGCCACTCTGGTCGAGTTGAACTGTATGTGAGGCCTCGCGGTAATTCGGATTCTTGCTTGGTAGTTGGTGTTGTTCACAGCCACAATGGGAAGACCACTGACCCCACAGGAGCTGGCAAGCTCCCTCGACTGCTGTTGCCTAATGATTGGCTCTATTGGGCCGTTGGCAACGAATCCTCCGGAGCGGAGGGTTGGTTCACATCATCCGGCTAACACAAGCACGAAACGGGGGATGGCACAGTGGAAGCAGCGGCTGTCAAGCATAACTCTGCGTAGCTAGGTAGACAGGAAGCGGAGCAAGGTACGTGCAGAAAGTGCGGATAAGAGGCTGACGCAAACAGGCCTCTGGTGGCCTAGCTATCATTCCAATGACACGGCGACACTGCGCCTCCCGCGGTGCCTCTCCCTGCGCGTCGCCCAGTCCGCCCTCTGTGGGTTTCCATTTTCGGTCTTGGTGGGGTTTGGGGTCGACCTGTTTGTTTGAACTTTGGAGCGCACTTTGGCGACGGAGCCAAGGAGGAGGCCGAGGAGCACAGGCAGACTCGAGAGAGAGTGTGTGTGAGAGAGAGGGAGGCACGTGGGCGGTTAATGCTAAACTGGTACACTGGGTGTGGTCAACACCCAGCCCAGTAGAGTTCAAGGGCGCTGGCCCGGCGCACGCCGTAAGGACGCTTAGGCCCCAACACGGGCCTAAGCCCGAGCTCCCCGAAGGTGCCTCGAAAGATGGGTTGATTCTTATTCCGTCATGGTCCTTGCCTGCTAAGACACGGTCACATGATCGCGCGTCTCCCCGCTGGCTCTTCCCGGCGCAACCCACGCGACGGGCCGGCCTTGTTCTCGGCCGACACCGACCTCGTCCCCCCGGAGGCTTTGATGTCTGTTCGTCACTAGGAAACATTGAAAAGTCGTGAGACGAACCCAGCCGGGATGGCACCACTCTTCCAGCTCCCAGAAGAGCTTCTTCTGTCTCCTCTGTACGAGCGCTTCCCCTGCCGAGAACATCAGATCCGTTCTCTGGCTACCCTTCTTCATGTAAGTCTTAGTCCTTTCACTAGGGCCTGTGCCTGGATTCTGGCCCAATTCTGACCTGGATGTCCAGCCCACGGCTGCGCCTTGTCGAAACCTCGTCGTATACGGCACCGAGGCCACTGGCAAATCCGCAGTCGTCGAATCCCTCCTGCAAACCCTTTCCAAACCCTCCAACGAAGAACCAGGAACCGAACCTTCCCTCAATTTCGCCGTCGTCAACTCCATACAATGCATTACGGGTCGACACCTGTTCGAAAGGACTGTCGCTGCCGTAGTGGACGCCATAAAATGGGACGCGCCGCCCAAGAAATGCGAGACTCTAGCACAGTTGATGGTTGAGCTCTGCAAGATGCTCAAGTACACCCAGAGACCCGAGGGCTGGCGCCTTGTCCTCGTCTTCGACGCAATTGACCGCCAGCGAGACGCTCCCCCAACACTTCTTCCAGCCCTAGCAAGGCTATCTGAAGTAGTCAGTCAACCCTCCAATCCAACCCTCATCCAGTGTCTAAAAGCTAACCCTTTCTGTTCTCGCAGATACCCTGTCTAACCTGCGTCTTCATCGTAACCGCCCCGTCCCCAGCGTTCCTCCGCACCTCCTTCGTGCCGCACATCCAGTTTCCAAATTACACCAAACAGGAATTCGTAAAGATCCTGTCCGTCAACCCGCCGGCGCCAACCCCGACGACTACCCAAGACGACACAAACTTCCTCTGGACACGCTTCTGCGGCGCCGTCTGCGACGCCCTCACGACCTCGGCCTCCCGCACCCTTCCCTCGTGCCGCCATAGCTGCGAAGCCCTCTGGCCGCGCTTCACGGCGCCGATCCTCGCCCGCACTCACGGCCCGCGCGAGTTCTCCAAGCTTCTCATCGCGTCGCGCATGCACTTCCAGGACGAGAGCCTGCTGAACCCGAGCATCGTCTCCATCAAGCCCGGCGCGGCGTCGGAGGCACCTGCTGTGAACGGACATGGTCCCGGTCCGGTCGGGACGCCCTCCAAGCACGCGGCGGCGCAACAGGCGATGAGCACCGCCACCGCCGACCTGACGACGTTGCTGCCGACCGCAACGCGCCTGCTGCTGCTGGCGGCGTATCTGGCATCGCACAACGCGGCCAAGCATGATTTGATGCTCTTCTCGACCTACCACCACGGCCGCCGCAAGCGTCGCGGCGGAGGCTTCGTGGCACCGAAACGCGGCCGCCCTAGCAAGCACAAAAAGATCTCGCGCAAGCTGCTCGGCGCGCACGCTTTCGTCCTCGAGCGCATGCTCGCCATCTTCGCGGCTCTGCGGAGTGAGTGGGCTGCCGACGGCGGGTTTGCTACCGGTGGCGTGGTTGACGGGGACGTCGGCATGGCGCTCTCGACTCTTGCGAGCTTGCGGTTGCTGATGAAGGTCGGCACGGCGGGTGACCCGACGGATAGGGGCGGGAAGTGGAGGATCAATGTGGGATGGGACGTCATCAGGGGCGTGGGGAGGAGTCTCGGTATCGAGGTGGAGGAATGGCTCGTCGATTAAAGGAGGGAATCTTGAGACGTACTGCACAATGCCACCTGTGGGATGACTCTCTCATGATTAGTTTATGTGATGATGGTGCTAGACGAAGTAACACCCATTAACAACGTTTCACCTAGAGTATGACGCCTTAACCCCAATTGGCCATCCGTACAATCCGGTCGGGCAGATACATCACCAGAACAGAAAAAGCGTCGCACATTTTTTTCAACCGAATGCCAACCTTTTTATACATCTTCCGACATGCCCGCCTGTGACTAGGTAGTGTCCTGTTGGAGGGCGACCTCTCTGGTGTTTTACACATATCCCATTACATCTAACCCAAGACAACTAACAAGAAAAACGCATTGTTCTCGTCCATCCATAGTCGCCAAACCAGGGGTGGCGCTGATCATGATTGTACATTGAAACTCCTGCAACCCGTTGCCCCCGAAAGACAAGCCGTATAAAACCCCGCTTACCGGTCTCCAAACCGCCAGGTGTCCTCCTGCTTCGTGCCCGGTGCGAGCCAGGCAGCGTTACTCGCGCCACGGGCTCGGCCATTGCTGGGACCGTCGGATTTCTTGGCGTCTTCGCTCCTCCGAGGCGAGGGTCCGTTGCTAAATGACTGGAAGGGGCCGGCGGAGACAATCGGGCTCTCGAAGACAGGCGCGTTGTGGTTTGCATTCAAGGCGTCCTTGGTGTTCAGGGGCAGTAGAGGCTCATCCTTGGTCTCCATCATCTTGGCCTTGCGATCCGCCTTGTCCCGGTCATGGGTTCGGTCGTAGAGATAGAGGCCAACAAAGGTCAGTAAGATGCCGACTCCTTGGAGAGGTGTCGTCTGATTCCTGAACCAGATGATTGCGATGACAATAACGAATACGCGCTTGATCAGACTTGCGACGGAGTATGTCACTGGCGAAACAAGCGACAAGAGGACAAAGGCAAGGATGTTTTGTCCAAAGTGGAAGGTACCGTTGAAGATGAACTCGATGGTCAAGCGGCCGTGATCAAACGACCCCGCCTTGTTGTTCAAGTCGACTACTCCATCATGAAGGAAATCACCTATGATACCGGTGCCCTCACTCCAGAACCAGATCGGCACCGTCAAAATGAAGGCCATACCCGAGGAGTAGCAGAGCAAGTTCAGCTTGTCGAGCTTTTGCGACCTAGCTGATTGGCCGTCAGCCTCAGCCTTGGCAGCTTCGTTGAAGAGGCGCTTCGAAAAGATGTTCTGCGTCACGAAAATGATAGTGGCAAGGAGAGCGTATAAAATGCCCAACAGCTCGCCGCTGTATTTGTTGTGCTTACCAGAGCAAGCCAGCATGACTCCAAGAGTCAAAGGGACCAGCGACAGATAGGTGTTAACTGAGTACCGAATGTTGAAGATCAGCCGGTAGGCCAGGACCGTGAACAAGGGAGAAAGGCCCTTGATTGTGTGGACAAGCGAGACGGGGATCTTTGATGTCGCCGTCGAACTCAACAAGTGCCCGAAAATCTGGAAGGCGGCAAGAGGCATGGTCGTCTTGATGACGTCGCGGGAAGGATAGCGGATCCCATGCTTAAGAGCTGGTATCGTAGTCTTGAGGCTCGGGAAGACGTTGGCAAGCCAGGCGAATAGGATACAGTAGGTCGCTACGAAAGCGAATTGGATGAGAGTGAGCGTCGCTGGTTTGTCGAACGCCGTAAGGATGGATTTCGAGGAGGTGTTGGTCAGGGCGGACGAGGTGTACCAGAGGACACAAAGCCCTGCGATGTGATTGTTAGCGCCAACGAAGTGGCAGAATTGCGCTCAGAGCACTTACAATCAGCTTGGGAGATACGGGAGCCCGCAGCGCATCCGCGATCTCGTGAGCATTTTGGCCAACGCTTCCACCTCTTGTCCGTATGTTGTGAATGGCATCACCCAGGCTCTTTTGCCTGCCGTGACCGTACCGTGTTGCCGGCGGCTGACCTGCCGGTCCCCATCTTATCCCGCGGCCCTGCAGGCTCTCCTTTCGAGGCTGCCAGCGGTCGCCGCCGGTAGGCGCGCCTGGAAGCGCATAGCCGTTCGTCTTTGCAGGGCTCGGTGCCCTTGAACCGTTGGTGAGGTGGGAATCGATGTGATCCGGGAACTTCTCCATGCCGCCGTTGGCAGAGAGGCTGATGCTGTCGCCGTGCGCTCTTGGTGAATGCTGCGACCGATTGACCGAAGATGTCTGTACCGTAGAGCCAGAGGTTGTGGAGTGAGGCATGACGCGAACACCGGGGAAATTTGGCGGGGACAAAGGCTGGTGTCCAGACAAGGTACTGATAATGCCTGGTGGGTAGACGTCGTAGTTTAGTACGTCTTGCTTGGCCCCAGGACTTTTTTTTCTTCGATTTCAACGTGTGACTTTTGCGGCAGCAATGCGCGAGAAACTTAGAGCTGGATCAGGTCAAGCATTGTTCTGGCTTCGTGGACAGTCAATATCGGACGGTTGCGCTCTGATGGTGGTAATCCAGGCGTTGTCGTTCGCATGGAAAAGTCTCGAGGCCAGGGCGGCATTCATCAAAGTCAGCTCGTAATCTTGCACTAGGGGGAGCTGTCCTCATCTCAATCAATCGGAAATCCCACGGTGCTACATCAGCGCCTGGGAATGGCTAGTTTTCAGTGGCTGACCGAATCCCTGCAATGCCAGGGGCAGAAACAACCCCCCACGGTGCCCACCACGGCATACTATGAAGAAGCCCACTAAACCCGCTGGACAGACCGGCGCGATGGGTTGGCAGCTGCACGGCGCGGCCGGGTCGCACTGTCTGGTGCAGACGGCTGGATTATTCATAGTGCCGTCTTCCGAGAGACTGCATCGTGGATCGGGGAAGTCAGCGCCGCCGGGCTGGTCCAAGCTTCCCATCCCTCGCGATACGTACCGCTATCAAGCCTATCCCTCGCAAGTGGCTCGCTGGCGTTGAAGACCCACTTAATTGTCGTTCAGCCTCCAAAAGTTTGGCGCGGTCGTCACGCATCGCCAGTCGCCTCCAGAAGGCTGCTAGCTCATCGAATTCCTCCAACGTACATCCGGCCCGTCGCATCGTGGGGTTTCTTTTGTACTTCACCGCCGTGCGCCTCGCAGGTCAACTCTTGTTTGCGACCCCCCAAAGCATGCGCCCTCGCCCCGACCCGACACGATTCATAATATTCGGACTGATCTGCTACGTCGTAACTCAAGCCACACCAAAAGCCTTCAGCTCGACGGCGCATTTCGATCCAAGATGGCGGCCCCGAAGATGACCAAGAACCAGATGCGGAGGGCGAAGAAGAAGGAGCAGAAGAAGGCACAGACAGAGGTAGGCTCCTCCAAGGGCGATGTGCGCGCGACCCATACTGACATGAAGAACAACCAGACCGCGTCGAAAACCCCGGAGCCTCAAGACGAGAAGAAGCCAGAGGAGACCGAGACCCAAGACAAGACCGGCGACGAGCTCGAAGTTAAGAAGGACGCCGACGCCAGCGTTAAGATCGAAGCTGATGGCCCCGCCAACGACGAGTTCAACCTCGACGATGAGAGGTTTGCCGCTTTCAAGGACATTTTCTCAAAATTTGGTGTCTCAATAGACGAGGACGAAGTTGCAAAAGAAGCCAACGCCGGAAACCAGGGCGAGGTGTTGTGGGACGATGACGACATCCCCAGCGAGGACGAGGAGGTTACGGGACAGACCAAGCTCTCCAAGAAGAAGCGGAAGCAGCTTAACAAGCTCTCTATTGCGGAGCTCAAGGCACTGGTCAAGATCCCCGACGTGGTGGAGTGGCAGGACACATCGTCTTCCGATCCGCGACTTCTCGTGCAGATCAAGGCGCAAAGAAACGTGGTCCCGGTTCCCGGTCACTGGCAGCTCAAGAGAGAATACCTGTCCTCGAAGCGGGGTATCGAGAAGCCGCCCTTCCGGTTACCAAAGTTCATCGCCGAGACGGGTATTACAGAAATGCGTGACGCTGTTTTGGAGAAGCAGGAGCAGCAGTCACTAAAGCAAAAACAGCGCGAGCGCGTTGCCCCCAAGATGGGCAAGCTGGATATCGACTACCAGAAGCTCTACGACGCCTTCTTCCGTTTCCAGACCAAGCCCGAGCTGACGCGGTTCGGCGAGGTCTACTACGAGGGCAAGGAAAGCGAGGTTGACTTCCAGCACTTCAGGCCAGGCGAACTAACCGAAGCCACAAAAGAGGCCCTGGGCATGCCCCCTGGCGCCCCTCCGCCGTGGCTCATCAATCAGCAGCGCTTCGGTCCTCCTCCATCATACCCCACTCTTAAGATTCCTGGACTCAACGCGCCGCCGCCACCAGGCGGCTCTTGGGGTTTCCACCCCGGTGGCTGGGGAAAGCCTCCCGTGGACGAGTTCAACCGTCCTCTTTACGGCGGTGACGTCTTCGGTCTCACAAACCAGGCCGGCGCGCAGGTGGCGCCGCCGGTTGCCCAGCCCCTGGGTACCGGCGAGCCCGTCGAGAAGACGCTCTGGGGCGAGCTTCAGCCCCGCGACGAGGAGTCCGAAGAGGAAGAATCAGAAGAAGAAGAGGAAGACGAGGAGGAGGAAGACGAGGACGCCGCCGCCGGCCTCGCATCGCCGAGCGGCATCGAGACCTCGGGCGGCATGGTCTCCTCCGTGCCGACAGACTACCCGGGCCACGGCGTCGAGACCTCCGTGGCGGGCGAGATGGATCTGCGGAAGCAGAGGCGCGGGTTCGACACGGAGGAGAGCTCGCACCCTCGCTCCGCGTACCAGGTCATCCCCGAGCGGCAGCAGCGCACCGAGGGCTTCTTCGGCAGCGACAGGGTGTACGACCTCAACCAGCAAAAGGCCGCCGGCAACGTGCCGGTGCTCGGCCAGGAGGACGACAGCCGCAAGCGCAAGAAGCCCGGCGACGTCGACGTCGCGCTCGACCCGGACGCGCTGCAGAGCCACGACGGCATCAGCAAGGACGAGCTGCGGCGCCGGTTCGAGGAGGGCAAGCGCGAGGAGGGCATCGGCGCCAAGTGGGCGTACGAGGAGGACCTGTCCGAGATGATTGCGCAGGAGTCGCGGAAGAGGCAGAAGGTTGACGAGAAGCGCAACGAGGAGAAGAAGAAGCAGAGCAAGTACAGGTTCTAAAGGACGGCGGCCGAAGGGGCCGTTGGGGCCTGGACTGTGTATGTAATGGTATACTACTTTTGGAGACTGGCGATTGCGCTCAAGTCGGATGTTTTTGTGTTCATGTGCAATAGGGCAGCGGCGCTAGGCTGGCATACAAAATTTTAAACCACGTCTGCAAGTTGGAACCTGCACTCGAGTCTCGTCGTGATACCCCCTAGACGAAATCAGCGCTACTCAACCTGCCCTGTCAACGTTGGTCTACGTCGTCCAACATCTCTGTTCTTAGTTCGACTTTGAAGGCACATCGGCATTTGTGGAAAGAGACTTGTCAACTAGCTGTGCATGGCAAGTGAAGTCAATTATTAACCATGTCTGATGCCTCTAGGTATCCATCTCTACCAGCGTCCATCAATCATCATGCGACGCCAAATGCCTCATGCAGATGCATCCGCTTGCCATCCATTAAAAGTGAAAACATCCCACATCCCATCACCCTCCTCTCTTCGAACATCAAACACCCCTTGTAAGCAAGCGCCTCTTTGGCACAAGTCTGCGTTGTGTCGTTGGCACTGGCGTCGGGTCTGCCGTTGGCTCCGATTTCGGCTCCGGTTGTACTGCCTGTTGCTGGATGTCCTAGTTCCGCTCTGCGGTCGGTATGTTGAGACACTCGTCGCAGACCCAGTCCGGCTCCTCGACGTTCATCTTTGCGTTCTCGCTGATGCAGTCCGAGTGATAGAGACGCTTGGCGCAGCTCTGTTTTGTTCACGTTAGCGATGCCGCTCTGCACAAAGCCGTTTAAGTGGTGAAAATCTTACCGTGTTAGAACACAGGAGCAACCTCGGTCCAAGGGCGGCCAATCCACAGACCTGGCAACCACCGGCGCTCTTCCGAATATGCGGCCCCTGCGGCGACCCCTTGGGTGCCGGTGCTGGGTTTTCGCCGTTTTCCATGCCAAGCTTCGCCCTGCAAGCGGAAATGTGCGTGAGAGCCTCCTCGACGGTATCATGATCGAGACTGCCCCTAGCCAAAAGGTATGTGAGATGCTTCCCAAACTCCAGCATGCGAGAATTTGAAGACAGCAACCAGTCCGACTTGATCTTGACGAAGCTCAGCCAGGCAGGAGGGAAGTAAATGTCCGACGAAATGCGCTTCGTGAGCATAAACTTGTCCCATTCCTGCATGTACTCCCTCTCATCGGGCGGGACATCTGAGAAGTCTGCCAGGGCGTCCCGATGCCACTGGATGAGCCATTCGTCACTGGCTGCTGGCTTTCTGTATTCAGTGCCTGGTTGTAACTCAGCCCTGGTAATCGGGTCATACAGTGTCTGCCCGATATCCGGAATAAGGAGTTTGGAACGTGTCTGCGCCATGTCAGCAGTGTATCTTGGAGAGTATTCAGGGATAGAACAAACCTGTGCGGGCTTGCTTGTTGGTTGTCTGCTAGCCCGGCCCTGCGATTGAGCTCCTGGAGTGCTCTTGTCTTCAGTCCCGAAGCGTGAAGTCACATATGTCAAGTTCCCTTCGGCGAACTGGTCCAAATCGAATGCCTTGGTGGGTCGGCGCAGAGCAAACGGCTCAGGGCCGAATGAATACGTTTCGTAACGATGAGCGACCTCAAACTCTGCCGCCTTCGCACGGGACTGCGGGCGATACTCATACTCATCATGTATGCTTATAAGATGGGCGTGGAGCTGGGGAAGAGAGCCATGCGGCATGCCACACGTGATGCAACGGAAGGAATCCAGGCAGACCTTCTCGCTGGGCAGGTAGTAAGTGACACTGCCTTCCTCGACATTGTTTGCGGTGCCGCGTTTCTTGCGTTTCTTGTTCCTTCCTTGAGCCTTATCACTGAGGACTTTCAGATTGTAGTTCTTGGTGGTACCGCGTACACGAAGTGACCGGTTGGGAGTCAGTTCTTCCTCGGCGTCTTCATCACCATGAGCGTCTCCGTTGACAAAGCCGTTCCTTAGAGCTTTGACTGGGGTTCCGGGAGGACTCTCGTACGGCGGCTCAATAATGCTATCGTTGGCCAAGGGATCTTGCGGCACAAAGGTCCCAGACACGGTAATGGAGGGCTCGACGCCTGTTTCCACGGCCCGAATCTGACCTGCCTCGAAGGCAGTGGCCCACGAAGCGTCGACGTCAATGACGTGGTCTGTTGGTGCGAGCAGTTGCGGAGTCTTCTTGACCTTGAGGTTCAGCAACGCCCGCCGCCTTGAGAACAAGTCAGACGAGGCGGCGGTGAGTACCCAGTGTATGGTGTCTGTCTGCCGGGAAGAAGCGGAATCGTCGCCGGGAGGACTGATGGTGATGGGCGGCCAGTACGTCGGGCCAGCGGCTTCCAGCTCAACGCAGAGGCGATAGGAATCAGCAAGGTCGAAAGAGCCATCGTCATCGCGGTTAATGCGCATGCTGTCTTCAGGGATGTAGAAGGGGCGCGGCAGGCCGATGCGCGCCATGCGGTATGGTCCGCCGGGATCCTTGAAAGATCTGATGTCGCAGAGTTGACTGTTACAGTACAACAAGACATCGCCAGCGTTGGTAACATGAGAAAGGGAGACCTTGCATCGTGCTTTGAGGTTCACGACATCATCGGAAGGGGCGGCGGAGACTCTCTTGGAGGCCTTGTGAAAGATCCTGTTGACTTGGACGCGTAGATTGCGCTGCAGGTCGCCGACGTCTCGAGCTTGGAAGATCTGATCTGCGAGTTGATGATCGGCGTCAAAGCAACGGCGCTTGGCCGGGCGGCCGTCGTTGTGGCCGTTGGGAACATCTCCGGAAGCAGCGGCTTTCTGGGCCGACGACTGGGTGTTACCCATGCCTTGCAAGATATTCCTCTGGAGAAAAGGGGTACTGCGCTGGCGCCGCGAAGGAAGCGTCATAGCTGGCGAAGGGGGACCATGAGAAGTATATAAAAGAGACAAGTCCCGTTTTTTGGTCCCGAGAGGCTAAAGAGGATTGAATGGCTTCAATCTACTCTGCGCGTGGCCGCCCCTTATTTCGCAAAGCCCACTTGGACGGGGTGAGCAGGAGTAGAGCAGTAGTCTCTGGCGCCGGTGCTCATTGAACGTCGAGTGAGAAGCCAGAGCCTTTGTGATGAGGAATAAACGTAGCTCCTCCCGCAGTACTGGTCGCTGTCTCAAAAGCGAACGTTTCGACTGACCGATTGGCCGTCTTTTTTTGGGGGAAGGGGCAGGGCGCAAAAGTGATTCTTTGCTCACTCGGACGTTGTTGTGGTGGGCGATGCGACAGAATGGCCGAGACAATGGGCGGGACCGAAGCAGACGCGACCGCGACTTTGCTTTTGCTGAATGGAATATGTAGCCCAGGTAGCTAGCTGCTTTGACGGGCAAGGGAAAAGAAGTGGAACAAGACGACTCGAGCGCTAGAGAAGGGAGTTCAGCCCGGCAAAAGGAAAAAAGCGCGTTCCTAACAGTCGGGAGAGTATCTTTGGGAGTGGCGCTTTACGACAGGAACAGCAGAAGCAGCGAGAGACGTGGAAGTCGAAGCGCGTCGTCGTTGACGCCTCAAAAAACGTGGAAACCCGGCCCCAAGACAATTGAATTTTGGGGGCGGGACTGGGACCTGGACCTTCTAGTTTGGTTATCACTGGGCAGGAGACAGCACGACAGCAATTGGAATTTAGCGCTTCGGGGCCATATTGCTTGCTTCCCGGGGTTGCTGGCTAAAGTTGATGGCCTGAGTTAGTACTGGAAAAGCTGATGATTGCACGGTATGATTGGTTTCTTGGTGGGCCCAAGTGGATCTCCGTTCTCATAGGCGAAACGGAAAGGACCCGACGCAGCAAAGTGCTTGGGCAACGACCGAATCGAGTTGGTCGCGCTTTCCACAATCCAGAACCCTGTCAGGAATTTTTGATATTGCTCTCTGTCCTCTTCAGCCAACTTGCTCTTTGACACTACATTTCCTGCCATCAGCTCAGCACAGAATTACGACGTTTTGCAACTGCCGCCGAAGGCTGCAGCCTCAACTCGCCATCTTTCTTGTTGTACGACCAATGGGCTGAATCATCTCACTTCTATCAAAGCTAGAGTCGATTGCCCTCGCACCGCGCAACGTCCTCCCAATGTTGTCTTGTGTGCATTCTCTGATTTGGGGGCAAACGCCAGAACGATGCTAGACGGGTGAGCCAACTCTCAAAGTTGAGAGGCCAAGAAAACCGCTACCTACAGCTTGGGATTGGTGCACGGACCATCTGTTTGCGGGGCGTTCCTCGACAAGTGTCTAGGCAGCCTTGAGAAGCGCAAGGCGCTAGTGCAAGGCTGAGAAGCTTCCTGCTGTTGGTTCAGTCACTGTCGCCGTATCTGCCCCACCAAAACCAACTCCAACTCACCCGCAAAGGCGAACTTTCTTCGACCACTGACTCTTTGAGTAAACTCTGATTCTCCTTCTGCAGCAACTCTCTGCTTGCGCACTCTCGTCTTTCTACTTGCGCATTCTTCTTCTTTTGCGGTTCATCACACATGTGGGTTTTAGCCATCGTCTAGCATCTCGGGGTTCCGGTCGTTCCTGTCGCAAACGTCATCGCCCGACAATCCGAAGCGATATGCGCTAGGTCGTGCAATCACTGTGGTCGCCTCGCTCTTGGCTACTCTCGTCCGCTAGAGCACAGTTTTCGCGCAGACCTCAAGACTGGTGAGCAGTTGAACCACAAACACCACAGCTCTAGGTATTGCTTACACGTGAACCCTTCCGACACAGACAGACTCTCACATCCTCGCGCATCCTTGCGCATCCTTACGCCATGGCCCCAAAACGACAAGCCGCTGCCCAATTTGGCGCGACTTCGATGCCTCGCCGTAACCCAGCTCGCAACGCCGAACCCCTCTCCTCCCTTACCGAGCAAATGCGCGTTGCCAAGCCTCGAGCCCGATCCAATACTGCCAAACCTACACCAGGCTCCTCCGGCAAGACTCGGACCTCCACCCGAACACAGAGACTGTCCTACGTTGGCATGGAAACTTCCGACGATGAATTGTTGACCGACGAAGACACGGAAGACATCGATGCATCACCCCAAACCTCGAAAACCACTCCGCGCCGGGCCCCTCGGGCAGCAACTGTTGGCGCATCTGGTCCGACTCGTACAAGCCCCAATGATGGCAACGGTGCTAGCATCAAACGCATGTCAGCCGCCTCTACCCGGGGCTCCGTCCCAAAGAAGGCGCGTGGCCGCAAAGCCAAGAGTTCGCTGCGCAAAGTCGGTGATCGCGACTCCTCTGACGTACAAGACGGAGATGGATCTCAGGACGACTTTTCTGGCGGCAAAGCTACATCGAAGCCTTCTCTGGTAAAGTCGGATCGTGGAAGGCCTCCGCTTAAGGGGGCAAACCCTGAACCCAATTCCACGAATTCTGTCATTCCCAACTGGTTGAGTCCACAGATCGAGCATTCAATCTGGGTTCAGATTTTCCAATATGCTGCAGTCTCTGGCGACGAGCAGGATACTCTTGATATCAACTGGCTTCTTCGTATTGCTCGGGCTTGCCGACAATTCGCAGATCCGGCTCTGACGGTGCTCTACAAGTGCCCCCCTGTCCGGGACGAGATCAAAGCCTATGGCCTTGTAGAGTTGCTCGAGAAGTCGCCGTCTTTGACGGCCGTCAACTATCGAGCAAAGATTGAGGCACTCCACATTGATGTGCGACTCGTGTCGTTGCAGGGCCCGACCTCTCCGCTCAAGCTGATGCAGAATCTGCCCCGGCTTTCAGAAGTACTGCTCGTCCATGGATACGACCAAGCTCCTTACCGACTGCTGAAAGAATCGATCAAATGGACGTACCCACCAGAACTATTCCAAGCATTCGAGGTGTCGCCAACTGCAAACGCGGAGGCGGGAGATAAAACCGCCATAACCCGGCTTCGGACCTGGCAGTGGAGCTCTAGGCTTATGGACAAAAACTGGGAGGTTAGCCTTGCGAGAATCAAGCAGGTACACCAAATACCAAGCTTCGCTTCTCTACGCAAGGTGAAGTATGTCAATTATCAGATGCCGTCAATCCGACTGGATAAAGACCCAGGATCCAACCCCGAGCTGCAGGCTGAAGACGAAAGGTCTGTGGCTTTGCTTGCAGACTCCATCTCGGTGTTGGAGAACCTCGAGGATTTAGCCTTCGAGTCTTCAACAATAGTCGGATCGTCTTTGTTCTCTCTTCTCCCGGCAAAGCTGAAGCGTCTGGAGCTGGTCAACTGCGCAGAAGTCATCGCCGACGATCTTGGCATGTTCTTGGTCACAAAGGGACATCAACTGGAATCGCTTGTCCTGCACCACAATCGCTCGCTCAACCTGGGCTTCCTCACGGTCCTCGGTTCTGCCTGCCCGCATCTTAAGGAGTTGCGAATGAATCTTCAGTACTTCAGTCTGTTGGAGACCATCGACGACACTCTACCTTCTTACGATACGCTCTTACTCCCTGAACAAGTGCCCAGCTGGCCGACATCTTTGCAGCTTGTTCACTTGGAGAACCTTCGTCACTGGAGCTCCGACGCTGCCGACACCAAGGCAGCAGAAGCCTTCTTACAGTCTTTCATTGACAGCGCCCGCGACCTACCGAAACTTAGGCATGTGTCAATCAAGGCGATGTTGAACATTTCCTGGCGGTCGCGCAGCGAGTTCCGCCGATCATGGCAGGAAAAGTTCGAAAAGATCTTTCTTCGGCGGAGCCCTGATCCGAGGCCGCACTCTACTTTGCGCAAGCCGCCTCCCATCGAGACATCGCCTTCCCTGGCAGTCACAAAACGGAAGTCTAAGAAACCGCCCGTAGAGCCCTCCCGACGAAGCAACCGCATTGTGTCGCATACATCAAGCACTTCCTCCCGTGCTAGCAGTACGTCGCGGGGGCTTCGTGGTCGACAGCGGAAGCCCAAGTCATATCTTGAGCCAGACAGCGATGAGTTCGATTCCGACGGCGATATCGACATGGATGGCTCCGCCCAAGACTCGAATGAAGAAGATGCCGACCGGAATACAGAAGGCGCAGCTACGAATGCTCCAGCATCCCATGGGACCTTCATCCAGGGCATGTGCATCGTGGTCGACATCAACATCGACAACCAGAAGCCAAGAGAGCATCAATACAGCATGGATGACTTCCTCAACGATGAGAGAGACTTCGAGTCGGATGGCGACTGGGACGGTGATGTGGACTTTGAGTAGGATTAGCTGTCTCTTCCTGCTCCCGGGTTGAAAGAGACTGTTGATTGGCCCTTCATCATCTTGGCCTTCAGAGACGACTGAGAGAATCTTCTCTGACCGCGCGAAGCTTCGTGCACACATGTAACATTACACGACCTTATTGGCTTTTGCACACACGCGCGGAAGCGTGCTTTGGCTCATTACTACGGAATACGACGGCATGAATAACGGTTTACCCCGGCATATAGGGAAAAGGCTGAGAGGGACTCGCCCGGTCGGTCGGTCACGGACGGAATGACGGGAAACGGGTTATGGATATGATGTGAGAGAGGCCCCGGACACCCGAGGCGTATCTAAGGCAGCCTTTTGAGATATGAGTGCTATTAGTATGGCCTCTTCCTGTCCTGAGGTGTGGAGGATGAGGAAGCAGCCTCAGTTACGAAATGGAATTAGAAACCCCTATCGCGGAGAGATTGTTTGTCCCCTTGATACTTGATGGATCTGGGCTCTGTGATGTATACATGGAAGAGAAGCTGATCCATGCTCCCGCCCTCCGTGCCTTGGCGACGTGACAACCAGGTATCCGCCAGTCGAACCGGCGCTCGTTGTTGCTCTGCTTCTTCGTGGCAACGTAAAGTTCCTCAAGGTCTAACCAGCTCATCGCGTGCTCATCTCATTGGTCCTCAAAACACAACGACCGACGGCGTAACCAAGCATGTCCCAAATTTGAGTCTATTACAACCTTTCGATGGGGGTATCGTCGAGCTCTACGCCTACAAAACGTTCCAACAAGGCGTGTTCGTACATGCAAAACAACGCAAACAGTAGTGGTGGTGGTGGTGATACATCATCGTCGTCGTCGCCGCCCCAGGGCGACGTTCCGTCTCCGTGCGATCCTTGGCTTCCGACGCAAAGAAAAAACAGTCCCCCTCCTCCCCCCCCCAGTGCATCTGCTAGTTCGTCACACTCAACACTCTTTAAAAGGCAGCTCCCCCGAGACCCTCGCCGGCCAAGCTCTTGAGGCTCTGCTCGCTGAGGTCCACCCTCGTCTTCCACGCCTTGGACTCCATTTCGAGCTTGTCCCACATCTGGAGGCTTTGCCGCAGCTTGTCCTGCTTGGCGTCCAGCTCCCCGCGCGCCTTCTCCTCCTCGGCCTTGAGCTTCTTGTAGTGCGGCTCAATCTCTCTCGTGATGCCCGTGGTCGTCGGCAGCAGGGAGGGGTCGATCTTGCCGCCTGGGATGATAGGGGCAGAGTGGCAAGCATGCTCTGAGCCAGGGTAGGTCGGGCTCCTCCGGCGCCGTGCTGTGATGAAGGGCCAGTGGGAGGGTTGAAGACCTTGGGTGCAGTGGAGGGGTTTGAAGGGGTGTTGTTGGATGGGTTAGCGCGCGGGCCGGTTGGGATGGTGGATGGTCCGTTGCCGGCGGCTGAAGGGGACGTTGTAGGGACTGGGGTCTGGCGAGGCGACGGGCCCGACCACGAGCCTCGTCCGCCGCGGGAGCTATATCCGCCGCCCCTAGCCGGAGCTACGTAGCCTCGAGGGCCGGCCGGGGGGATCGTAGGGCTAGTGGCGTCTGCGCGCGGGGGTGGCACGCTTGGGGTCTGCGGGTGTCTAGTTGGCTGGACAGCTGGTGAGCCGGCGGGCGCAGAGAAGTTTCGGGTCGCGGCGGGACCGGTCGGAGGAGCACGTAAAGCGGCGGGGCCTCGAGGTGGTGTCTTTGCTACCGGTGGGGCCGGTTCTTGGGGGGCGGCAACGGCGGCGGCGGCGGCGGCGGCGGCAGGCTTGGGTGCTTCGCGATTCGTCGCCGTCGTCGTCGAAGACGATGATGCGGCGGAAGCACCGCCGGTCTGGAGGGGTGTGGGTTCCCGCTCTCGCTCTCGCTGCTGCGGCTGCTGCGGCTGTTCCCGCTCCCGTTCGATGCGCTCCCCACGCTCCCTCGATTGCGGCCGCGATCGTGCTCGGATGGAAGGAGGAGGATGCGGTGACGACTTGCCTGAAGCTGATCGAGACGTGATCGCTGACGAGATGCCAGAATCTCGGGGCGGCGACGCCCGTCTATAGGAGGACCCTAGATATCTCTCGCCACCACGGCGGCTCGTGCTGCGAGACCGCGGACGGTAACCGCCTCGGGGTGCCGGTGCAGGCGACCTCCTGGGCGGAGGGGTTCTGTCCCGAGGACCCCTGTCGCGGCCGTAAGGCGAGCGCGACCGTCTTCTAGCAGCTAATGAGACTGGAGTCTGCGCAAAGGGGGGCAACGAACGGTACCTGTCGTCCCGCCGATCAAGGTCCCTGTCTCTCTCCCTCTCACGTTCCCTGTCTCTGTTGTCGCGCCGCATCGGCGATCTGGCACGGTCGCTTCTCTCGTCCCGGATGGCGGGGGATCTACCGATGGGACTGCGTCGTCTCGACGGGCTACGTCTCGGCGAGGGGCGTCTCAAAGGTGGGCTCCGGGTTCTATCCCGTCTGCGCCAGGTATCGCTCTGAGGGCGCGGGTCCCTATCCCGCGATCGGTCGCGTCGGTACCGCTCAGCGCTGCGTGACCTGCGACGCGCGGGAGATCGCCCGGGGACGTAGCTGTCCGACGTCAAGGGCGGTGTGCGCGCGCGTTCTCTGTCGCGGTCACGCGAACGTGGTCGGTCTCTGTCTCTGATGTCCCTAAGATCTCGGTCTCGGTCTCTATCGCGGTCTCGAGATCGTGGCCGTTCTCTGTCTCTGTCACGGTCGCGGTCGCGATCTCGGTCTCGTTCGCGATCTCTCAGAGGACTTCGAACTCGTCGAGGGGAGCGGTCTCCGCCGCCGCCACCTCCACCGCGTGGAAAAGGTCTCCAGGATTCGCCTGCGCCATATCTAGTGACTTCACCGTCCTCGTACCTATTTGTTTTCGTCAGTTTTTTTTGCTCCTTGATAGCTCGAAGGCCAGCCGAGGGAGTCCATGGCGACGGAGCATTCGATGAGCCGGGCTGCAAGAATGTAGCTCTTTGCAGGCCAGCTGCGCTTCGCGATCAACATGGAAGAAGTGCCCCAACAAGTATCAACCACAGCAAGTGTACAGCAGCGATCAAAGGTGAAGAGCCGTTGATGGAGCGTGGCGCGTAGTCGAACTACAGCTGCACACCACTCCGCGGAGCAGGCAATGGCGGAAGGGATCCATTGATAGCGAAGGCAAGGCAAGGCCGCGACGAATGGAGGAGGGAAATGGCTCGAGTGGACCTTCACTTACCTGCTTCTGCGGTCGCGATCCATGATGCGTATCGGTAGACCCGAATCGACTTGATGCTCTCGGAGCGAGATTTGGCTGTAACTTTTGTGATGATCGTGATGCGCGCGGGTGGGTAGGTATTGAGAGGGTCAGCTACTTTTGAGGTAATGCGCAGACGCCAAACGGTACTGGACGGAGCAGGGTGGTCTGCAAACGGTACCAAGGTTTGGGCTGGCCCCTGAAAAATGTACGAGGTACCCACAACCCGGAGGATGAGGATAGCGCGGTGCTGTCCATCTTCGTTGCCGGATAAGATAAGGAACAGACGCGCACCGACCAATGGGAAACCGCGCTTTGACGACGCTTCTTACCCACAGTGCATCTCTCCATCTGGGACCAATCAGAGCTGGGAGAGCTGACGAAAGGCCAGGGTCTTAAGTGATTTGTCGGGAAAATTATGACATCTCCACGACGGGAGGATCGTACTATGGTAAAAAAAGTCAAGGCCGACTTTTCGGACGCAAACGTGACTTAGGCGCTTTCTCCTTGTGTGCTAGCTAGGATCCACCTGATCTTTTGAGTCGATGAAAGCAATGTCAAAGTGACGGCAGTAACATGAACGCAAGTGTGAGTTCAAAACCAAAATGCAAAAGATTAACCCGAAGAGTGGCTGTGCCAATCGCGGTGAGGATTTGAGCCTCACGCGGGGGTCGAACCCGCAACCTTGAGATTAAGAGTCTCACGCTCTACCGATTGAGCTAGCAAGGCGGGTTATTGAGTGGATCCGAAGACCCATTGTTGGAAAGTGAGAACAGAATCAGACTCTTGATGCCCAGTCGCACGTTTGTAGATGACCATCTGCCTTATCCGGGCAGCAACCGGCCATCAGAGATGTGAAGATCGTCGCCGCCTCGCGGTTACATATGGATAAAGTTCTCTTGGGGGTCTACGCTGATGGCTACTGCCCTGCGCTCACAAACTCCTCGCGAAAGTCCCGAACGTCCACCCTATCTTCTGGTCCCGGCCTCCCTATCCTCCACGCCGACGATCCTCTGATATTCATAAGTAAATATACTGCACAGAACGTATCTTCTCTCGTGCACCTCAAGCCATTGTGGATTCTCTTTCGGCGATCGATCACCCAGCGCCGGTTGCTCATATTCCTCTTCCTCAAGTCATCTTGTCGTCTTCGGTGGTATCTCCGTTCTGGCGAGCCGCCAGCATCTCCAGCATCCATTTCTGGACCTCTCCAGCATGCGTTTGCATCATCTTCTGCACGCCGTTGGCCTCGCTGCGAATGACTGTTCCAAATCGCCGTTTAGTCACTCTGCGCAGTGTATCCTCACTATTCCAGCACGGGTGGTCGTGCGATACGTAGATCTGAGAGTGCCCCTTGTACCACGTTGCCAGTTCATTGTCGACATCGGATTTGACTGGTCGCAGCATCCCCTCGACGAAGCATGCAACTCCGGCAACACGCGCTTTGCAGTCTGTCAAAAGAGGTAAGCAGGAGGCCCATTTGTCGTCGTCGTCAACAACACTTACCTCGGCCTGTCAAAAGTGCCCTAACCCCACTGTACGACCGACCGACACCAATAAGGAGTATATCGTCGGCTTCCTCATAGAGCTGGAGGTAGTTGTCCCATAGATAGTTCGCCAGCTCTTGGAGCTCGTTTAGTAGATCCTTGTCTGCTGTTCGAGGGCTGTACGGGTCCATGTCTTCATCCCGTGATACTTTGCTGGGGACGTTGACGTCCATTACTGCGATGCCTTCGTGAACAGCCCAGTCAATGTACTGTGCTACAGTGTCGACAACCCATGCGTTGTGAGGTTCGATATGGCGGTCAATCACATCTGGTTGCGCGAGCAACTCTGGTGGGTCGTGGATGATGACAAGAATACGACGCGCACTTGGAATGTCGGGGGTTACAAGGACCTGGTTTTCGTATGATTTGAAAAGCAGATCCCTCTGGATGAAGAGGGGAATCATCTGGTGACGTTGTGCGAGATTCTGCCGCTGGCCGAGTCTGATGTGATCATGAAGTCTAGTCGCATTGAGGTCTTGGATATCCGGCACTGGGACAATACCAGGTCTCATGCATTCCCAGTACGGCGCCTGGTAGCTCTGGACTTTAGCAAGAACTCTGGCCGCGTCCTTATTAAGCATGGGAATCTCCATTTTCGGTGGCGGTTCCCCCATCAACGTGCGAGCAACAGCCACAGCCGACGTCGAGATAGCCTGCAAGTTGTAGCCACCCTCCAGGCACACGGCAACCTTGCCATCCGCCAAGGACATGAGCATATGCGTCATGTGCGCATAGCAGGTTGGAGTCACAAAGCAGCCGCCAAGCTCATCTCCAGCAGCGGCGTCAAATCCGGCGGAGATAACAACCAAGTCAGGATTGAACTCTTTCGCAATGGGCATGATGATTTTTTGGAAAGCCGCCATGTACTCGCCGTCTCCCATACCTTGGTCGTGCCATCCAATGTTGATGTTCTTCCCCAGGCCGGGTCCTGTGCCGCAGTGTTCTAAGCCTCCGTCGGGTATTTCTTGATTGTCAGGCTTGCCAGGGTAAAAGATTCCGTTCTGGTAGACGTGGAGGGAAATATACAGAACATTCGGGTCGTCGTAAAAGATGTTTTGGATACCGTTGCCGTGGTGGACATCCCAGTCCAAAATGAGGACCTTTCGACAATCGTTCGGGTACTCTTGCTGGCAGATCTTGACGGCGACGGGCACGTTGTTGAAGAAGCAGAACCCGAGGGGCTGGTCGTACTCTGCGTGATGGCCGGGCGGTCTGATAACGGCAAAGGCATTTTTTACGTTGCCTTCCACGACATGCTTGCAGGTGTCGATGGCGCCGCCGCAAGATAAGAGGGCTGCCGTGAAAGTAAGGCTGCCAACGTAGAGCGAGGCACGGCCTTGATCATATTGCCGGCTCGTTTCCCGCAACTCGGCGTAGTCCATCTTTGAAAGACCTTCAACCCAATGGTAGTGCAGTGGAGTGTGAGTAGTAAGAATTTCTTCTTTTGTCGCCTCGCGAGTACCAATTCTCCACATGTACTTGGTCGGAGTGTCTCGCATAACATCGGCAACTTTGCTTTCTGGGCCAGTGTAGACCAAGCCGGCCCTCTTGAAGGCTTTATAGATCTCTTCTATCCGACGAGGATCCTCTGGGTGGTGGGTGTTGTGCCAAAGTCAGCGTTGACATGAAGCTTCATGCGGTCATCATAGCAACACGCTGTTGGCAGAAGACCCCGTCTGCGCAGCTGATTCGTGACCTGCTGGTCTGAATCGTCGTCGTATTCGTCGAAATCATCCTCATCTTCATCGTCGGGAGATGTGAAATTCTCATTCTTGGGGTCTCCTTCGGGCGCAGTCACACCGTTGGGAGTAGTCGTGTGATTTGACGGCCCATCGTCCCCGCCCATGACAACGTCTTGGTCGCCGCCTTCCATGGTGCAGAGGCGAGTTTCGACTCACCCCCCAAGGCTTGGGTCAGCCTAGCTGAGAGATAGCCTGCCTTAAATGAGATGTTTGGGGAAAATAAGATACGCTTCTGTGGCTGGAAACAGATCGTAACTCCCGCCGACTGGTGTGTTGTACGCTTGAGTCGAAGATGGATCCCAGCCTTGACAAAGCCTATTCGACAAACGATATAGGGTTTCCTGAGATAGGGAGTTTGCCAGCTCCTTGTCATACAAAAATACACGATAGTCCGTTTCGGATTACTTGCTCAACAGAAAAGTCGAGATCCTACTGCGGTGTCAGTAGAGTCAAGATTGAGCAGATACCAACAAGCGCAGTATTTGTAGTAGGCCAGTTCCGAGAACTTTTCCTGACAGCTTAACTATCAGAGACCTTCGAAATATCATCCAAAATCTAATGAACGAACAACAATTCTTGATATGGGTGAAACTGGTAAGTCTGAGGTCCAGAGGTACCTCTTTGTTGCGGGGCTCCGATGAAAGAGCAATGAGGTGAGAAGGCAGGTACGGCGACCCAGGATGCGCTTTCGTCGCTAGTCCACTTGGCCTGGAACAGGAGGCCGGCCAGACGATCGCTTGCGTATTGAGAGGAAACGAGATAGCCCAGAGGCCAGTTACTAACCTTGGGAAGTGAGTGACAATGGCTGTTGTCCAGGATGGTATCAACCTTGAGATAGGATAAGCTAGGCTGGCTGGGCTGGCTGTAGGTCTGTCTCCTTCTGGCGCAAGTCGGATTACAGCTGAGCGCTTTTGAGCCCGGAACCGGTTACCAAATGTGAGGGGTAATGCCAGCAAACCGATTATGGGTAAAGAAGCTTGAGATGCGCCAACGCAATGCGCCGCGCTGATGGAACGAGGTTGTCGTGTAGGACGACTATCAGGTGAATGGCCAGGTGTGAGTGAGTGAACAAGATGGGAGAGGCATGGGCCACTGACAAGGCGGGAGCTGGCCACAAGCCGCCGCCTTGCAGGGTGCACCCGCCACAGCAAACCCCCTGTACGCCGCAGCCTTGCACTAAGACAGCAAGTCCACAATCCACTGATTACCAGGTTCCCATTTAAGGCAAGTTCGATTACTGTTCTTTCCAGACCACATTCCCCTTGTTATTCCATCTCTTAGATATAATATGTCTATTGAAGAGACCCTCGTCCAGGCGGCTATCACAGTGTACCGGCATGCCTAGGACGCATTGACTTCGGAACTGGACTGATCCGTCGTGACCGTCAACATCACTTGGCATACTTTAAAGACGTGAGGGTGCATCGGAGAACTACAGTAGAACTGCCAGAATCTATGATGGCTAAGACTCAATCTATTCTATAGATTGACCGGCAAGAGGAAACCCGAGCACCAAACTCAAGAGCCTCGCCAGCCATGGGAGTGACTTCGCTCCGTAAGGGCTCGGCCGTCGTCCCCGGGAGGAGCCCAGTTTCCTCTTGGCCGCCGAAAAGCACCTGGAGGTGGGATCGAGCCATCATGGCTGCCGTCACGACTGAGGCGCCCGTCAACATCGTCTTCAGAGTTCACGATACCCCCAGTACTGCTCAAATCGGCAATCTCATACAGCCATGGTCGCTCATCCGCAGCCGCCTGGACCGCTGCTACGAGGGATTCTTGATCCTGAGAGAAAGCGGGATGCTTGAGGTTCACATCCGTCACCAGTCGCTTTCGAGGATAGTTGAACAAATTCTCAAAGTAAAACATAAGGTCTCTAGGATCGAGCTTGGCATATGTGTCCACAATGCGCTCACGGATGCTAGTCTCGATCATCGTTTCAAGCGGGCTGCTCTCGTCGATCTACATGTCGCATCAGCATGGTATTCAGGTTTCGTTCTCGATGCGGTACTCACCGGTTCGAGATTCTGCTCCAGGTTTGGGTAAATGTAATGCCGAACAAGGTTTTTCATTGACATGAACAGATCCCTCATCTCCATCAACTCGCATGTCGAATACAGTCTCATATGGCTGGTCCGAACATCGTTGACGAACGGTTCTGGCTGGCCACTCCGAGGCCGGGGAAGCTCGCCGTGGAAGTAAAAGGCATAAAGCCACCAACGATAGAGAGCACGGCGAAGTTTGTATTTTTCTGCTTCGCTGAGTTGTCGACAATCTTCAGGCGCCGTGAACCAGTGAAGTTGAGGAAACAGTTCTTCCCATCGTCGTGCAACCAGGCAGTATTTCAGCAGACGGCTCAAGTCTCGATCGACAAGGGTAACTGAGCGTGGCGAAGGCAAGGGGGTTGTCCTTGCAGGACTTCCGCCGTTGAAAGTCTTGGTGAGCGCTGCGTCCTCGAGAAGCATACTTTGGCTGTGCTGTACGCCACCTCGGGACAAGGTGACGCCCGTCATGTCGCCCGGAAATCGCCTGAAAACAACCCTTCGTGGCTGGAAAGTATCCCCATACTGCAGCATGTCCTGGTCCGATGCTGTAAAGACTTGAAGCAGTTCGGGAAACGGACTGAACTCTCGTTGAAGGACTGGTAGCAGGATGGCGGCCTTGTTCCTCTTCAAAAGCCCATGGAAAAGGGTGTTAACCTGGGCCAAAGAAAAGATGCTTTGCACATCGAGTTGGTGGTAGATGTCGAAAATGATTTCGAGCGGCAAACCTTCGAGGCCGTCCAGCTTACCCAAGTCGTAATCTGCTGAATCGGATTGCATGTGCAAGGCCCCAAAGAGGGATGAATATGTCGACGACATCGTGAGAACAGCTAGCGACTGTCTATAACGATCTATGTGTAGATTACAGTAAGGAGTGCCGGTAAAGTGAAATTAATGTGGTGGTTTGCAATTCGAATGTAGACGCGTAGTTATCAGGGAATAAGGTGAGCGTTTGGAGCAGAAAGCGTCAACCTCTGGGTTGATCTTGTTTTCACTCCTCGGCGATGAACTCGGACAACCCGTGTCACAGATGCGACCAAACGCCCTCAGCAGCGATAATGAACTGATTTGATTCTGACCAAGTCTCAGACGCCTGCCTCGACGGTAGGTGGATCGCACAACTCACTGGTGATTTGCAACATGTTGTTTTGGGGTGACTCCTTGCGTATAATCTTGAATAACCAGTATTCCTGGCTTATTTTGGCTGCTCTGCTTGCTTGTCCAAGAATGGAGACTGTTCAAGTGCGAACAAGGGAGCTAGAGCTTATCGTCTAGCGTTGATATCGTGGAGGACCTCTGATGAGAGAGCTTCCGCAGATGGTGCCAGATCAAGATCTGGTAAAAGGGATGTAATGATAATCTTAAAGGGGAGAAACCCCTGCTGGCCTCACGGATGAACAAAGTCACCAGTGAGGTGTGCGATTGGTAGGTTTACTTTCTGACAACCCCGACGTTGGGGCTATCGAGAATGGCGAAGCTGCAGGTCGGCATCGTTTGCTCCAAGGACACAGTTTTCGTCAGAATGATCCGGCGATTGTCCCAATGGGTCCTGTTTGCTCGACGAACGGATGCTGAGAACCAAAGCGTTGTCGCAGGGTGGTCGATGCAAAGGGCTCGAGGAAACGGAAAGGAAGAACGCACGCGACGGTGACGCAGAGGTCATGCACGTCGCCCCCTACTGCTGACCTAAGGTATTTCAAGTGCTGAAGTTAATCTACATAGTAGGAAGCACAATGACAACAGTGGGTTCCTTCCCCCGGACGGCTGGCGCCAGGGGTGCTGTATCGCTCGTGGTTTGTAGCTGGGATGCCTGGGATTGAGTGGCCAATCATTGCACAGAACTCCCTCTACCAGAGCTCCATCACGAAACGGGTACGTACCGCGATATCAAGAGCCTCATTTCTTGCCTGATGCTCTTCAGTAGCTTCACTTCCATGATTGACCTTCATTGATTATCCACTTATCTTTCCAGCAAATTTTTGGCCAGAATATTAATTCGATTTCTCCAGTTAAGCAAACAAAGTCTTGGTATCTAGTTCATCCTTCGCCGCGGGCCGTCCCCCCTTTGACCTGATGCCCAGCTCGCCCTTCTTTGATAGCCGCTCAACCTGCTGTTCCACACGCGAGACATGACGAGTAGCCTTCTTGCGTTTGATATCGGCGCGAATCTGGTTCGGGCTGACGAACTCCTTACTGTTCCAGAGAAGAGGTCCTCCGAACGAGCCCTCCTGGATAAGAATTGGGGTGGCCGTGAATCTCGGACCAATCTCCATCAACTTGACATCGGTTCTCTTGCCGGCATGGACTTTGGTAGTTGGCTCGTCGGAGTTCTCATCGGCTTCCACCTCCTGCACTTGATACTGACGGATCCAAATCTGTTATCAAAGGGTCAGCTTACTGTCTCCGCCAATTGCCGTAGTTTGCAAAGGTGCAGAGAAAGAGATGAAACATACCTTTCCATCGAGGTAGGAGAATCCAATCACCCTGTCGATAAATGGCTTTGATTTCCGCGCACCTTGGGGTACTCTCAGGTTTGCAATAAATGCTTGCTTAATGACTGCCGCCAAGTTAGCACACTGGAGTAAAATGCTGATTCAAACATTAAATCTTACCTTGGAGATGGGGGTTCTTCTCGTCCTCGAAGGCAGCATCGAAGGAAAGGATCGGACGCGAGCCCTTGAGGCAGTTGCCAGGGAAGTTGAGTTCCTCCATCGTGTGGACTGATATCATTAGCCATGATCTGACGTCAATTCGAAAACACTCTGGTACTTACTGTTCTGAAGATGGAATTTGATCGCGGGACCATTCGGGCACTTCAAACCGTCAACTGTTGGACCCCAGAAAGTTATCGCTGAGGATACTCACATTCGCGATCCACATGTAAAGATCCTTGGCCTTCCTGGCCTCGAAGTACATGATTCCGTTACAGTTCATCATTTCCGCAAGCTCGTTGAGAGCTGAGAGGTTGTGCTTATCGTCGAACTATAGAGCCGTATTAGGATCGTAGGCCAGTTTGAATAACGTCGTCCTCGTGGATGTGGACTAGAACTCGCGGGGCGAGACTGACCTTGCTGTCCAGCTTTCCGTGAGGCATAAGCGTCGCGAGATCGTTCATCAGGTGTCGGTGTCTGGTGACAATCAAGTCAGCAAAACATTCCAATGGAGAAAAAAATATCATAAAAATAAGGGACAGACAAGCTGGTGTGAGTTTCTTACCTGTAGGTCACACCTCTGCTAGAAAGGATCAGAGTGCGCCTCTTTTGACGGTTCTTCTGGACGCCATTGGCGGGCGCCTCGACCTTGTCGGTCTTTTTTGATAGCGACTTGTACACGGAAGCCATCGCGATGATCGATTCGTGGTCGGCCGAGAAATTCGCGTTTTGATTCGTGGTTGTCGGTCGGTGTCTGGACCGTTTGACGTTGTAGATGCGGAAGAAGATTCGCAGGGTAGCCACTGGACATCCAACCGACGGCTTGCGCGCGCCAGAGATTTTTTTTTTCCTCTTTTGCCTTGCGGCAGAACGATGCGATAAGCAGAGCTTATCGAAAAGCGGTGTAGCCAAAGTCGGCGGGGCACAGTACCCTCTAACGTCCCTCCATGCACGGACATTTCTCACTCCCAGTCCTAGGTACGTATCGAGACCTTCTACAGCGGCCTGCCTAGGCGTGTCAGAAAGCTGTAAAAAGGAGCGCTAGCTGGAAAGGGGGGCGGCTCTGAGGGGGTCCAGTACAATCCGCGCCCACCACAGGAACCTCAGCACCTAGCTCGGGCTAGGGGGAAAGAAACTTTGTGGATCGCGGGCAAGCTTGCAGCCCACCTCAATTTCGCACTGCTGGAGCGCAACGAGTCGGTTCCAGGCTTCACACTGGTCAGGAGGCGGTTCGCGAGGAGGGTCTCTCAGATTTGGGGTCTAGGGTACTTCAGATGTGAAGGGCATGGATTTAGTGACCACTAGAACGTCGTTCTGCTCAAGGAAAGCCACTTTTCGGTTTAGAGGAACACCTGTCACGACCACAGGCCCGGATGCACCGAGGAAAAGGTACGTCAGAGCCGGCCCTCATGGACGGGTTTCATCGGGGCATAAGGGGACCGATGAGGCCACCCATACACCCTACGCGATGTCGTGTACCTTGAAAGTGTTTGCCCACGTGTGCTCTGACAAAGGGAAGCATGGCAACATGCTCAGCGCAGTCCTCCCTTGGTGACCCTCCTCTCCAAACACTTCTCACATCAGCGGAGCGGCCAAGGAGACCCCAAAGCATTAAGATGGATTCATTCAACTACGTAAGCATGGCAGAGTGATCGTCAGAAACATCAAATCCCAGACAAGCCGCACTGAGCCGTATAAAGGAGAACAAAAGAAAGGCCGAGACTGTACTCCGTCCCCTCAGAAATCATAAAAAGACTCGTTGGATTCCTAGTCATTCCTCGATGCAACAGCCCCTCCATGACCAAGTGACATACAGATCCCGGAGGCATATGTGAGACGCCATGATATCGACCGTAGCAGCCCTCCCAAAAGGCCGTGAAACAGGTGCGCAGAAGGGGGTGGTCGCTTAGCAGCACTTGCCGCTCTTCTCTGCGCTGTCATCCGCCGGCTTGGTGAGCGAAATGCCGGGACCGGCCCCGATTGTGGCTTGAGGTCCGTCGCCCGAGTCGAGGGCCTTGCTCGATACGATTCGGTAGATCTCTGTTGGAAAACAGGTCAAGTTAGCGCACGAACAATTCCTGGGGGGGGGGGGGGGGGGTCGCGGGCGATTTGCGAGCGCGGGAGGCGAAACGCACCGGTCAAGATGTTCTGGAATGCGAGCTCGACGTTGCTGGCGTCGAGGGCAGACGTCTCAATGAAGGAGAGGTGGTTCTCGCCTAAAGGACAGGTTAGCCAACTCAGTATCCGCTGAGCTTCCCTTGCTCCTTCACCGCAACGTACTGGCGAAAGCCTTGGCCTCCTCTGTAGGCACCGCCCGCAGGTGGCGCAAATCGCTCTTGTTTCCAACCAGCATGATGACGATGTTGGCATCGGCGTGGTCCCGCAGTTCCTTCAACCATCGGGTGACGTTCTCGTATGTCTGGTGCTTGCTGATGTCGTAGACGAGGAGGGCACCGACAGCACCTCTGTAGTAGGCCGAGGTGATGGCGCGGTAGCGCTCCTGGCCAGCGGTATCCCAAATCTGTGCCTTGATCGTCTTGGAATCGACTTGAATGGATCTAGTAGCGAACTCGACGCCAATTGTCGACTTGGAGTCGAGGTTGAATTCATTGCGGGTGAATCGACTGAGAAGGTTGGACTTTCCGACGCCCGAGTCTCCGATCAACACCACTAAAAGATCAAAAAGTCAGCTCGCTTCCGGCAGCGCTGTTGTCACTGCGCGATAACATCGCAAGATCGGTCGGTCGACGGCGCACCTTTGAAGAGGAACTGTGGGAGCCGTCAGGTTAGCGCAAGGAGGGGGAAACAGTTGGAGAGGGACAGAGGGCGGGTGGGAGGTCCAAAGGGAGTTGGACGAATGCAGATGGAGGACTCACGTCGTATTCGTCGTTGGCCATGTTGTCGGTTTGTAGTGAATTGCGATGTATGAATGTCGGAGCAGGTGTTGGGTCGGTGGTGTTGCAAAGCGAGGATACTGCGGCTCGATGGAGGTGTGCGCGGCCCCTAGAGATAAAGCAGTTGAGTTGAGGCGAGGCAAGGTGTAAGGGTCTGGAACTGAACTAGACTGAGAGAGAGGTGGACAGTGCAGGTAAAGCCGGCGCAGCGTAGGTGGTGGTGTGTGTGGGTGGGTGGGTGGGTGGTACGTGAGGCAGCAAAGATTGAGGTGAGGTGGTGCCGGCGCAGCTCTAAGCCACAGGTATTCGCTGGAGGGCCGGTAGCAGCATGAGAAAACAGCCACTAAAGGGGGGAGGGGAGTCGAGTCGGGGCGTAGGGGTACGCTGCAGAGGACTTCCGTAGGCAGCGGCGAGGGGCTTATTGGGTGGTGCTGGCAGTAGGTACCTTGGGAACAGAGGTACCTCTCGTTTAGATTCTTGGAGAGGTAGGTTGTTGGAATGGATTTATGACGACGCCGCAACCGAAAAGAAAGAAAGAAGGAAAGAGAAACAGAGAGAGCGGAATCTAGAGCGCCTTATGACCACAGGCCCAGGAGCCCGTCGTGCTTATTTCAAAAACGTAAAGGGCGTTTACTGTATTGTTAGAAAACATCAAGTCACCGTCTCCCTGCAGCCATGTCACACTCGTTGGAGAGGGCGAAAGTCGTACAGCAAGGTACGATCCACAAGACACTGGCGCAAGGAAAGGTACTCTGCTTTGGTGTCTGGCCCAAAAAGCTACTTGGATCCCATCAATGCCTTCAAGCTTCCCCATTGACTGAGACTCCCTGCCCGCTTCAGCGTCGAAGGGGGGATGCTCCACGTTCCGGATATACTGAGCCCGCTGAGCCACACCACCACGGAACACGCACCAACCACGTTCGTCACGTCGGTGTCTCTGTCGTCTACTACCATAGGGACCGATTGAGAGTGAAGAGCCCGGAAGAGGTAAGCAGTGAAGACCAAGGTCGGGACCTCCACAGTCGGCATGGGGAACTGTAGCGTTTCATCTCGAGGAGGGATCACGTGTCCCCACGCCCTGGGATGGCCTTTTACTTTGTTTGACCTCTCCAAGCTCACCATGTGCTCTGAGTGTCACACTCGTCTTCGTTTGCGCTTGGAGCCGAGGAACGCTGACGTAGTCTATCTGTTTGACTGCCCCCGGGCAACCATGACTACCAACGTTCATTCTTTATCGCCGACAACGTAACCCAAACACTTGGTGCACCAATTATTGGCTGCTTGAACTGAGTTTTACTTTTGGCCAGCCGGGAAGAGAAGACTGCAGTCACGCGTTCAGCTGGCTATTACTTTGTGCTAAAACTCAGGCCCTCGCTTTCCAGCTCTTGTCTAGACGTTGATGTCCGTTGTAGGCGTCGGCTCTTGTGTGTAAGTCGCCTACCGCGAGGCAGCATAAGACATCGAGTCGAGAGTAAATGTTGCAATGCCGGACTTCTCCGATCAATGCAGAGCTTTTGAGAGAGTACATGTCCTAGTTTGATATAAGGTAGATCCTCAACCTTGGTTATCGATATCCTGGAACTGCGGGGATCTTGATCCTAGGCATATGAGGTATATCTAAGATGGAATAGGTTGAGGTTGCTAATGCTGAGTTGATGCAGCACAAACGTTTTTTGCATACAAATTGGGGGTTTTGTCTTGAAGAACTATGTAACGCCTTACCTAAATTCCACACTTCCACTGCACCTCACACGCTAAGTCACTACCTGCCCTTTCGTCCAGCGTTTCTTCTTCTTCGCCTGCGTTTGATTAAGGTGCCTTCCACAGTGCACGGACACACGACCTGCACTTGCCCTCCCAAAAGCGAAGGTAACGGGGAGGCGCTCTGTAGCTGTATCCATGCATGTAAGCGCCCTCGTCTTGTACAGTCTTCGACAGTCAATGATTTCTTTTCGCGCTCATTTCACATCAGGGATACTGTAAATGCGGCACAAAACTTCTCTCCTTTTTGCTCAACTGATCATTCAGATTCCTTCACTCTCAGCAAACCAACACGGAAGGAGCCCCTTTCTCAGCCAGTGCATACCCTACAATCTTCCCGAAGAGACTCATCGCTTAGAATTTCAAAGGCTCTTTACTGTCTCTACTCATCTGAGAAGAAGAGCTTCATGCACTTAACAACCCACAGGCTTGCACTTAGGGTCTCATCAACGATACAGTTGGCCGATTTTGCGTCGATTTCCATGTTTCGTACGCACTGTCAGCATTGCATTGTACAGCTCCCTCAACTTCATTCTGTACCTTGGCAGAGGCTCAGTCATATGATCTCTTGACTGCGCGCTTCACTACCGAGAGTGCAAACACTCGCCACTTACCGCGGTTCATCCATCTGACCAAGCGCCTGTGAATATACTCCAAAGCATGGGTATTAGAAGTCGAAACCGTCATGGATAAACAAGACCTGTTCGTGACGGAAGGTGGTCCACCAGACGACGATGCCATCTCCATCAATTCTACCCTGGTATCCGACCATGATCCAGACGAGGAATGGTTGGTTGAAGGCATCCGCTACCAGACTCGTGAAGATGGAACAGATAGATACCTGGTCGAGTGGACCGGCTATCCCATCGAGGAAGCCACATGGGAACCCGAAGAGAACATGACGGATGAGCTACTTCAGGAGTGGAGAGATACGAAAGCAAGACAGATCCGAGGCCAGGAAGAACCCTTCGACGTGGTCGCCTGGCAGGAAGCTGTGGGCAAGCGCCAAGAGGACAAATATCGACGGCACCAAGAACGCAACATTGAGCGGAGGCGCCGAGGCCTGCAGATCAAGCTGTGGAAAGGCGAAACCAAAGCGGACTACTACCTCAGCGATGAGGATGTCGATCAAGATGATTACAATGCTATCTTTCCGCCTCCGAAGCTTGTCGAGCATCAGAAAGATCCAATCCTTCCCGAAGAAATACGGACCGATAAGTCGCTAAACCCATCGGCCGTGGAAACGCCAGCCTCTCACAAACGAACCACGGTAACGGAGAAGGTGAAAGAAAAAGCGACAGCGAAGCCCAAGTTGCCAACGAAGAAGAAGTCCTCCCCGCCTATTCCACAGCAACGCCCAGAATCAACCTCTCTCACTTCAGCAGCAGCAAGCGGGTTTCAGAGTACAGCGAAAAAGCCTGCGGCCAACAAGCCAGTAACTAACGCTGTCACTGCTCGGGTGTCTACCATAGCGGCATCCACACAACACAAAGCTAAGAAGAGCGCCGTCAGCTCGAGGACGATGGTCAGGTCACAAAACAGTGGGACTGGGATCAACGTCTTTGCCGCCGGCAAGCAATTCAAGCAACGTCGTCAAATAGGGCAGAATGTGTCAGATTCGAACAAAGGTCCTCGGATGTTCGCGACACATCGAACCAGACGAAAAGCCGAGTTGAAGAGCCGTGATAAGGCAGATGTGGTACCTGGCGCTCTTCCGACCATGCTGTTCAGCATCAGCAGCGGTCCTCCTGCTGGCTCGAGTCCTGGGACTTCGAGCGCCGTCTCTCGCTCTGTTTTGAAGCATTCGACCGATGACTTGATGGCGAGGTCCGCCAGCGAGTCCAGTGTCACAGTCTCAGATGTAACGGACTCGACATTTCCTCAAAACCCAGAGTCACAGACCACGCGGCCCATGATCAGGAAAAGGAAGTCTGTTCAGTTTGCAGACTTGCCTCTTGTCGATGAGCCCGAGTCCATTGACGAGGTGGGCAAATTGCCAGTTTCGCACCCAAAAAGGCTCAAATCGCCTCCAATGCCATCGGATCCGTCTCGATCATTTCATCCACCCCCAAAGCCTCCGCCCATTCTTCGCAAACTGTCGATAACACAGTATCAGTCAAGAAGTGTGGGCCAGAGTTTTGACAAAGCTGTCATACTGGGGCCGTCCGGAACAAAGGACATCGAGATGACATTCGAGAATGTTAGACCTGACCCGGACCCATGGCACTCACAGTTTGTCAACAAGGATTCGTTACATTTCAGCAGAAGCTTCACTGCCCGTACCTTTGCATGTCAAAAAGGATCGGTCGTGGAGCGAAGTCTATCACATGGTAGTGTCAGGCCGAAAATGGAGCACGATCAAGAAGCAGTCGAGAGAGCTGTGGAGCGACTACGACTTGGGTCCTTTGGGGTGGCCTGTTTCTACGAAGATTTCCTCATTATCATCTTCCCCGCCAACTGTGAGGAATGGAGGGAGGCCATGGCTGAAGTTGATGTCACCAGCCCGGCAGATGTCACGCTGAAGTATGTCATATTCAAGCCGCAATCAATTGCCACAAAGCCCCTACCGGTGATTAAGAGCAGCCCACCAAGCTCGATAGAGGCGCAGGTCGCGATCTTTCGGAATCTCTTCCGTCTTGATTACCATCGACTCATACCGCACAGAGTACTAGACGTACGCCACAACTTCTATCTGGCGTTTCCCCCATCTAGGAAGGTCTTGCTTGAAGCCGTGAGCGAGTGGCTTCATGTGGAAAACCCCACGTGCAGGGTGTTTTCCACCAAGACTGCGGGTGACTGGACCGCCTTCACCGACCCAAAGATCGTCGCGCAAGGGGTCATCATTGTTCACGAGGCAGCTACCGATACTCTCCGGCGGTATCCTGGCCTGCTCAGGCTACTGCTTCACAGTAATAGTGCTGCTTACGTGTTTTGGTGCCTCGGAGAGTCGCTTCAGCAGCAACCCTTGTTTCCTTCCATACGCTCCATGCATCATCAGGCAGAGCCGGGCACAGTTGAGCTGACGAGGTTTTTTCCCCATGGCAACGCAATCCTGGTTACGCCTAGTTTCTTAGTATCGGAGCCACAGCATGCACTCCAGCTCTTTGACTGGTACAAGAAGACTCATATCAAGCCCTACAACAACAATAAGATCGTGGCCGCTGCAAACCTTGCCGGCTACCTGCGAGACCTTGCCTTCGAGAAGTCCAGTCATCGCGATATCTTGGTGACAGAGTTTAGTAGGACACAGCGGCAGTCAGAATCAGAGCGAAAGGAAGCGGCTTGCAAAGCAGGCCTTAGTCAGGAAGACTGTGCAGCTCGTTTCGAAACTTGGGCTATTGTTGACGGACTCCGGCCGTCTCTTCAAGCCGGCATTGTGCCAGACGAGCAGCTCGAGCCCATCGTCTTCGCTGATGAATCCATCGATGCCAACGACGAGCAAAGCCTGGTGAATTGGTTTGGCTGTTGGTCCCAGACCCGTTTTGATCAGTTCCGTAAGTTCCATGTTCTGGGCACCGATGGCAGCTCCGACAACAATCATTCCATCAAAGATCGCAACATCCCTCTCTACCCTTCGAGTGCGGGGCGCGATCCGGGAGCTGAGGCAAACGGTGACGCTCATCATTTGGATCCGCCTGCAAGCGGCGTCGAGAGTCGACGTCAATCCCAAGGTAATGCAACTGAAGTGCTTGGGGGGTTGGCTGCCCACTTCTTCAGCAGTGAGTTGATGGAGCTGGGAAAGAAGTGTGAGAACCCCAAGGTCTGCTCGTTTGGCAAATTGTACGGCTTTCCCATTTCCTATTTCAAAGATGTCGCCGATACGGCCGACGCCTACGGGGATTTTCACCGGAACTTTTCAACATTCGACAGATGGTTTGAATTTCCCAGGCCGTTCTTTTCCCACTACAAACCAGGCTTCCCAGTCCCGAACGATGTACGTGGGCCGACCGTCTTCAACACGTACTTCGCTTTCTTCTATACTCCCGACGAAGAATCTCCAAGCATACCGCCCACACGTCACCCGTGGCTCGCCATTTGGCGAGTCCAGGCACCGCACAAGCCGTGGGAGGGGACAGAGCTTCTCGTCTGGGACGTTGCGGCAAAGGAGCGGTTTCCCACAGAAACCCAATTTTACGAGTCCCAGCTCATTCCGGCTCAGCAGCATCTGATCAATATAATACGAGAAAGGGGAGCAAGCAAACAGCGAGGTCTTGACCTGAAGCAGGTCTGGCTTGGAGGGTTCGAGTCAGCACCTACCGAGTACACCTCACCGATCGATGTGACGTTTGCCAACCTGGACGCTATGATGAGAGATGCAAAGGGATATCTTCCTGCGGTCGATTATCACCTCCCATCCAGGGGCTTCCACAAAGTCTACCCTGGCACAGTGCCCGCGCCAAGAGATCCCATCGCTCCGGATGCGATGGAAACCGATCCAATTAGCCGTCACCAAGACCGCCGTGGCGACAGCAAAATCCTCTTTCATCCGCCCCGCGCGTGCAGACCGATTCGGCAGAGCCGATGCGAGAACCTATTCTACAAATGGGTGGTCGACCTTGACAGACGGGGTCAGCGTAAGACGTACCCCTATACCTTCAAGCCTACTGTGGACTGGTACCAGGAGCAACAGGTGGCTGAGAACCGACACTTTGAGCACATTAACGTCTCTGCCTGGAAGCGCATCTTTGAGTTGGTACGGATTCCTACCGGCGGTGGGAAGAAGGGCAAGGCGGATACAGGAGGGAGGGGCAGGGCGTGAAGAGAGATATTGCTTTCGTACATACAGACAGGATATGTACATTTGTGACGGAGAGATGAGAGACGCCTTTCACGATGGATGCTCACCAGGTGATCCGCGATATTCGTGGACCTGAGTGCCTTGATATGAACAACTACTGTACTTTAGCGAGCATGACACAAAGATACCTCACCACGACGTTTGGCACGGATGAATTGAGAAGAACCTCGGATACCTTTGAGAGCCTCTGGGCTGGCTACAAGCGACTGTGTAGAAAACCACTGACCTTTTGACGTAGGACGAGCTGCCGCAGATCAAAGGCACTGTGTTTGTTTCAAAGTAAGCATATGGAAGAGTCCCCATGCAATTAGGGGACAAGAGCCCTTGCCCGCAAAGGAGAGAACAGGGGAGGGGTGTACAAAAGGAACAAGTGCAGAGGTTCGGTTCGAAGAGGTATTTCTTAGTTGCTTGTTTGTGACCAAAGGATCTCTGTGCCCCTGCCCGGTCTGGCCAGCTGCCTGTTCTGTTCAATGTTGAGAGTTCAGAAAGAATAATACTTTAAGCGTAGTCTAGCACCGTCGACAGTACTATGATTTACGTGCAGGGGCGTGCTCCATTGTCAGAAACGTGATTAAGGCCGCAGATGGCATTGTAACAGTCATCGATTGCCATAATGCCTCGACTACCCAAGCTAGTAAGGCCGTAGTTCCGAATGGAGTGAGGTCATTCAATCCCGTGATAATCATTCCTTGTATGGTACAAAGCCCCTCGTCATTACACAACCAATGATAGAAATTTGCAACCCTCAACCCAGGTCAATCCCCCTACCGCCTCGGCATCACCTTGCCGAGGCGGGGAAATTCCTCGTGCTGAGTAACACGCCCTTGACCCTGCGAATATTGTCCCTTGCCTTCTTGATCTCGTCCTCGGGCTCGTTCTTACGCGGGCCGCCGTAGAGCGAATAGCTGCCGTAGTCTTGCGGACTCGGGTACGCCAGCTGGACGAGGTCGTCCTTGAGGACGTCCATCCTGGACTTGAGGTCCGCGAGGTCCTCCGCGTCCGAGACGACCGTCGACTTGAGCAGGTCCGCCGAGCTATGGAGCCGCGCGAGCTTGTCGGCCTGCCTCTCGCTCACAGACTTGTTCTTGTCCTCCGTTGTTGTCCCGAAGCCGGGCTCACCGAACTTGGGCGTCGAGGGGATCGAGGTCTGCGTGCCGATGTCGCGGTGGAACATCTCGGTCGGGTCGTCGGCGCTGACGCTGCTCGCGTCGTCTTTGTATGCTTCTGCATTCGCAGTGGACGTCTTGGCGGCGGGGACCTCCGAAACGGTGCTTTCGAGCTTCTCAATGATCTTAGCCAGGTTCTTGGACGTGGTATCGTGGAGGTCGCAGCGCGCTTCGGTGAGGTTCTCGACCATGGGCGCCACGAGGTACTTGCTTGTGCCGTAGAGGAGGGTGGAGAGGCCGGCAAAGGCATACAGCGTGTTGAAAATGCCGTTGGCAGTGATCAGGGGCGGAGGACGGGTCGGCTTCGTGAGGAACTCGGGGTAGGTTACGACGGGGGGTTGGTCTGTTTGGCGTGGGATGGAGACTTCGGTGTTGGGCGGTGGCGTCGGTGTTGTTTGTGGTTCGGGCGCCGTTGTTGTCACTCGTGTTGAGCTTGCTGGTACTTGTTCTGTGTGTATGGTCTAGTGGTGTGTTGTCAATCACGGGCAGCGCATGTTGTGAACGGGCGGAGAGACTCACTTCTTGAATCGGTTCAGATGCCGAGCTGCCCAACAGCTGCTCTATATCTTCAGAGGAGATCCCCTTGGTCTTGAGGAATGCTTCTTTTGCTTCCCTTGGCGCGTCCTTGATCTCATCGTCTTGCAGGAACTTGCGAGCAACTTCGAGGCTGTCTTCGCTGGCGGTCTTGTTCTCCTCTGTATCCTGTGATGGCTGTTGGGGCTGCGGCTCGAGTTCGGCATCCGTCTTTTGGTTGCGCTGCCATGCTGGGATGCCGGACGTGCTCTTATTATCGTCGGAGTCGCTCATGGTTATACCTCTGGTGTCGGAGAACCTGGAAAGGCTCTCTTGGAGTTATTGACAAAGAGGTTGAAGCAGGCGCAATGCCGTATATCGGTTGAGGCGGGCGTAGAATCCGGAGGCGGGTGTTGATGGTCGGCGGTTCGGCACCTATGACCACATGCCTCGGCTGGCGGTGCGGTAACGGAGAGGTTGGACGTTCTTCACGGTGCTGGCACACGACCAGTAAAACGGCGACTAACAGGCCAACTTTGTTACGGTGCTTTACTGTGTTACCTTGGGCTGAGCGCGTTGCAATGGCGGGAGGTGGGACCACTTCCAGTGCACGGTGCCCATAGCGACCAACAGAACTGGTCTCCGTTTTCGACATCCGGCGCTTCAGCGGACTTCAGTGCCTGTTGGAAGAGTTGAAAGGCTGAATGACCCAAGGTGAAGAACAGCCGTAATCCAACGCAGCGCCGACCTGGATATTTTGGCAGCATCTCATTGAGGACCGTCTCAACTATTCGCAGTCGCCCTAATCGCTCATCTTTCCGCCTCGGATTCGAACCTTTTCCAAGGTCCCCTCCTGTTTCAAGCGACCGAGGCCCCTTCATTGGAGCCATCCGATTCGCTCCCTCGCCTCGTGCCGACGATCTCTGACTGTTCGTTGCCTTCACCGACCTGAACCGCGTTCGCAAACCAGCGGATTACAGGTAAGATCCCGCAGCTCAATTGCCCGTTCAGAGTTGATGAGAGGTACGCTTTGAGTGGAATCGCTAAACAGAGGGGAACATGACGCAGATCGAAGCAACGCGCGCAAAACACGGTGCGAGCAAGGGTTTTGAAGCAAAGACGCAAAGGAGAAACAGAGAAAGCGACACGCGCAAGAGGCGACGAGATCCAATCAGTCTCAAAGTCTCACTTCAGGGGTTGCTATCTTTTTTCCCGCCCACGCCCTGCTTGGCTTGGCCACAGCCACCAAACCTCCCAGGAACCTTGCTGTGCTTGGGTCCAGTTGTGAGGCGATAGGCCGACAAGGAGACTATCCCATTTGCCGTTCGTTACCTTTGCGCGCGTCTCTCTTCCGCTGCGGCTAGCTGTCGTCTATCACCCCCAGAAGTATCAATCGGTAAGCTCAGATGCGACCTTCCTTTTTACCTTCTGTTTCTGTTTCTCGACCCTCCTCCTACCGCTCCTTATCACCACCATTCACCCTCGTCGGTATCTCTTCGTCGTACATCAACATCACATCTGGTTATCGTTCGCCGACTCGAGTGAGGCAAGCAACAACATTTGGTTTGCGGTTCAATATCTCTGAGCAGAAGGAGACTGGATCGGCTCTATGCATGCTACAAATCCAGTTTGGCTCGGCTAGAGAGAGTTGAAAGTAGACCCGTGTTGAGAAACCGAACGCCAGAAAGAAACAGGGGAAAAACAGCGCCTGCACGTGGGTGCGATTCATTAAAAAAAGGAAGAGGTGTAAAACCTACCTTGGCGCGCAATTTGCCATCTCGGCCAGCTACATTGCCTTACCTCATCTCCCGTATCTAGGGATCGGATTCCTCAGCACCAGTGCCACCTCACCTTTCCCCTTCCTTGTCTGGCCGGCCTCCGAGCTTACCTTAATTCAACCTCCCACGTCCAATCTTGGACCAAAAAATCCCCCGCCGTCATCCCAAACAACCCCCAAACCTTTTCACCCAAGACATCATCCAGCAATAAAACCGCACCCGTGGAATTGACTCTCGCGACGTCGCTGTCAAGCCAATCCGCGAGAGACTACATTCACTTCACATCCCATCATGACTTCCCGACCTCGCCGTTCGGCGGCCAAGAAGGCCCAAGAGCAGATCACTGACTGGGCGGACAGCGAGCGAAACAGCAGCATGTCTACCCGTACTCGCCGCTCAGAGGGCCGCACCTCGGGTGTCTCCCGCGGCCCGCCGTCTTCTCCCGGAAGCGAGCACCTGAACCTCACTGTTAAAGTGCCCGCCAACAAACTTCGTGAGGCCACAAGCAGAGGAAGAAACTCGACGGGGAACAGTATTTCGGTCAATAGCCGGACCTCGTATGGTAGTGAGATTGTCGCCGGCAGACGCAACCGTGGCCCAAAGAAGAGCTACGTCGTTGAGTCTGACAGCGATGAGGAAGATGACGACGACGAGATGGAGGAGCCTGATGCCGATGGCGATGAGGATGACATGGACGTCGATGCTGAAGGTGAAGAGGAAGACGCTGACGGTGATGTTGACATGGACACTCCTGCCCCCACCATCAAGATTTCGTTGCCCAAGGCCGGCAAAGTCACTCCTCGACGACCAGCGGCGGCCAGGGTCATTGAGGATGACGACGATGATGAGGAGGAGCTTAGCGAAATCGAAGTCAGCGACCCCGAGAACACGATGAACATGAGCATCGATGTGGGCGGCGCGGGCGATGACGATGATGAGGAAGACGATGACGAGGACGAGGAGGACGCCGAAGGTGAAGAGGAAGACGCCGAGGGCGAGGAAGACGATGCCGAAGGCGAAGAGGAAGAGATTGAGGTCGCCGATGAGACCGCGCAGCCGGATGCCGAGGGCGAGGAGCTCGACAGTGAACTCGGCAGCCGCGAGGGAACGCCAGACTTGACCAAGATGACGAGGAGACAGCGTGCCCGCTTCGAGGATGAGCCTCAGCAGTACATGAAGCTCTCGGACGGTAAGTATCGCAACGATTTAAAGGCATCTACGGAAAAGCCAGATGCTAACAACAACAACTACAGAGGTTCAAGCGAAGAAGGTTTTCACGGCGGAAGAGCTGTCGATGAGAAGGTTGGAGATGGCCCGTCGACGACGAAACCTGTCCGAGAAGCGCAACGAAGAAGTCAAGGCAAGTAACTTTCGAGCCTTGAAGTTGTTTGTTGGACAAATCACTAACACGGACGTAGATGGAAACCATCAACAAACTCCTGAAGAAGCAGGCCCCCAAGACCAAGGGCAAGGGCGGAGGTGTCGGCGACGAGACGCCCAACAGCGAGTCTCAGAAGCCCGACGTCGCGTTTGTCCGTTGGGTCAACTCCAAGAAGGGCAGCGTGGTTGCAGTGCCCGACGAGATGCTCGGAGGACCGGCAGGCAAGGTGTTTGTGCCTGGCGGTCTGAAGTCCGGCAAAATGGTTGAGGAGGTTGCATAGACGGGGCATTGGGCATCGGGCATCGGACTCTCTCCGTGGCCTGTGGGTTCACCAGGAATGATGTGAAGCCTGCAAGGCCACAGTTGAAGTGCCGAGGGATTGCTAGGGGAAAAGAAGCACCTTTGGGTGAGCGGCGCTTGGTTACGTTTTGCGGCACACAGTTCAGCTCAAGCTGATGTCACTTATCGGGTCTAGAGAATTTGTTTAATGGCATAAATCGCATATATTAGTTCATACGGTTTCCTCCGTTGCTGGGTGCACCAGGGTCAACCCTCCGAGCTTTGAGCACCCCATCGTTCAAGACATTGAAAATCCACTGACACGAGCCTCGGAGCTGGTGTCAATTCAGCGCTCAACACAAGGATGCGGATGGGTTTGTGGGGTGATGCGATCATTGGGTGACGATCTTCACCACCTCCGTGGAGCATTGGAACAACAGGGTGTTATGTAATCAAGTACGTCCGTTGTGGGAACCCTGCAGAGGCGAGAGGGCGTCATGTGGCCCCCCGCCCCGGACCTTTCCCAATGGAGTCGAAGCTTTTCCTGTTGAATCAGTCCCTTTCTCCGCGTTTTCTTTTTGCGCAAGTCGAAGGCTGTCGGAGAGGAATCCCCGTCGTTCGTTGGTTTATGGGAGGGAAGGGGAGGAGGAAGGTTTGGTGGACGGGCACGAGAGGAGACATCAGCCAAGCCTTGTCAAGGCCGAGGTTGCGAGGGGTTGGACGAGCAAGCATGGCCGTGGTGATCGTCCTGACGAAGCTTTGGGTTTGGTTTTCTCGGAGGGTCCGATGGACGGAGAGCTCCTCGACGTTTATCATCCCCGAGGCTGACTGCTGCCACTTTGTGCGAGTGGTGCGATGCCGGCGCGTGGCCTTCAAGTTTTTTTCTTGGAGGGAGGGTGCAGAACAAGATTCAGCAGGAGATCTTCGGAGGAACACACGTCTCGGTCACCAGGCTCGTCGTCGAATGGGCTCTTGCCTTGTCCGTTGGGGAAATGCTTCACGTCATGTCCACGGCCTCTCCTGGCTGGGATTAACCGCTTTTGCTTTCGTCTCCTGTCAGCATCTTACGCACCCAACACACCAACACACACACACACCCCATAGTACAGATGCCCAGTTCCCTGTTCGTCCCTAAACCACCGGACTGGCTGGACTGAACTACATCGTATGCACCGAAGAGAAAAAAGCGCTTCCCCGGTAGGATCTGTCCCCGGGAGCCAACCAAGCCCCGGATCTGCGCCTGCAAGTAGCCGGGCAGGCGGGCAGAGAGCCTAAGGGATGGCAGCATAAGTAGTACGGAGGAAAGCAAGCAGATGTGCAGCAAGCAACTTGGCAAACTTGGCCAAAGAGGACGCAAGCAAGCAGAATTACTTTGGCATGCTGCAGGTCGCTAGAAACAATCTGGAGCAAGAAACAGCCCGTCTGTCGGCCACGAACACCAAGCACGTCCCTGGGTCTTGGGCTGTTCGCTCACGTCAAAGAACTCGGGGGCAAGTGTTGTTGGGCATTGTCTATGCAAAATGGCCAACGACACTGTTAACGATTGATTGACAGGCTTCTAGCTCTGGGCCCGTCTCAAGCACCGAAGCATCTTCCGTCAAACCAAAAAACACTCGGACGACAACGCAATGTGTCAAGTCGACGTTGCGTAGTAGGGGCAGCTGACCCGATATGGTCTTGTTTTCTTCTTGAACTCGCATCTGATGCCGACAATGTGACTAGGAGGCCAATCTTTGCATACCTGGGTCGTCTCGAGGAAGGTAGACGCTTCCGACGGCTTCTGTCCGGCTCCCCACTCTCCCATCGTGGATGTACCTCGGGCCAACAAAGACAGACAGCACTCGCCATTGAGAAGCATGTACAACACGCGGCGCACTTTTGCGGGCCTTTGGCCGGCGGAAGTTTATTCTTCAACTTGACTTTCAGAGGTAGCGTTTTCTGACAGGGGACAATATCATGCGCAGCCGCCGAGGGGGCCCATCCCGACTGCAAGTGACATTGGCGAACCGTGATACATAGTACCTCGTGGATGGAACCCTGCCCGCCTTTTGCCTTTTGATGGGGAAAAATCAGGCCCTGGCGTCTTGTGCTCTGTGCTCCAACGACTAGCGCAAGCCGCAGAAAATAGAGTCAGAATTGCCTTTGGATTTTCGCCCTGCAACTTTTTCACGCCTTGCTGGATGGATGGACCCTTGACCTTCTCCTCCTCCCATCCTCTTCTCGTTGCTTGCCGATATCTGTTTGGGCCACGCCTCGCTCGCCCCCTTGCCCTCTATAAGCCATGGCGTTACCTTCGCCGGTTGACGCACTCCCAGATGCCACTGCTATCACTTCCGTGCCTGGCCAACAAGATCGCCCTCCTCTAGCTGCTGCTGCATATCCCACCCCCGGCGACGAGGTCACCGCTCATCCATTAGATCAAGGTGAGTTGACGAGAGAGAAAAGACACTAGGCCAAGCTTGCTTTGTCACTTTTGCCTCCTCCTCCTCCTCCTCCTCCTCTTCTTCTAGACTTCTCCTTCTCTCGACGCCCGCCGCCTTTCACACGCCATTTGGTCGAATCCATGTTGCAGCCTGGCGCTTCCTGAGTCTCCTCCCTCCACCTTTTCTTTAATCCCTCTTCTCAAATTCCCCCTCTGCTCCCTCCCGATATAGACTGGGGACACGAGGCAAAAAAAAAAAAAAAAAAAACCAAAGAGGTTCTGGACCGTCTTGGCCTGCCCGCCGATACTCCATTACACGATGCCCGAAAGTGGTACGCGCTGCCACACAACCCTCCTCCTTCTCCGTGTTCATATTCTTCCCACCCTGGACTTAATGCACGTTGCATGACTGATGGGCGTCGCGTTGCACAAAATCATCACCCACTACAGACCATTTACATGACAGGATTAGAAACTGACAGTCCAGCCCCCTTGGAAGCCACCATCAGGCCACTCGCGGCCGCGGCCACCACCCCAGACCCTGTCCTAGATCCAGACACCGGCGTGCCCCAGCTCCAGCTCCATCACACACACCCGCTCCCGCATCCGCACAACCAGCCCACCCCGCACGCGACTGCGACTGCGACGCCTGCGGCTGCCGCTGCTACTCCAGCTTTGGCTAACACGCCCCCGGCTACCCTGCCCGAGGCTTCACTTGCACATCGTATAAAGACACCCGCCGAGCCCTCCCTCGACTCATCTCCTATGCCTCCTCCTGCCGCCTCTCCTTCGTCTGCTGCGCCGTTGGTCAACCCCCCGCCAAAGACAAACCCACACCCCTCCTCTTCCTCCTCCGCCTCGACCTCCAAGATGCTGTTCTCAGAAATCTACAAGTCCCCACGCTCGCCGCTATCCAAGTTCCGCCTGTCCATGTCCCAGCAGCCCTTGACCCTGGACCTACCCGACTACGACCCTGACCTGCTGAGTAAGGACAAGGTCAAGCAGAAGGAAGCCGTCAAGAAGTATCTTGCCGCCAAGGTTCGTAACGACTGGGAGTTCGTTTGGCCGCCAGTGGCCTCCCTCCCGCAGAATGGCGACGTGCCACCCGCTGCAGATGCGCCACCCGAAGGGGAAAGTGTAGAACAGGTGCAGCAAGAAACCCCTGAGCCCCAAGCCGACGCGACCGCGACGGCGACATCACAAGATGAGGCTGTTGAGACAATGGAAAGCGACGAGGACGATGAGGACGAGGAAGAAGACAGCGACGCCGAATCGGTATACAGCACTGTCTCAGAGGACCCCGCGCGCTTCAAGCCTCGCCTGGAATGGGTGTCTGACTTGTCTGACGAGGACCCTCCCATGTCGCTCTCCCCGTTTCGCTTTGACAGCCCCGACGCAATCGGTGCAGCGGTGAAGGCATCCGTGGCAGACAAGCGTGCGCGGAGGAGGCGAGCCGTTCGCGAGGAGATGGCATGGAATGAAGGTCTGGCCTGCTTCGAGGCAAGGCGCAATGCCTGGACAGGCGCCAGGACAGTTCGAGTGCGCACCAAACCCGCCTCCCCCATGCAAACATTCTCCCCTCTCTCCCCTCGCCGCCTCTTCTTCCGCTCCTCCTTCTCCCACCCCTCGGGCCCGGCCTCGCCATCGTCGCCTGGGCATTCCCTGCAGAAGCGGCCCAGCAACGAGGCCTCGGCCGCCGTGTCGGACGGCTCCGAGCTCTCCAAGGACCCGTCCAAGGAACTCACGGCTCAGAAGTCCAAGGAATCCCAGAAATCGGCGGCATCTCCCGCCTCGACGACATACCCCATCGAGACCATCGTTCCCCTTTCTGCGCCGCTCCTCCCGCCGGGCAACCCAATGCGCGCCTCCATCACTCCAGCTGTCTACATGTCGCTGTACGAAAAGGTGATAGTGCATGCCCTCACACCGTCATGCCCTGTCAATCTGTCAGACATGATCCGGGCTTGTGTGGTGGGTTGGAAGCGTGACGGCGAGTGGCCTCCGAGGCCCTCGGCCGCCGAGCCCGGCATCGTGGCCGTGCGGCGGAGGAAGAAGTCGGCGACAGAAGGCCAAAACCAGAACGCTGCTCGTAGAATGAGCTTCGGCTTCTTAGGCAGGGGCGAGAAGGCGGATACACACGATGAGAGTGCTGGAAAAGGTATTAGGAAGAGCCTGCAAAGAGTCCTCGGCATCGGGCAGCATCCTGCCTCGGCTGCCCCTTCAAGTGGGAACAACGGCGCCGCGGCGAACGGCAAGGACACGGCCGCTGTATAAGCTCTCTTATGAAGGAACACGATTATGACAAAAAGGGAATACAATACGTCTATGAACCTTGGTAGGCGGGGAGCCTCCCGCCTCGGGTATCATGATGCGGGACAGAGGATGAAAACGGGCCTTTTGATGAAGGTGTACGAACAAGAGACTGCGCGGGACGGGAAAGTTGTTCTTGCGACGCTGATACCCCATGTGATCCGGTATAAGGGAACGGTTGTAATGGCGGCCTGCAGTGGTAATGAGCACAATTCGTTTGTTATGCAACCTGCTTCACTGTCGATCCAGTGATCTTTGACCTCGGTCTGGCGTTCCTCAATGTGAAGAGGCCATTCACTTCATTGGAGAAGACATTGGTTGAGGGCGTGTATAATGTGAAGTGGCCGTCGCCGCGTATATTGTCTCAATGGTTCGCGACTGTTCACGGGTAAATACGTGCAGCGAGGTGGACGATGTCGAACGAACGACACTGCCTGAAAACTAGCTGGACGAGAACATGGCAAGGTCGATGTCCCGAACATGGACAGGCAACACCATGGAAGCCTCGCCTCTCGTTATTTTATCGAAGGCTTGGACATGCACACCCGAGGTGGTAAGTGGTCAGCGTGTTTGTTGATTCTGGCGGATTCAAATACACACTGACTTGCTTTCTGTGCTTTGAGAGTGCAGTCCAACCCCGGAGCCAGGGCGGACTAGGAATCTGTCACAGTCCTTCTAGAGGCCTACATCTCATCGAGAATCGAGGTTCTCATGTTTGTAGCACATGAAACATCTTTATGTTTACGTCGTTTGCGCCTGTCATTGTTGTGGGCATGTTAATAGGATGGCGTGAGAAGCGAGTATATGGGAATCGGGAAAGATGTGGATAACACCTTGGCACACCTGAAGGAAGGATTATAGAGGAGTAAACCTCCCGTCTTTTGGTACCGGATGAAAGATGACTGACATTGCAGTGAATGAACGATATGATGTATGACACGAAACGACTTGTTTGTTTCCTTCAAGGTGCTTCGGAACAGATGGCTATAAGATTTGGAACAACTGTGTGTTTATCGGTGTAGTAGCTCCGTCTTTTAAACGTTGTTGTTAGTTCTATATCCCGTATGTGTAGAAAAGTCACCTCCATACTCTGTATCCTAATTAAAGCCTGGAAAAATGCGATAGTAGGTCTAAGATACATGTTACAAAATATTTAGAGTGAGATTGAACTTCGACCTGCCAACTTGTTTCTATGTGAGTTGCTTTTCTCTCCGAGTTAATGATTTCAGGTTATTGTAGATGAATTAAGCGGGCATCATATTTCACCAGAAACAGCTTTTCGAGAAACAGTAGCTATTATGTCACTACCAGGCCTCTCTCTCGACTCTACCTTGGCCGGAAGGCCGATAGTGAAACTAACTAGATAGATTCTGCAATGGCTGGAGAGCATGATTGTCACCTAGATGGCGGTTCGAATGAGACTCTATAACGGAAGTTGGCTTGACCTACTTTCTCCATTAGCGTTTGACACGCCTTGAATCCCACGCATCACCCATCATGCCCTCATGAATCTTCTCGGACGAGAAGATTTCCATATTTTGCTCGTGTCCAGCATGGCATCCTGAAACCCCCCCGAGCTACAGAAGTGACAGGCATCTGCACGTTGTGCTTCCCAGAGATCAGGGATGAATTCAAAAGAAAAATGGAACTTTTACCAAACAAAGGAGCATCACCAGACTTGCGCGAACAAGCCGTCGCGAAAAGTGGTCAAAAAAGCCTGTCCTCCGCCACCGGCCCACAAATGACGCGATAACAAACGGCGCGTTTTACATAGGTTGGATATCAGCCGACACACTACAACAATGAGTAAAGCAAACTCACGGATCTGGAAGGTAGACCCGTAGGACGAGTGAAAGTCTTCGTCATTGGAGTGAATGCTTTTCAAAGAAGAGTGGAAAGGCTGTCTTCCTCGATGGTTATTGTCAACGTAGCTCTCGAGGCACGCACCGGATGCCGGGGAGCATAGCAACAACTCTGTAAGCACATCACTGCGAGTCGTGAGTGTAGCAGCGGTCGATGACGCCGTACCTGAGCTGCGGGCACGATGTAGAGGAAACGACCCACATGTAGAGAAAACGACTCACAATCACTCTGATCGGGGTAAAGTCTGCAGGGGACGTTATTCTTGTCCCTGACTTCTCTAAGTTCTTTGTGGGCAAGAGAACTTGGTGGGGGATAGGTCTAAAGGGTATTAGGCCTTGCCGGCTGCATGAGTTCTGGACCCCAGCCCTTATGATTGTTGCGAAACCTAGTTGGTGCATCACGTATCTTCCGTCCGTGTTTGGGCAAGATCAGTATCACCTCGTGCCAGCCATAGCCTGGGAACCTATGCCAGACTAAACAAATGTTTAAGCTACTGACAGGTTCCGATACCATTGTGTGCGCGGTGGCGCTGTGGTCATAGCACACCTAGTTATAGATCTTGTGCCGCGACCAAGTCATAGAGGGTGTTCATTTCACTATGGATAAAGATGAGAGACAGCAACAGACGGCTTTCGTAACTGACGCTGACACCATGGTACTCGCAAGTGGAGATTTGACGTGAGATATCGAGCAAGACCTTGCTCCAGAAAGCCAACATGGCACTTTCCGAGGCAGGTATATGCAGACGAAACGCTCGTCGGGAACACCGAAATCACCCGAGTCTGACTCTATGCCGGCTCCCTCAACCTCATCGATGGGCTGCCTCCTTCGTGAAACCACACACCTCAAGCCTACATGGCAAGCCCGGATGCCACAAAGACAGACACGGCCATACCTCGAGTGGCCTGAGATGCAGCATAGCTCACGTAGCAACTCAGAAAGAGGGAACAACCGAGTCCGAGTTCTTTATCGAGAAGCAGGCGGTTCTCTTTGCTGAATGGCCGCGAGGCAGGATATAGTCTCTTATATTTCAGTACGGCTTGTGGCTGGGGGCTCGATATGCCGCACTCAGATACCAACAATGCATCACGGTCTCGATACGTTGGCTAAGCAACTCTCAGAGAGTATCTTTCCTAACATTGACTTTATAAACGACGTCACCTTATAGATGTGGCATTACGTAGAACTCAATGGTAAATGGCAGGGGTAGCTAGCTTCCCATGCTGGCAACTTACGCTTGATACGGGAACCACACATCAAAATCACTAGGCAAGGAGATGAAATCACTGGCAAAAGGGAGAAAACGGCTGAAGAAATAAGGAGATTCTCTCAACTACAAGAGGAATTAAGTAGATTTCTTGGTACACAGCTCACAAAAGAGACTTGAATTGAGCTAAGAAACCTCCCCGTTCCATCGTTCCTCTTCTATACACAGGCTCAGTGCCCCGCCCCTCGACGTGATTTGGTATTTTCGTCGCGAGTCGTTTAGTTCTTCTCCAGATCCGCAAGGATCTTCTCACCCTTCTCCTTGGCCGACGCAAAGTCACCAACCATGTAGAAGGCACCCTCGGGAAGGTTGTCACCCTCACCGCTCAGGATGGCCTTGAAAGAGTTGATGGTCTCCTTCAGGTCAACGAGCTTACCCTCGATACCAGTGAAAACCTGGGCGACGGTGAAGGGCTGAGACAGGAAACGCTGAATCTTACGGGCACGCTCGACGGTGAGCTTGTCAGCCTCAGAGAGTTCGTCCATACCGAGAATGGCAATGATATCCTGGAGAGACTTGTACTCCTGGAGAATCTGCTGGACGCGAGTAGCGGTGTCGTAGTGGTCCTGGCCGACAATACGGGGGTCCAGCATACGAGACTTGGAGTCAAGAGGGTCGACAGCGGGGTAGATACCCAACTCGGAGATACCACGGGACAAGACAGTGGTGGCGTCCAAGTGAGCGAAGGTGGTGGCAGGGGCAGGGTCAGTCAAATCGTCAGCAGGGACGTAGACGGCCTGGACGGAAGTGATGGAACCCTTCTTGGTGGTGGTAATACGCTCCTGCATACCACCCATGTCGATGGCGAGGGTGGGCTGGTAACCGACGGCAGAGGGGATACGACCCAGAAGGGCAGACACCTCGGAACCGGCCTGGGTGAAACGGAAAATGTTGTCAATGAAGAGCAACACTGATATCTCATTAGCCTCTTCTCATCAAAAAAATCACGGCAGGATTCAAACTCACCATCCTGTCCCTCCTCGTCACGGAAGTACTCGGCAATGGTAAGACCAGTCAGGGCAACACGGGCACGGGCACCTGGGGGCTCGTTCATCTGACCGAAGACCAAGGCGACCTTGGACTCGCCATCAAGCTGAATGACGGAAGTCTCCTGCATCTCGTGGTACAGATCGTTACCCTCACGGGTACGCTCACCGACACCAGTGAAGACGGAGTAACCACCGTGGGCCTTGGCGATGTTGTTGATCAACTCCTGAATGAAGACGGTCTTGCCGACACCGGCACCACCGAAGAGACCAATCTTTCCACCACGAGCGTAGGGGGCGAGCAGGTCGACGACCTTGATACCAGTGACGAGAACCTCGGCGGTGGTGGACTGGTCGATGAACGCAGGGGGCTCGGTGTGAATGGGAAGTCTCTTATCGGTCTTGATGGGGCCACGCTCGTCAATGGGGTCACCAGTGACGTTGATGATACGGCCCAGAGTCGCGGGGCCGACGGGGATGGTGATGGGGGCACCAGTGTCGGTGGCGGCGCGGCCACGGACGAGACCCTCGGTACCTGGGAAGGCGTAAGCACGAGCGCGGTAAAAACTTTTTCAGGCGGGAATACGAACCGTCCATGGCAATGCAGCGGACGACATTCTCACCCAAGTGTTGCTGTGAAGACGTGTTAGATGAAACCAAACTTTTGCGGTTGATATTTTCCTGGCTGCCAAGGTACGTACCGCGACCTCAAGAACCAGCTTCTGGTCGTTGTTCGTCGTCTCGAGGGCGTTCAGAATGGCAGGGAGCTTGGCGGTGTCGAACTTGACTGCATCCGCGTGTCAGTATTGATGATTCGAAGATGAAGTTGAACCCCTTGAAGGGTTTTTCTCGGTATTTACGAACCGTCGACGACGGCACCAATGACCTGCAAGATTGTTGTTGTCAGTTACCGGCTTCACACTCGGGTCAGCGGAAGGGATGGGCGATGCCATCACTCACCTGGTAGATCTTTCCATCACCGACACCGGCAGTGCTGGCGAATCTGCTAGAGGCAGGGAGTCTGAAGGTGGAAGGTCTGATGGCGCGACGGGAAGCGGTCGCCGCGAAGGAAGGGCGAGCCGCCCGGGCGAAGGAGGAAATGCCGCTGCGAAAGGTCGGTTAGCTCAATTGGGGCCAATTGAACGCGAGACGGTTCAAAAAGTCGATCAGGCAATGGGTACCAACCTCTTGAACATCTTGACAGATGAATAAGGGCGACTTCGGATGGGAGTGGAGAGGTGATGGTTGAAAGTTGGAGGAGGACTTAGGAGGAACAGTGAGCAGTTTTGCTCGCTCGGAATCTACGCTTCGTCGGTTAGAGCTTTGCTCGGGGGCATCACGTGATCGGATATCGAGTAGGAAAAATTACCTCGCTGCGCTAGTCTCGATTCGGTCGGGCTCCTCCCTCCGGGATGCACCGGGTCCACGTTCGGGTTCAATTGGAGACCGGGAGCTTCACTCAGGAAATGACTGGAAACTTTTTTTTTGGCCTGGCTCGAGTCCTCGACGCTACCAAAACTTGCCTGAATAATTCAAGAGATTCCACTTGGCGTGGGGACTGCGGGTGAATCTCGCAAATGTTGGGGCCTTGTGGCCTTTCCCAGGCTTCCAGGCACTAAAGAGCTAGAAGAGAAGAAGCCCCCAGTGTACAGTGCCTACGTGTCCCCGATCCCCCGGGTGACGAGATCCGTCCCCCAAATTGAGACCACCTCGATTCCTCTGCACGCCTCAGTCCCTTCTCTCCGAAAGTCGCCATGTCCGTCCGAGCCGAGGCGTCTCCGCCGACATGCAGCGACAGCTTCAAGTGCCTCAAGCACAACTACGAGTAGCAACGTCGACGCAGATACTCGAGATGTCACTAAAAATTCAATTGCCCCTTAGGGAAAAAAAGGAGAAAAAAACTAGAAAAAAAATCTTCACATGCTCAAAAGTCAGCTCAAGCTCTACAACAACATTTCATGGCACCAAATAGTCTCGAAAACTCTGCTTTAAGTCGCTCTTGCGTAAGTGTTAATATTCCGACCTGCACTATCGACACCATTACTCGTTGACCCCAAAGCAGCAGATATACATAAAAGTAGGCGACAGCATCATGCTGTGACACAGTCTTCAAGCACCGCTCTGGCCGGCTTCTCGGTATTGCTCAAAGGTAATGTCGGGGATGCGCGAGCTGTGCTTAACGTCCTCGTCCGCCATCCTTCGCTCCAGTTCCATGCGGCCGTCCTTGCCCCAGTAGCCGGCCTTCTCAGTGCCTTTCACACAGCCCTCGGTGATCAAGACATACGGCATCGGGGCGTCAAAAATTGGCTCCGCGAGGACACGTTCCATTTCCATTTTCAGGCCGCGAGCTCCAGTCTCTGCCTTGGCAGCTCGTTCGGCAATGGCGTATAATGCCTTCCTAGTAAAGTGCAGGCGGGAAGGGTAGGTTTCGAACAGCGCAGTGTACTGCGCAACGAGCGAGTTTCGTGGTTCTGTCAGGATCCTGTATAGATCACTCAAAGACAACGGGCTTAAAGCGCAGATGTTGTGCACTCGGCCAATCAGCTCAGGAATGAATCCAAAAGCCTGGAGGTCGACCGGTGTTGTCAGATCGAGGGGGGTATACGTTGATGCAGGCGCATCTGGGTTAACATGTGGCAGGTGCGAAAACAGCTGGCTCGGCAAATCGTGTTGATTACCAGAAAGGCCCTGCTTGCCTCGCAACTCGGAGCCAAAGCCCATTGAGGGTTTTGACACTCTCCGCACGACGACTTTGTCAAGACCGACAAAAGCGCCGCAGAAGACGAATAGAATATTTGTAGTATCGATGGTGTATTGGTCGACCTTCCCCTGTGGCGGAGTGGACTGCGTGGCCGATGTTGAGCTTGAAGATGTGTAGTTGGTAGTGATAGGCGGTGTTGATCGCGAAGAGCGGTTGTCCTTGACGTTGATGGTCACTTTGGAGCCCTCCACGAGCTTGAGTAGAGCTTGCTGGACACCTTCTCCGCCAACATCCCGGCCGTTCATACTCTCCCTCTTGGCCAGCTTATCAAACTCATCCAGAACGATGATACCATGTTCGGTTGCTTTGATGTCGTAGTTCGATTCGATCAGCAGCCTCTCTACGCATGTCTCTACATCCTGCCCGATGTACCCGGCTTGCGTGAATGAGTTGCAATCGGATATCGTGAACGGCACGTTAAGCTTCTTGCTCAAGGTCCTGGGCGGGTGTTAGCCTTCTTGGTCGGCCTGCTTCTACGGTAGCCACTTACTCTAGGATATACGTCTTCCCAACACCGGTAGGGCCGATAAGAAGCAAGTTACTCTTGTCAATCTTGACCTGTGGAGGAGTCACGGGTTCTTCGGACAGGTAGGACCCGTCGAACCCGGTGGAAGAACCATAGCCCTCGCCCAGGTGCTGTACAGATTCAGCGTGACCAGGGAACTCGTCTTGCGGCCACTCATCATCAGCTGGGAAGCGCTGGAAGGCAGAGTAACGATCTCGCTGACCTTGAACAGGATGGATATCACGCTTCTCGAGAATGTCCCTGTCCCGGGCATACCGCTGCCTCTCTGCCTTTTCCCTCTGAACCTTCTCTTCGTGTTCCTGATGTCTCCTCCTCCGTAGACCCTGATAATGATTGAATATTGTGGAGCATATCGTCTTCTTCGCTCGGTCTTGCCCAACGACGTAATCGTCGACCCGCTTCTTCAGGTCTCGGGGATAGAACTGAGGAACCCCAAAGCTATTCTTGTTAAACATGGGACCTCGGCCGTTATCGGAAGTCGGGTCGTAGCTGCTTGTGAAGCCGGAGTTGAAGTCTTGTGTTTGTCTCGGTGTGGTTCGAGCGACGGAGGAAACGGAGAAGGTGCGCCTGGCGCTCGCGAGCACCAAGCAGCGGGCGCAGGTGTAGGCCTGCGGCCTAGAGGATAGAGCCATGTGAAGGGTGCCCGGCGAAGGGACCATAGCATGAAATGTATGTCGATTCGAACCTGTCAGAAGCGAACGTCTACCGTCTGTCTGAGACCAGAAAATCAAGGATGGTGATGATGATGGTAGTCCGGTGACCGGAGGAGATGTCATGAGTGTGTGGCTGGTGGTGCAATAGATAGGCCGGATAAGGAACCTTGGCCAGAGCTGTCGGTGGTCGTGCGGACGGATGCGGGGTCGAGGAGCTGAAGCTCCAGCACAGCAGCGCTTAGGAGCGGCTAATATTGGGGAAAGCCACAGCTGTCCACTCACCCCCAAACATGCTCGCTCCCCAGATTGCTGTTGTCCCAAAGTCAATCCGAATGCAAGGAAGCTGGTCTGATCCTGTGCCAGACGGTTATGACCATGCTCTCGTGTTTTATTGGTATGTTACAATGCGTAGCATGCCAGTCGAAGCGTGAGAAGTGTCACCAAGATTTCTAGTGCAGCAGCACCATTCGCCTCATGGCAGTGTATGAGGCTGCTTTCGTGCCTTCGTATCGTATGTTCTGCCCTTTGACCAGCTGTGTGCCTGGGATGTCCCCATTACAGAAGGTTAGGCTTCGAGATTTCCGGTAACAGATAATTCGAAAGAGAACTTCGGGTATTTTCAAGCCCGAGGCGCCGGGGAACAATGCAGCTGACAACACAGGACAAAGATGGTTGTGAGATCCCGGCTTCTGTCAGATGCAACGGCCTCCCGACGCGGCTCTGAAGTCAAACGGTTCTGGGTCCAAGTACGTCTTTTGGATGTTTAAAGTTTCAACTGCGGCTCGTTGGTCTGCAAAATTTGCAGCTGCCAGTTCATCGCAAGGTACCTAGGCTTGATACACTCAATGGTATCGAGCTAGAAGCTCTCGGGTCTAACCCACCCCCAGAGTTCATGGCAGGAGCAGAAGCTCCACCACTGTGCGTTTAGGTAGCAAGCCATGCAATTCTCAGAAGGCCCACGACGTATCTGTGATGGCATTTAGCGACGATAACGACATGTCGGTCCCACTAAGCTAATACTGATTGCTCAGAGTAGTCTTGTACCCTGCTCGTCAAACCTCCTCTGACTGGTTCCCCAGTGGTACGACATCATGCTTGGTATCCTCTTTTCCTCGACTCGAAGAAGCATGGTGAAAAGCTGGCAACCCGGTAAGCCGCAGTCTATCAAGTAAGAAGACGGGGGTGCCGAGCAAATTCGAGTATTGCGCGCAGAGTTTCAGCGGCTGGAAGTGCCTCAACCTTCAGCGTGCCATTCGCCTTGGGTCCTGGGACGACCACCCTTTCGGAGGTGGCGACCAGCGAATGGGATGGACGGCCATCTCGCCTAAGGTGTTTTGATTCGGCCGATGCATTTGTTGTTGAGACGCCAGCATTCGTCTCCCCTAGGAGGGAGGGGTTGGAGTGGCGGCAGCATGTTTTTTCTCTGTCGCTCCCACCTTGCCTTAGCGCCCTGGCAGTCCTGATGCTGCCGCAATTCTCGTTGAATTGGTCACGCCAGACCAACCAACAGAGGGGGTCTGGGTCAGGCTGGACTGCTACACTGCTGAAATGCTGCTGCAAGCTGCTGTGAGGGGAGATATGAACCGGGAGCTACGTTGCCCCACGACGTCATACCACGCAATGCCCCGAAGATTACACCTTGAGCTCTCCCCTTCATTTCTCGTCTCCCCATGAATTGAATGGAAGGTTAAGGCCATCCACAAGCTCATCCCGGACAGTGCGGGGGAAATCTGTTACCTAGGCAAGTGTACATTATCTACGCCCAAGACGTCGCTTTCTGGAGCATTCCTGTTACCCAACTTCTCTCTTCCACATCATTAACTGCTGCTTTCACGAGAATCCAACGCCTGATCGAGATCCCCCAGGCTTGTCCAACTCTTGAAGAGATTGCTGCCAATCTGCGCATTCCTTGCCTAGCTCCAGACCCCTACCGACCTACGTTAGGAAAGGCGTGAAATCCCCAATTAGCTCAGGTACTTAGCTCTGCCGTCACATAGCTCTCCTTCCACCTTACCTCACCTTACCTCAACATTTTGCGCGGGGACCCTCCATTACTTCCAATTGACCTGCTTCTCTACCTCTACCTTGCATCGCCTTACCTTACCCTGCATACAATCTCGGACGACACCTGACGTGCTGTGTTTGCCCTACTTCAGGTCGAACCCAACTGTAGACCACTGCGGTTCTGCCCCGCACTCTCAACTTCAACCTGCAATCCTAAACATCGATTGTCATCGTTCAATATGGCTGCTATCGTCGACAATCCTTCCAACTCAATTGCCCTAAACGGCCCTAGTGGTGATGCCGAGGGCTTCCCTACTGATGGCACTGGTAAACCTTCCTGTCTTGCCTCTTTGTGGAAGCATTGACTGATTTTTGTCAGGTGTGGTAAAGCTCGACCCCTGGCTGTCGCCATTTCAGGATTCCCTCAAGAGGCGCTATGCGCGCGCCCAGGATTGGATTCAGAAGATCAACGAGACTGAGGGTGGCCTCGAAAAGTTCTCCAAGGTAAGAAGACGAACAAATCACGATCTCTTGGGGCCTCAAACTAAGCCGGCTTTGACAGGGCACCTCGCTCTTCGGTTTCAATGTCGACCACGACAACAACATCGTTTACAGAGAATGGGCTCCCAACGCTACCCAGGCCTTCTTGATTGGCGACTTCAGTGAGTTTCACTGATGCGGCAACATCGTTTCCTGCTAACCGGGATTCAACAGACAATTGGGACAGAAACTCTCATGAGATGAAGAAGAATAACTTTGGAGTCTTCGAGATCACCCTCCCCGCCGTCAATGGCCAAGCTGCGATCCCGCACAACTCCAAGGTCAAGGTAAATCCGAGTCCAAGATTCCCCTGACGAGACTTGAGCTGACCTCAAACCAGATCTCCTTGCAACTCCCCAATGGCGAACGCGTCGACCGCCTGCCTGCATGGATCAAGTACGTGACGCAAGACTTGTCCATCTCCCCCGCGTACGAAGCCCGATTTTGGAACCCGCCTGCGTCCGAGAAGTACGAGTTCAAGCACCCGAGACCACCGAAGCCTCGGAGCGCTCGCGTGTACGAGGCTCACGTGGGAATCTCCTCGCCCGAGTTGCGAGTTGCGACTTACAAGGAGTTCACGAAGAATATGCTGCCTAGGATCAGAGACCTCGGCTACAATGTCATCCAGCTCATGGCTGTCATGGAACATGCCTACTATGCCAGTTTTGGCTACCAAATCAACAACTTCTTTGCTGCCAGCAGTCGTTATGGCCCCCCGAAGACCTTAAGGAGCTGGTTGATACAGCCCACAGCATGGGTATTACCATGCTTCTGGATGTTGTTCACAGCCACGCCTCCAAGAACGTCCTGGACGGCCTGAACGAGTTTGATGGTACGGACCATCAGTACTTCCACGAGGGAGCTCGCGGCCGCCATGAGCTGTGGGACAGCAGACTGTTCAACTACGGCCACCACGAGGTCATGAGATTCTTGCTCAGCAACTTGCGGTTCTGGATGGACGAATACCACTTCGATGGCTTTCGTTTCGATGGTGTGACAAGCATGTTGTATCTGCACCATGGTATTGGAACGTAAGTTCAATCTCATCAAGATAGCTATCTAAATGTTGCATGCTGATCGAAACAGTGGCTTTTCAGGAGGCTATCACGAGTACTTTGGTCCCGATGCGGACGAAGAGGCTATCGCGTACCTCATGATCGCCAACGAGCTATTACACTCACTGTACCCAGAGGTTATCACAATTGCCGAGGATGTGTCTGGTATGCCAGCTTTGTGTCTGCCGCTTTCCATTGGCGGTCTTGGCTTCGATTATCGCCTTGCCATGGCCGTTCCTGATATGTGGATCAAGATCCTTAAGGAGAAGAAAGACGAAGAATGGGATATCGGCAATATTTGCTTCACCCTGACGAACCGAAGACATGGTGAGAAGACTATCGCGTATGCGGAAAGTCACGACCAGGCGTAGGTTTTTTCTCTTCAAAGTAGACAACACCAGCTAACAAAAATAGGCTTGTGGGTGACAAGACACTCATGTTCCATCTTTGTGACGCCGAGATGTATACGAACATGTCGACTTTGACTCCATTGACGCCGGTCATTGACCGAGGTATGGCTCTTCACAAGATGATTCGCCTCATAACCCACAGCCTCGGCGGCGAAGGATACCTTAACTTCGAGGGCAACGAGTTTGGTCACCCTGAATGGCTCGACTTCCCCCGAGAGGGCAACCAAAACTCATTCTGGTACGCGCGTCGTCAGCTTAACCTCACTGACGACAATTTGCTTCGCTATCAATTCCTCAACAACTTTGATCGGGCCATGAACACCACGGAGGCGAAGTATGGCTGGCTGGCAGCGCCGCAAGCGTACATCTCGCTCAAGAATGAGAGCGACAAGGTCATCGTCTTTGAGAGGGCTGGGGTTGTCTTTATCTTTAACTTCCACCCCACTGAGAGCTTCGCCGACTACAGGATCGGCATTGAGGTTCCTGGATCCTACAAAGTCATTCTCAACACTGATTCCAAGGACTTTGGAGGACACGCCCGCGTCGATGAGGGCACCCGCTTCTTCACTACTCCTATGGAGTGGAACAACCGAAAGAACTGGACTCATATTTACATCCCAAGCAGATCTGCTTTAGTAAGTTCTCTCTCCCTTGACTAATCCGCACTTCGAAGCTAACGAGGTACAGGTTCTTGGTTTGGAGTCTCCCGTGTCTCAGCACTCTTAGTAGTGACACATTGGAGGAGTTGTAAAGATGCCAGATAATGGAAAACCACGGGGGTGAGGAAGACCAGAAGCTTTATTTAGCAAGCCAATCCAAATGCTGTCATGAATTATGCAAAAAGCATGTTGTTTTAGAAGCAGATCTATTAGAATTATCACTTGTCCACACAAACGCGGCCACTTAAGTGAATACTACTGTATATATTGTTGGTGATGTGGGAATACGTGAATAGTCATTTCTCCCGATGACGCAGACGAGCTGCTGTTCCTGCGTAAGACAGGAATGGGGCTGCATGAAAGATCGAGATCATGGATTTCACATGTCGTGTTATAGCGAGCTAGCCGAGGACGCTAACGGGCGAAATGAAGGAACAAATGGAAAGGTGCTTGGAATTCAGCTCTTTTAGTACAGTATTTACACCAAGCAGATGGTTGTCCTCGAGTCACGTCGCAAGCCCCCCAGCCCATGCCAGCTCTACTAGTAGTCATTTTATACATGGGCAAACTGCCATGGTCGAATTGTGATTGTGATTCTAAGAGACGATAGGGAAGGAGGATATCGATTAGTTGGCCTTGGGAGGAGACTGGACCATGCCCTTGCCGGAGTAGCCCTCGGAGGAGATACCGGTGATGGGGTCGGAATTTTGGTTCTAGAGGGGACAGAGTTAGCCATTGATCCGGCTCGACGTGTCCGACACGTCCGGAGCGCCGGTGACATACCTTGAGGAACTCGTTGGAAGCCTCCTGGTATTCCTTGGTCATGGTGTCCGGGGGAGCACCGGCGAAGGCGCGGACGGTGGTGAAGATGGCCAAGCTGGCACCGACGGAAGCGATGACGCCCCAGAAGACGCGGGTGTTCTCACCGGCGGGGGTGCCGGCGCGGGGACCGTGGGGACCGAAGGCGATCCAGTAGGCTGTTTTGAGTCAATTTGCGTTAGTTTTTTTTTTTCGTGATTCTCTTTTGTTTGGCTTTTTGTTGTGACGCAATGCATATGCACCAGGGATGGGTTTGGGTGATTGCCAATTGGCGTTGCAATCCAGCTGGGTCGGGTTCCAGAGCACTGGTAGCTTGAATACAAAGACCCGAACCGCCCCCAGCTGCTGCGATGGCTCAATTGACGGGAGGGAAAGAGAGGAAGAGGCATTGATGCATTCGTGATAACTCCTTCAATGCCTCTTCGCCCTTTCCCTCCCCCCCGTATCCCTATCCGCTTTCGGAACATCGGACCACGTCTCTGTCGAACGAAAGGAAAATCAAGTTACGCACCAGCCTTCTTCTCCTGAAGAGTCAGCTCCGACCAGGGGCCCTTCATGCGGTCTCTCAGCGCCATCCAAAGCTCGGCCTGCTCCTGGAGGGGCATGCCCTCCCATCTCTTCTCGATGTTGGCGAGCGTCGGGTTGGAGATGGCGTGGGTGGTGGCGGCGCGGCGGATGACGGTGGTCTGCTGGGCGGCGCGCAGGCCGGTGCGGGCCAGGGAAAGGGTCGGGGTTCGCAACATCGTGTTTTTCGGTTGTGGGTTTATCTGGGAAAATCGAAAATCGCTAAAGGGACGGTTCGAGGGAGCGGAGGGGGCTCAATTGAGGTGACGTCGGGGGGTGGTTGCGGTTCGTTCGAGATGGGCCGTCGAAAGGGAAGAGAGGGTTTTTTTTGGCTACCTAGAAGTTCCGGGCAATCGTATGATTGGAATTTCGATTGCAATACGCCGGCTGCGACTGGGTGTTGGGATCATCACGTGATTGAAATATGGACCGTGCGTTACTCATCCCTCCAATTGGAATCGTCTAGGGGGTGCTTCACCTCGGTGTTTGGAGCCTTGCGGCTTGCGGGCGAGACCTAGAGCTCTCCCTTCTGTAGCACGGCACACTCGCTCGGTTGTCGGCTCATTCCGAGTATCGCCGTTTGCCCGGGATTTCGACTGCTATTCAGAATTGTGACTCGTTGGAATACGCCAATGGCAGTGGTGATCCATTCTCTTACTATTTGCTAATTGTAGAGTGATTTAAAAGACGGCAGTTTAACTTTGAAGCCCGAAAACAGTAGCAATCGCGCTCCCGAAGAAACTCGATGACCTCGCTATCACGGTGCAGCTCGGCCAGAGTCGGTCGTCAGCAGCCGAGTATATACTCCGACCTCGCCTAGTTCTCTCAGTACGGTCAGACGCCGAAAGAAGGTCGCCTAGAATTTGCGAAATCCTCGTTATATATTACATGTTTGTCCATCGATCTTCGGCTGAATCTTGGCATGCCTTCTATCTGGCAATAAATCTTCTGCATGCCGCCATGTTTGTACGGAGCTTCAGCCTTGAGCGCAGCGCTTTCAGCAGGGCACCGAGTCGCCGGAGCCAAAGCCCTCTTGAAGGGTTTCATCAAATCGGCCGCGCATTCCGTTACTGCTGGTTGTCCTTCATTGAACGGGATTCATCTTGTATTGCATATGTATCTGCTCCTGGGCAGCTCCCTCAGTCCTATGGCTTCGCCCTTTTTGGGGACTCTTCATAATGGCTTGTTATTTTTTCCCAAGTACTATTTGTATCTCAGGTGTTTCGCCAAGAGCTATTCGTATCGGCGCCGGGTTTGGGTATCGCTTCGTTGGGGGCTTGCGACTCCGAGTTCTTCGGTTCACCGGGAGGAAAGGTCTTTGGAAATTGCTCCTTCGACTCGCGGAGCCTCTTTTGCTCTTCAAGACCAGGCTTCAGGGTGTAAGTGGCTAAGCATGTCAGCGACACCGATATCATGAAAGACTGTTTCTTGGGTCGCGGAACTAGGATGTTGCATACAGATGCCGACGCCGGTCACAACAGCTATAACAATTGGCAGGAAGTTCCGCAAGCTCATCTTGGAGGTGTTTCTGAGTCCGAGGCGAGGCAAATGACTGTGGTATTATCAATGTTACACCTTTGCCAGTTGACAGGCTTTGGGCTAGCAGTTGACAGCGTGAGAGGCGATCGTGATGTAATCGAAGTTGGAATAGCTGAGCTGCGTGATGCGACCGAGCTAAAGCTCTCGGCCCGTCTCCAAAAAAAATTCGGGTCCGGCCGGGTCAGTGCGCACAGTCAATTGCTACCGACCGACGTAAAGTGGCTCGCCGACGACCGCGACGGGTGCGTGCCCCACCAAACGCGCTCAGCGACCGCCTGAACGCGTCTGCTTCACACGCACTACACATTATCCTAGGGTTCTCATCTTAGGTAATGCACTGCGCTTTTCCGGATCAAACGACGAGCCAAACGTTTGGACCCCGGCCTCTTCAAAAGCCTCCTTTCGGTTTATGTTTTACGATGTTTAACCGTTTATGATGAACGGTGTATGCCATGGCGAACTGGAAAGAACTGGGCGAGGTCCCAGATTCGGACGACGAGCTCGACTTCGATAGCCAGGATTTAGAGTCACTCCCGAACCCCGAGCTTCCCTCGAACTGCCCTGCCGAACCCTCGCAAACGAAGAACGCTCGAGAAAGCATATGGGACGTTCCCGAGTCGTTGCAAGGAACGCCCGCCGTTGCGTCTGTGAAGCAGAGAGCAACAATCCCGAGCCATGAGGTACCTATGCCCTCCGAGCAGGAGCCGCCCTCCTCGCCACTATCTTCGGTGCCGGATATGGACGAGCTAGATGACCCTTTCGACTTGGACGAACCAAAAACCCAAGCAGCTCCTCCTGCCAAGACGAGGCAGATGTACTTCCCTGACGACCGCGACGACTCTCCCGATCCTTTGGCCGGTGACGACAGCATATCGACGAGCTATGTCAAGATCACAGCTCCTCAGCCCGAATTCCCGGCCGAGAATGGTACTACAAGTCTCTCCCCGCCTCTCAAATCTCCAGCGATTTCTCTACTACCGAGTCAATCAAAGAGTCAACCAAGCCAGCAGGGACGACTGGCCACGCAGCGCCGCACAAGCTCTAGCCAGTGTGAAGAGCTCGCAAGACCAGCAGCGCAGCACGCTTTTGGCAGCACCTCCCTGGCAAAACCTCTGACTGAGGCTCGAGCGGTGTTTTCGGTGGATATCCCAGTGCAGAATCAGGTGAGGGGTCAGCAGTTGCCGCCCGCTCAGCGGGAAGCATCCTCCAATCGAAATGAAGAGGTTGCGAGACAAGTTGCGGTGCGGTATGAACGCTCATTCAGACCGAGGAAACCGATCCAGGAACATCCATACCTTATTGAGAACGCGCAGTACAGCAAAGCCCTGAAGTCACACGGCATTCGGCCAGTCAGAATGCCTACCGAGCCGGCCCCTAGACGACAGAGAACGGATAATGACTCTGGAGAGAAGGATTTCGAGGACGACAGCCAAGAGACGGCGGCGGGTGCGCCAAACGAGACTACAGACGATAGTCAAGCCAACGGGATTGATGAGCCATCGAGCTCTGAGCCCTTGCGAGCGTCATCACTGTCCCCGTCACCGTCGCCATTGCGAACTTCATCTCCAAAGCACCGTGGCGGGCCGAGCAGCCAACCTAGTCAAGGAGACACCGACAACACAAGTCTCTCCGATAACGATGACCTCCCTTCATTGGACGAAATCCACCGCAAGTTGCTGTTAAACCGGTCTGCAAAGAAACGCAAGTTTGGGAGAGGAGCGATATCCAAACCGAAAATGGTCAAGCAGACGGCTTCAGATGCCCGCACATCCTCAAGGCCGACGTTTCAGCAGTATGACGAGATATACGGCATGTCGTCTTCTCCGTCTTCGTCAGCACAGGTTCAGAATGCCGCTGTCAACTCACCGACGGAGCCGATAGCGTCGCCTGCTATATCCGATATTCCAGACCCGTTTGCCGAGGACGATGATCAACCTATCCTTCTCGGCAATACGGTGTCACCGGTTGTATCGGAGAGGCACACTTCTCTTGGTGCGGACCTCCCGGTACTCGACCTGACTGTGGCGGATGTCTCCGACACTGGAGAGGATGACCCCGGGCATCCGGATACGAACATGTCTGGAAACGAATCAGAGGCCGGCAACGACAGCGGTTCGGAGGTCGGTGCAGAGGTTGTCAAGAATGTTGGACGAAGAATGCGAGGAGTTCTTCCCGCATCCTGGCTCCGACTCGATCAACAAGCAAACCGACCCAAGTCCACTCAGCATCAACGACACGAAATGTCACCCGAGAAAACGCAGAGACGTGGTGTTGCGGTTCGGCGAATCGGTCGTTCGGCATCGAACATAGCCGCTGCTTTCGTCTTTGACGACTCAGATGATGATGTTGCACCGGCGCCCACGCCGACGCGTCCATCTCATGATATCCAAACCCTTCTGCCTTTTGAAAGCTCAGTAACAGAGATTGTCGACGGCAACGACAGTGGCTCTGTTGTTGAAGATGATCCAATCGACCATATGCTTCCGAGCAAAAAACGTCAATTGACTTTGAAAGACTTTCAACAACCCACCAAACGCCAGAAAAAGAATAATTCAACACCAAGTAACCAGTCCAAGAAACCGGGAAGACCTCCCAAATCTGCGAACCGGCCTTCCAAGGGCTCACGTCTTGATCCTTGGGCGAAAAGTTGTAAATCGACTTTGGGTAAACCTCGACCTGCTGCCAGAGCGAAGACACCTCCAAGGTTGAGCATCTTAGATGTTATTGAAGAAGACGCGCCGAAGTTCCTTAAGATCGCAGCCCGGACGGCTCAGAACAAACGTCACCTTGGAAGGTCAAGCCCTTCGAACAAGATGATACGCCTTGCAACACGAAAAGACAACGTCGATGCTGGTACAGTGCTGCAAAAGTGGAAAGGAGGCAAGATTCGGCCTCGTCAAGGGCTACAGAGCAAAACCCAAACCAAACCATCGGGAAGGCGTCCACTCATCCAGCTGCCTCCGAACGTCTTTGCTCGCGGTGCTGCGTCCTCGCCCAAGACCCGTAGTGCCGTGCAGCCCGATCAACACCATCAAGAGGACTCGGCACCTTCAACGCCCTTGCCCGACGTACATGCTCGCGCACGACAGATGTCCAGGAGTCATTCAACCGCAAGTCAACGTACTCGAGAGGCAGCGAACAGACCTGCGCAACTCGAAACGGACTTGTCTGAACAGCCAGGAAGAATCGGATTTCATGCAAAGAAACGGGCTCTCGATGCTCTTTTCCGGCGCAGCCAAACACAATCTTTGTCCTCACTGAGCGCGCATCTGGAATTCTTTATGGACGAGGTGTCTTCAGTTGTTTCAGGGCACAGCTTCGCTACCAGAGCCTCTCCGGAACCACCAACCATCCAAAAACCCCGTCTCAAGCGTCCCAGAAAGCCCGTTCGGCCGATCAAGATCGATGTTGCTGCTGCTCATTTCCGCCATGCAGATGACCCACTACCGACCACAGAGCTGTTGACTCCAGCAAAGACGCCCATATCCGTCTTAGACGACCACCAACTCCTTGGGCTCGGTCCTTTTGGCACACACTATACGCAACACTTTGAGATATTCCCTCTGGATCGTGGGGTGTTTTTTCATGAGACAACCCTTATCGGCAGCGGTCGGGTCAAGACAGCCGTTGATGACCAGTTTTCAGAGAAAGTATGGCACCATCGTCCTCGGATATCATTCAATCTAGGTGAGCTGGTTCTTCGTTGGGACACATGGACTGAGCAAGTTTCTTCCGAATTCGGCATTTTGATGGATGGGATACTCGATCAAATCATCAAGCCGGCGGTATCAACAGGAGTTGGCTTCAACGCCAAAGAGGCTGCACGCTTCGTTCTTGACTACGTACAAAAGGCTATGAGCTTTACCAGCGATGCTGATGCGAGTTCCTTCGTCACTCGCCTCTCTGACGTGACTAAGGCTTTCTTGTCACGCCTGGATTCAGAAAACGGCCCCGACTTGCATGAAAATGTAGAGCTTGTTGACATCCTGTCGAACCTGGTCCTCGTTCTCTCATCAGCAGTGCGGCTCTGCCAGAAGACACAGTCTTTGGTAACAGAGAGCTTCACCATGGAGATGGTCCTAAGAAAAACTGCTGAAACCTTGGTTAGGGTTCTGCTCAACATTGGACTGAACGACGTAACACGTCTGTACGACGACCTTCAGACATTGAGATACCGTGAGCGTGGTATTCGCTCTGATCAAGTTGTGCCACACACGTGGGTACTCTTGATGAAGGCTCTAGAAAGTCTCCGGATACCAAGAATGAGTTTCTGGGACATTACGTATTCGCGCATGCTTCAACCAAGCGTCAACTGCGGAGTCGAATCACAGGAATTCGAACGGCTTTGGAAGAACATGTTTACTCTCTTACCATTGTGCGAGTTCGACAATACTGGTGTGATCGTAACCGACAGGAGGCATCATGTTCCCATGGAAGGTTGGAGTCTTCCCCAACAAGTCCTGAAGCGCGTCTTCGAACTATACCGGAAAAACCCTCGCCAATCCCCCAGCTTTAATGACTACTGCCGGGCACTCGTGTCCAGGTGTCATTATCTGGTTGACCAATGGGGTTGGCAGAAGTGCAGTGGCATCATCGGCACCATCTTCGACTTTTTCGGTTCACAGAACCTATCTCACTTGCGCAACGAAGAAGCATTCCGCTCAGCTCGTTTCCTGGATAGCCTTCACCTCAACCCATCGCTCCGGGTTGAACCTGAAGATCGATGCTTCCATATCTTCCTTAAGCTTGTGGCACTGGCCATAAACAGGTTGAAGCAAAAGGGGCTGGTCAACGACATCCGCAATCTGGTGGCTCGTACGCTCCCGAACCACGACCGACAATACTCCAAGGAACAAAACGTTCACCAGCATGATTTGGCAGCCCTCAGAAACCACCACGACCTCCTATGCACACTGTTTTGGGCAGCGCCACGTGACCTTCGTCCTGGCATCCACAATCTTGAGAAGCTGGTTATCCCCGCCAGCTCTCACAAGGAGGCTTGCCTGATCAATTTGCGGGCATGGAACCAACTCGCACGGTTTGTTGTACACGAGGAGCCTGCTGCATCATTCACCCCGCTAGCAAACTGGCAGTCCAACGTGTTTAGGCAGCTTCTGGATCAGTACAACTCTGCCGCGGCAGATATCCAACAACAGTTCTTGGCCTTGTCCAAAGACGCTAGTAGCAACATCAGTGAGGATTTGATGAACTCGATTGTGACTACCAACAAGGCCGCTACAATGGAGATCATGTTATTCTCGGTCAAGTCCTCAATGGATGCTGTGCAACATGCGGGTAGCTTGGAGCTGGCCAGACTTGCTTCAAGTCCATGTAAGTCAAAAGCTTGACGCTCCATATTCTGAAGCTAACCTTTCGCAGTTCAACTACAGCAAGTCTTTCAGCACTTCTCTACCCTGCCAGCAGATTTCCCGTCTACACTCTTACAGGCGTCCCTGACCACTCTTGAGCGCCTTCTTGGCAGGATTGAGTCGGTCTTCAATGAGGCGGATGACAGTCAAGACAGCATGGCTTCTAGGACGTTGGAATCGGAAGATGCAATTCTTGTAGGTTATATTTCGCTCTTGCTTGAAAATATGTCTAACCTGTTTGTAGATGTTGGATCGTGAACTGGCCGCCGTATTTCTCTCCACAGCGCGCTGCCTATTATCAAATCAGTCGCGTGGCAGTCCTGGCGCCTCGTCAGTGTCAAAGGCTTGCGTTGAGCAGTCCGTTATTGTTTCTGGCATGATGGTCGGCCTGTTCGTTCGGTGTACAATGATGGTGAGTAACGCTTCCTGTGAAGCCGAACTTTGCTAATTGTTTCTAGGCACTCTCTCAGGTCTTCAAACCTACCAAATACGGGCTTTTCGGAAAGGCGCCAACCAAGCTTAGCTGGGAACAACGCCAATATCTTCCCCTGTTTCTCTCTGTGGTTGCACAAAAGGGAGCAGCGATCAATTTGGAGGTAAGAGACGCAGACAGCGCATGTGGCACAAGTATAGTTAACATGGATTAGGACATTGGAACGAGTCTCTTGCAACTGTGGCTCTCGACCATCGTACAGCCAAGTCACTGCTTGAGATATGAAAACCAATTCGGACAGGAATTGCAGCGCCAAGGATATCCTTTTATACCCGACAAAACTGCAGGGCTAGTCGTCAATCCAGGTTACTTGTCCAACCGCGACTTCTTTGAATGTAAGGAAATCGTTACCGGATCAGACAAATATATGACTAACACCTCCAGATGCTATATCCTGGATGCGACAGTCACTACAGACAGCCGATGCCGCCTCCAAGAAAAGCATGCGTGCCGAATTTGAGAAAGTGCTCAACGCCGTCATGAACCAAATGCGGGTCGACGTCCAAATCATAGCAACCGACTCTTCTGAACATCCCGGCTACGTCAAGTTTGTCCGCAATATCATTTCTCTGATCAAGGCCCATGGTGCAGACATCTGCCCTGTGCAGAAGTTCTTCCTGGAAGTGAGCAAGGAATACTCTCCACCCATGCAGGATCCCCAGCTCCAAGCAGCCTTGATCCAGTCGTATGGGTTCAAGCTTGCTGAAGGCGACCCGAGAGTCCCGAGTACTCTCTTCCACTTCTTCCTCAACAACTTCAAGGGAGCTCTCCAACGAGACCGACTACCGCACGAAGTCCTCCTACTGAAACGAGCCTTGAAACATGACGCTATCATGTCGTTCATCTTGGGGAAGATGCTTCCAGCAGTTTTGCATGCCACGCTGTCCAATCATGAAGCTTATGCAATGCTTGACGTGCTGTGCGATGCTCTTGGACTAGCCCTAACGCAACCAACCATAGCTCGTCAAGTGAGCGAGGACAGTTTCGCCTGCATCCCAGCCTTGGTCACAACATTGTTGGCCTGGGCCACGGCCGTGAAGGGCGCAGCACTTTGCGCTGAGCATATTCATGTGCTCAGAAGAATCACCTGGCTCCTTAATGCCTTTCAACCATACATCGAGTCCTTCTCGTTAATGCCCAGAGCCGTCAAGGGCTGGGACAATGTTATGAACAGATTACAATGTTTCGGCCTGCTTGCCGAAGGCGCTCATGAATATCTCGGCGCCGAGTTTGACAAAGGCGATGTTCCTTTCATGGCGCCCTCGAGGCTGTTCCGCCTCCTGAGGGCTCATAATGAGAACTTCAGGATTCAGGATACCACAGTTCTGACCTGGTCTGAACACATTGGGAATGATATTAGCAGAAACTGGGTCACCACAGGACCGCTCTTGACGGTATCAGGGATCAACCGCGGGACACCCTCGACGCAATCTGGGCAAGGCTCACTTAGACCTCAGTGGAGCATGCGGGAGCTGACAACGAGCTTGTACGATCAACTGCGGATCTGGCATGAGTGGTGGATAAGAGTTAAGGGATCGCCCAAAGAGCGTGAGACGTTTGACTATGGAGAGGAGTTGATATTCTGAGGATAGCTCAGGTGGAGTTGCTTTCCGTTGTTGGTATAGCGGATTCGGGGGATACTCCGGAGCTGTGACAATTAACTTAGTTACCATAGCCTAGGTAGAGGTATCAATTTACATGAACACTTGAACAGCGGAGTCAGACCAGTTTTGAGTTTAAGATTCAACACGTTTATCAAATAGTCGAAATGGTTACTTCCAACTTGATGAGTCATATATTACTGGGTCTGGGGTCCATCTGCGATCTCATTGCTATTGAATGGCACAATCCGACTCGGTGCGGTTGTCGGTGAGTCTCGGTGAAGACTCTGCCGAGATTCCGCCGCTCTCACTAAGCATAGCGCCGGCTCAAAGAGCTTGACGGCGAGAAAGGTTTCTTTTGCCATGCAACGAAACCGCCAATTGCTGGCATTTTGCACCTTGTCCTTCCGAATGCATGCAATAGGGCCCCGGGCCCTTGCCTCAGCCTCCAGAGTCTCTGCGTCGTCAAGATTAGCGCTTTCGGTTGCTCACCGGAGCCAGTGTCGACAATTCCACCCGTCATATAGGTTACGGAAAAGTCCGTCCGAAGGCGGCGCCGGCGCAGAGGACGGCAAACCGCCAGAGAAACCCGCAGGCGAGCAGCAGGACGACAGCAGCAGCAGAAACCGAGATGATGGCTTGAACAAGACCGAGGCCAACTCGTCAGAGTCGGCGTTCCGACGCTCGAGGGGTGGCGCGTTCGCCTCTGCGAGAGCGCGTCTTGCGCGGCCGCGGCCCGCCGACGAGCTGCCGCCGGTGAAGCTGCCGCAGAGCTTCCTTGAGACTGGCGTGTCGCTGTACGACCCCGAGAACAGAATCAACACCCTCACGAACGATCTTTGGCACCACCGGTATATGGGCGCCCGCTGGCACGACTTGCTATGGAAAGATTTGGAACTCGTCTTTAGTCACGCCTCCTGGACCGACGAGAAGTTGCAGGATGCGCTGCGCCGGGGTAATCTCGAAGCCATCGAGAGGCGGAATCGCATCTTGGCCGAGGCGTCGCAGTGGTTGAGCCTCTCCATCGACGAGATGCGGTCTTCAAACAATCTACAGAGCTCCCGCGAGCCGCTGCCAACGACCGAATTCGCAGACATGCTTCGCTACTCCAACAAGTTCGTCCTCTCCAACCTCCTGTCGCAACACACCCGCGAAACGACGGACGCCGATCCCGTACAAGAACAAGACCAGGACAGCGTTCTGCAATCACTGGTTGAGCAATATATCGAGGAGGGACGGCCCAAGCCGAGGCGCGACGGACTCAGGTTATTCGACCCCAGGATCCGCGGTGAGATCGTCACGGCGGTGCGCGCAGAGCTCTCCTTGCAGCCGGACGCGAGCGCGGTGGGGAGGGAGCTTAAGAGACCCCTCACTATTGTCAACATCCCGAACTACACCGGTCGAAGTCACACCAAGAAGCTCATGAAGCACGTTGCGTCGTGCGTCGAGGCGGATGTTGTCCACCTCGATGCGCAGGAGTTGGCGATGCTTGTGGGCGACTACATCGGACAGGATTGCGCCTACTCGCGAGGCTCCATCTCCATATTGGGATACCGTGCGGCGGAGATGAACGGACGTCTGGTCAAGACCGAGGAGCCGTCCAAGCCGAATGAGGAGGACCTGTCTGGGGAGATTGAGGCTGCCTGGGTCAACCTTCGAGATCACGGTGTAGATGGCGGCTACAGCAGCCCCATGGACAACGAGCTTCAAAAGATTAGGGAGGGCCCTAAAGACTACATCCTCCCCTCTGTCGACCGATGGGAGAATCTCAAGATCAACGCTGTCCTCGAGGAGATTGCCAACTCTGCCTCAAAAATGTCGTCGCAGCCCGAGCGAAGCCTCATCATTCACGTGGACGACTTCGTCGAGCTCAATATGACGCTCGAGGGCGCGCTGCTCATCGGTAGACTACGCAGTATCGTTGATACCATGTGGCGCGCTGGAAAGAAGGTCACGCTCGTCGGCACATCGTCCAACGAGAACCCATCGGACCAGTACGCCTCAACACTCAAGGAGATCGCCGCCGAAGAGTGCCTGATCCCCTTACCCCTCAACTTCCAGCGGATCACAAACGCCAGCAACACCAAGAAGATCTACGAGGCCAACGACTACCTGCAAGAGAACCTGCGGAACATCCAGCACATGCTGAGGTCCATCGCCGGCCACTCACCCGACACGAGCAAGCTGCGCATCGTCGGTGTGTCCAAGTCCTCGCCGCCACAGTACCTCCTCGATGACACCGAGGGCTCCTACATGGAGGTCTCGCTGATCCCGCGCGTCTTGGCCACCTCCATCCTGCCCCTCTCTGACGTCTACCACATCACCCGCCTCTTCTACGCCTGCCAGGGCTCCGTCAGTCCCGACCAATCGTGGCGGGTGCTCTTCGACGTCGTCGAGTCCAGCAGTTATAGCACCGCCCAGATGCACCGCCTCCAAGACCGGCCGACGCGCTCCAAGCCGTCCGCCGCCGGCGGGGCCTCCGCGTCATCCGATATGCAGAAGCCCGAGCCCGAACGCCTCCGCGTGTCGGGCAACTACAACGACTACGAGAAGAAGCTCCTCAGTGGCCTCGTCAACAGCAGCGAGATTAAGACGACGTTCGACGACGTCCATGCCGACCCGGAAACCAAGAACAACCTCAAACTTCTCACGTCATTGTCCCTCGTCCGCCCCGAGGCCTTCACCTACGGCGTGCTCGCCACGGACCGGATCCCGGGCTGCCTCCTCTATGGTCCCCCAGGCACAGGCAAGACGCTGCTCGCCAAGGCTGTCGCCAAGGAGAGCGGCGCCAACATGCTCGAGGTCAGCGGCGCGAGCATCAACGACATGTACGTCGGCCAGAGCGAGAAGAACGTCCGTGCCCTCTTCTCGCTTGCCAAGAAGCTCTCGCCGCTCGTCATCTTCATCGACGAGGCCGACGCGCTCCTCGCGGCCCGCGGGCAGCGCAACCGCGCCGCCCACCGCGAGACTATCAATCAGTTCCTCCGCGAGTGGGACGGCATGTCCGACACAAAGGCCTTTATCATGGTCGCCACTAATCGGCCCTTCGACCTCGACGACGCCGTCCTCCGCCGCCTGCCGCGCAAGATCCTCGTCGACCTGCCGCTGCAGCCGGACCGCGCCTCCATCCTCCGCATCCTCCTCAAGGGCGAGGACTTGGACGCGTCCGTGTCCATCGACGACATCGCGCGCAAGACGGTGCTTTACTCCGGCTCCGATCTCAAGAACCTCTGCGTCGCGGCCGCCATGACGGCCGTCCAGGAGGAGAGCGAGGAGGCCGCCAAGCACACGGGCCCGACGCCCTACGTGTTCCCACCGAAGCGCACCCTCAGGAAGCACCACTTTGACAAGGCACTGAAGATGATCGCCGCCAGCGTCAGCGAGGACATGGACAGCCTCAAGAGCATCCGCCGGTTCGACGAGAAGTACGGCGACGTGCGCGCGAAGAACAGCCAGAAGAAGAGGGGCATGGGCTTCGGCGTGCTGCCGACGTCGGCGGACGCCGAGGAGGCCAGGGTCCGGCAGGCCGTTGCGTAGGGGCCGCCTTCCTCCACCCGGTAGTCTCCGCTTCTGTCCTTCCCTCCCCTCCTCTCTGACTTTGGGGGAAGTGTTAGTTTTAATGGTCGGTATTCTGGAGACGGAGCCTAACCCGGCCGTATCCCCAGAGAGGGTTTGGTTTTGTTGTACGATTTTTGCTGCGCCCGATGGGTCGAGGAGGATCCGTTGCGCGTTATAGAATGGGATGTGGCGGATTGTATCATTACTTACGAAGTAGCTTCATAAGGGGTTTCAACCCCGCTGGCTACGAATGGCTGTCCTATGAGATTAGTCTTCAAAAATCATAGATGGCGTTTTTCTTTGTCTCAATCATCAGATGTCCCGACTTGACTATGCAAATCTTTCGCTCACGACTGTGTCACAGCTGCATATCAAGGTATCATGGTGGATGTTGCTTTCCATATAAAATATATGATATGATGCCCGTCCCCATTCCAGTTGTTCTAGTATACAATCCGGCCACCGTCGGCGTGGCTAAACCTGATGGAAATCTCCCCGGGCCTTAGGCCTCGGTGGAAAGCTGCACCCCCTCGGCAGCAAGAGCTCGCTTGTAATCCGCCTGGGCCCTCTTAAGCGCCTCGAGGGTGGGCTGCATGATGGCCAGCACGGCCTTGCGCCCGCCCTTCTCGTGCTCTGGCCGCCAGCCCCTGATCTTTTTGCCCGTCGCCTTGTAGTGATCCATAATCTCCTTCTTCTTGGCGCGGATGATGTCGTCGCGGGCCCTCTCGGCCTCCTCGGCGACAGCGTTGATGCGCTCGGCCGACCGGCCCAGTGACTCGACGAGGTACTGCAGCTCATTGGCACGGTCCGGGTCGCCCGAGAGAAACGCGTTCCAGAACTGGTGCAGGAACTCGACCGTCGTCGCGTGAGTCAGCGAGCACCGCTCGGCGATCTCGGTAGGGAGGCCCATGGGCCGGGCCTCGTCCGTCGTCGTATCACCGTACTTCTCGGCGCGCCGCTGGCGGATCCCCGTCATGATGTCGTCGCCCGCCGCCTTGCGCGCGGCGCGGGAGCCGACGTGGAGCGGCCGCTGGCCCTCCTCGTCGCTGTCGCTATCGTCGATGATGCCGATGCCCGCGCGGAGGTTCAGGCCGCCCGCACCGTCCGTCTCGATGGTCTCGAGGTCGGTCTGGATGTCAAAGAGGACGTCCGAAGGGTTCTGCTTCGCAAAAGCGAGAGCATTAGCGGACTTTGTCTCATCCTTCTTGGCGAAGAAGCGGTTCTGCTCCTTGATGTTAAGGATGATTTTATTTTCCTTGACATCGCCTCGCAGGTCGCGGAGGGCGAGCTCATGCCATGTCGAGTCCTCAATTTCGGGTCCTGCCTCGCGGTCCGAAGGCGCTACGTTGGCCAACATCCTCTCGCTAAGACTGTTGAGGGTGTTGACGATGGGCACGTTCTTGCGCGGCCGCATCTCAATATCCTTTTGGTTCCCGCTCTTGAAGCCGCCCTGGTTCTCCTCGTTGCCGTAGACATCGATGATGTGCGGTACATTCTGTGCCATGCTCTTCCGCTGAAACATGGTCGTGTTCTCGCTGGCGTCGTGGGCATCGAAAAGTGCATCCCGCTTGATGCCCTCCTTCCTCTCGTCGCTGATCCTGTCACCCTTGAGGGTGCGGAACAGCTTGCTCAGGAAGAAACGAGACCAGAACTCGCTCTCGGGAATCTTGGGCACGTTCTCATCGTATAGTCTCTTGACTAGCGGGTGCTGCGCCATGATGAGCTGGACCATCTCGACAGTGATGTCAAGCTTGAGCACGTCGTTCTCCAACCGCGGCTTTATCGCGGGCAGAACATTATACGCGCCCTTTTGCTGGTTCACCTCGATGGCGTGGGCGCGCAGTAGGTTCGTGCGGGTTGACCAGAACTGCGCGTTGAAGGCGGCGTCCGATATCGACTCGGGCTTCGTCGCGCGTGCGTCCATGTACGTCTGGTGAAGAGTGCGGTCCTTCTTCATCAGTGATTGCTGCAGCTCGATGTCACCCTTGAGCTGAGCATCGTCGAACCACCGAGCACTGCTCGGCTTTGAGTTAACAGAGCTGGCGAACGTCATTGAGCCCGAGCCCGAGCCGCCACCACCGCTGGCACCATTCGAACCGTTCGCCGTTGGGTTCGGGGTTCCGCTACCCGATGGTTTGGGAACGTTGGGATCGCCAGAGCGAATGTCGGCCAGAAGCCTTGAGAGCAGGTCCTTGATGGCATTGGCTTCGGATCTGGCGTCTGGTGAGGTGAAGTGGAACAGATAGGGCATCTGCTCTGTGGCTTCGGGAGGCTTCTCAAAGATCTTCAACATGACCTTGGCGGCGGTGTCTGGTGTCTGTTGCAGGTCTGTCGCTCAAGTCAGTCTTGTAATCCCTTACCACACGAGAATTCAACCCGGTGGCAGCTCACTCGTGATGTTGCTCAGCGCCAGCGAAACCGTTGGCGGGCCATCGCCAGGCGCTGGTGTCCAAATTACGAACTGCCGGTCCTGTGTCAAGGTCAAGATGCCATCCTTCTTCTTGAAAGCCGCCCGACCGGACGGTAACGCCATGTTTTGTGGTGGTCGATTTGTTATGAAGCGCCGTGTAGCATTACGATTGAGAGTCCTTTCGTCACCACTATTCACACTCTCGGTGTGTACTCGTCCACCTCGACTCGAGTGAGTTGGCAGGGTCCAGGGATGAGACCCGATACGTCAGGCACGGCCGCAGTGGCCAGCACAAACCGGTCGAACTTGCCTCAGGAAATCCGGAATGCGAGATTTTATGGTGCAGAAATAGAAGTCGCGAGCTGATGTGGAATGGAAATCGATCAATGTCTTTCACTTGGATTTGAAGTCTCGAAGTTCAAAGCTTCAGCCACCGGAGCTTATGCTGCCTGAAGTGGCGCGCTCGTGCCAATCTGCCAGGTGCCAACAGCTCTTCACAACCGGCAGTGGCAGCGGCAGTGGATGCCCACTCATAGTTTCGAGGCAGACGTCAACGTATGTATTGTCCACTCAAAACCAACATCATCTGGTCACCGCAAATGAGCGCACTCTCAAGAGTCACCCGTGTCACGTGTCGCGCGCGACGGCCATGTTTTCTTGTTACAACGATTGTAGAGGTGTGTGTTGCTATCTATTTTATCAGACGCGATTGCCCGCCCGCCGTTCCCCAATGTAAGCCAGGAGCCAGTCCCGGAAGATCCATTGCCACCCTCAAAACGCCGAAATCTCAGAAAGCCAGAGTCTGTCTCATGTCTATGGATGCGTGTGCCCGCGTATCTCGTCCAAGTCTCATAAAAATGCCGTGACCCTCTCGACAAAACATCCAAAGGGCAGTAAGGTTATTGCATGTGGCCCTAGGGCTTAGATGTGGTGTCTGAAGCGGAGCGATCGGCGACCGTGAGCTCTCTTCTTCTGCCAAACCAAGACTTCGGTTGTGCCAGACTGGCACTTGGTGCCAGGAGCCATACTCATGAGCACCGACCACTGGCCAGAGGCACAGCGCTGGAAATGGCTACCGGAGACGCAGTTCCACTGACCCTCGGGGGTACAAGCCTTGCCAGGGGTCATGGAGCCGTCAGCGGCATCGCCACCGGATCCAGCGCCGGGAGAGGGCGCGGCGGACGGAGCAGCGGACGGAGCGACAGAGGGAACGACTGCCGAGGTGGGAGCGGGCGCCGCCGTGGAGGCCTCAAGCTCTGAGGTGCATACATCACTAGGCGCAGCAGGCTGGCTGACGGTAGCGAGGGTGGTTGGCTGAACGGACGAGGCAGCAGAGGTGTTGCTGAAGGCCGGTACCGTGATGAAGACACCGCCAGGGCTTGAAGATGTCAGCAAGGGTTCATAACGAGATGAAATTGCAGGTGGGACACTTACAGAGATGATGCGCCTCCAGCAGCAGGACTAGTGGTGGTCGGAGTGCTGGGCTGGGGAGCCGGGGGAGCAGACGAAGCAGGAGCGTCGACGGGCTTCGAGCTGCTGGGAGCACTGTTGCTGCCACCGCCAGTGCCGGGGTTAGGGGCGACGACTGCACCACAGTTGCCGACAGGGGCGGCAGTCTTGGTGCCAGCCGTGGTGACATCCGGGCCAGGGTCGGGGAACATGACATCAGATCCTTCGAGGGTGCTGCAGCCGTTGGCGATGTTGGCCTTGAAGATTTGGGGGCGGCTACTGAAGGCGGTGGTAGTGCTGCCTCCGGCGCCACCGCCGGTGATCGTGATGACAGCGCAGTTCATGTAGCTGTTACGAAAGATCAGCAAGGCGCACTCAACTCCAAGAAGAGAAAAGTAGTAGGGAGAAGGGTAGAACTTACAACTCTCGGTTACCGACGTTGTTGAACCAGGTCCAGGCGAAGAGGGCATCCTGGGCAGAAGGGGTGTCGGCGGGCAAGGTGAACTTGAGAGACGAGGTGCCAGCGACGGGGCAGTTACCGATGTAGCTGTGGATGACAGTGAAGGTCTTGCCGTTGTCGAAGGACAGAGAGGCCTGGCAACTACCGCCATTGTGGTTGGCACCGCCGGCGATGGTCATGTTGTAAACCTGGCCGGCCTGCCAAGTGGCAACGGGAGCGGCCTTAGGGGTACCAAGAAGGTTCAAGGTGCCCTTGCAGGGGAAGTCGCTGCCGGAAGCGCTCAGGGGACTGGTGATGCTGTAGTCGATATCGCCGCCGTTGTTGGGGTTCTCCTTGGATCGCAAAGGCGGCGGGTAGGTGATGGCCATGTGAGCGGAGGCACAGCTGGCTAGCAGCACAAGCGCGGATACGAGAGCGGCCTTCATGTTGTCGTTGCTGATAGTATGAGAGGTCGGTACGAGATGAGGTGAGTTGACGCAGCTGGTTTTTCTCTTCCAGGTAGGGAAAATAAAAAGGAGGCAACTGGTGCTTGATGGGAAGTTCGGACGAGTGTTTGTGTTTTGGGAGTTTGGTTCAAAGAGTGTGTATGCTCCTCGTCTTGAGATGTATGCGGGTTGGTTGATCCTGAGATCGGGGGGACTTTGATGTGTTATTGGTGAGTGAGAGTGAGTCGTTCAAGCCAAGATGACTGAGACGAGGGATGTCTTCAACTATTTTTATTCTCGGAGAGAAAAACTGGTCTTCAGTGTCGAGCCGGCTCAGAGAACAGAAGTCGAATGACAGTGTTGGAAGATTGAAGGAATGTGGTGAATGTGCAATAGCGAGGCTGGTCGCGAAGGGCAGTACGTAACCGTTGCGGGTTTCGAAGAGGCAGGGGAAGGAAGGAACGGCAATGAGGCTACTTTCTCTCCACAGGTGGAAAGAGTAAGGTAAAACCGAGTTGGGCTGGACCGTGGCAGTCAAGAGCGTGAATGACGCAACGTCGTAGACGAGTGAGCAATGAATGGAAAAGGCGAGAGGTGAAGGAAAAAAAGAGTCCCGGAACCCAGATCGAACTGCTGATGAAGTCAGGCGCGGATGAGGCAGGAGGAGGTTGAGGAAGGCGGGAGGCCGTCATGGGGTCTTTATCGTTGAACAAAACCACACCATGACCAACCAGCCGTCCATCTCAGGTAAGAAGGTACGAACGGGGAGGGAGCAAGGGTGAAATGGCAAGCCTCTGCATCGCGTCCCGTCGCCTCGTCCAGTCGCATACAGTCTGCATCTTGATCCATGACTATGCGGCCTGGGTAGCGGTCGCGGGTGTGCTTCTCTCGCGCCGCCAAAAAAAAAAAGAGTACCCCTGTCGTCTACGCCTGTTTCTTCTTCTTCTCTCTCTCTTTCTTCACCATCATCTACTTCCGGTTACTTTGCCTTTCCATGTTGGTTGCCTATGGCCAATTGGTATAGCTACTTGCTGGGCTTTCCCATGGGCATCTCGGAAGCTGGCAGCTAGAAGAACCCATAGCCATCCCTTTGACGTAGTGTAGGTCCGGTGCGGACGACGTCTGGCTCGACGTCCTCCCTTCTCTTCTCCCTCGGGATTCTTTTCCCACGGACCCAAGTCAAGGCGCGATTCTCGGCTCCTCCGTCCCCTTTCTTCCTGTCCAACGGCGGCTCGATGTCGAGAAACTCGAAGAAACCCCGAGTTGCCCCCAGGAGCCGCACCGAATTCCAGTCTGGTACGCCAGCGTCGTCTCCCTTGCGCACTCTCTTGCCCTTGCCTCTTTTGCGCCAAAGCCGCCGCTGCTGCCGCCTTGGGGGTCTAGGCCCCCCTGGTCTTGCATGTGTGCTACTTTCCAAATGCGATGATCATTCGGCCAACATGACTTCTACGGTAAGGTACCAAGTCACAGAGCGGTCACAACCTACTCTTGGTCTCGATATAGGGCGCACATCATGCGCGCACCGGTCGTCAACGTAGTGCCTAGCGCGCTGTTGTCTCTGATGTGAGGTACGGATGGATGCTGGTGGCTAGGAAAGTGGAAAAGGTGGGATGAACCAGGGATCCCGAAGGAGACGGTGCTGATCCAGAACGGTCATTGGCCAAGGGACAGATGCACGAATGGCAGGCCACAGTGGTAGCTGCGCGGCAAAGATCTGAAGCGCAAGGGGGCGCAAACCGACCCTGGAAGGGGATAGTGTGTCTGTCGTCCAAGTCTTTTTCACCGTTCGACGTTGCTGCTGTTGCTTCCTTCTTTCTCAGATTCAGACCACGTCCAATCAGTCAGCCCGCGTGCCTGAGCCGTCGTTGAGACGCCCAACTCGCTTATTGGCCCATTTGATCTGCTCAAACCATCTTACCTGTGCTTGCTTTGCCTTGCAGGCTAGGTAAAGCTCATCACCCCCATTGCGACACACCATGGCTAGGCTAAGGGTACCAGATCGGAGTAGTTCACGTCAGGCCAAGCTTTTAAAAACAAAAACGCACAAGGAGAGAAGGGGATTGCAAACCGACTGGAGCGTGTTCCCCATGTCCGTTTGTCCAACTGCAAAAGTGACTCTGCGCCAGCTACGACAAGCGAGCCAAGTCATCAAGGGTCCCACCTGGGCTTCCCCGTGCACGCCCAATTGCATTCCATCCAGTGTCCCAGTGTGCTAGTCACCAGCGCCTGCTTCCCTCACCCCTTCTTTCCCCGTCAAGCCATCCCCGGGAGCCGACTGTGACGCGACTTAGCGACGCGGGCCCAGGCTTAAAAGTGGGCAACCACAGAAGGAAGGATGCCGGCAGAGGTGTTCTGAAACATGCGACATGCGACATGCGCCGCCAAATGGCATGCGTCGTGCAACCGCCACGAATGAAAATGTTTCCTGCCATCCCATAGTACAGCCGCCCGCCCGCCAGACCATGACCATGTCCTGCAGTCACATTATACCTTGCCGTGCCGTTTCCGTACCTTAGCTAGACTCCTGCTGCTAGTCCCTTACCCTGACTTGCTAAAAATCTAGAATAACACCAATTTTTTTTATTTTAAAACAGTGCCACTTTGATCAGTCATCCGTTTCCCGTCGAGAAATAGACCAGAAGCCATATCTAGACCTCACGTCATCCGTACATCCGTTTACCCTGCCATGCCTAAGAATAAGTCACTTCTGTGAGCCTTGAACAGCCCTATGCAAGGCCGCAGCTTCGACCCGACCACACACGAACATGCCGAATCCAAGACCCCTCTTTCCTAGTATGTGACGGTGCCGAACGTGCCGTCTGAGATATTCCCGTGACGCTAGTGTTTCCCCTTGGTCTTCTCCCTTCCGTCATGACCACTCGTGCCGTTTTGATGTGAAAACCCCTAATCGAACAGATTTTATAATTTTTTTTCCTTGGTTCCCAACAGCAAATTGCTATCGACAATAGACCTGGTCTCCGCTGTCCACTCACAGGCGCAGCATCGTGTTGTTTGAAGTAATGTTTTATCTTGTTCAAGCCACCTAAGGATAGATGGCTTTAGCCTAAGCTGCTTAATTCCTACGCTTCTCATCATCAACTCTCTTCAGCTACCTGTGGCACCCAGCCTTCACATGCGCGTCTGGATCACGACCGACGTCCTCACATCTCCCTTGGTCCTGCGCCATGGTCCGCTCCCGTGAGGCATGAACTGCCGCCTTCTTCGCAGCGTCTTCGCGGAAGCCCCCTTTTGCTGCCCTCGAAGTCACGAAACCCCTTGGGAACTGGTTGCAAGCCATCGTTTCACCAACACAAAACTTTCTGGTCAACAAACGCATTGCGTACAGAAAGCCCAATTTTGTCCTTCGTCCCAGTGATTGGCCCACTCCAGCTGACAAACTACCCAAGGACGCCCTCGGACAGCGGCCTTTTTTTCATCGTTGTTAGCTGCCAGCACGACTAAGTCCGTAGCATCTGTCCCAGGCTTCGCGGATTAAGTGGATGTAATCAACGCTGAAGGAGTGCAGATGCTGAGGCAGGCGAGGCGGGTTTCCACGGCGCTATCGGTATGCCTCGGCCATGTCGACATGCTCCTCATTTGGCTTCCTCGGAGCCGTCAGGAGCGCGAGCAGGACCACCGGCAGGTACCGGAGGAACTTGTTGAGGACCTTGATGCTGCCCGTGGTTGTTGAACGGCTTGGCTCCGTAACTGTTGCTCCCACTACGATGCTGCGCCCCGTACTGGTGCATTTGCGAGGGGCTTGTTCCGAAGTGCTGAGGACCAGGGCTGTTATACCCACGGACGTTGCCAACTAAGCTGGATGTTAGCACTTTATTGGTATCGACCGCCGGGTACCATCTTACCCTGACCGCCGGGCTGCTGCGGGGTGAACGCAGGCTGCTGGTATTGCACGTTGGGGCTCATGCCATATACCGGCTGGCCCTGCTGGGAGCCTTGGTGAACCATCATGGGTGCTGACGGGCGTCCCGGGCTGGGGTAGCCGTTGGCTCCAGGAATGGGCTGAGGTGGTGCGCCGTTCGGAGGCATGAATTGAGTGTGATTTCCAGCGTACATGGGCATTTGCCCAGGAGCTGGAACCATACCCTGTGGATTCATGAACTGAGGCATCATCGGTGCTCCCATAGGGCCACCAGGCTGCTGCGGCATGTATTGGTGGTTGTTGGAAAAGTTCCGGTAACCACCCATTTGTGGTGTGCCTGGTCCGACAAAAGGCTGCATCATCGGCTGGCTGTAAGGAACCTGACCAGCCGAGCTCATTGCCGGCGTGTAAGTGATTGGGACCTGGGCCATCCGAGGCGAGGCAAACGACTGTGCCGAGTTTGAGTGCATCATCCGGTGGTCGTCCATGTTCTGGTACGGCGTATGAGGGACGTGGCCATGCTGGTTCTGTATGGGCATGGGCGGCATATGTGGCGACTGCCGCGGGCCCATGCCGTGGGCAGGCTGCTGCAGATGGAACGGAAGCTGATGCTGGTGGGCACTGGGCACAACGTGCGTGTGGTTCGGCGTCGCAATTGTCGACGCGGCGAATGACTGACGCTCCAAGAACTCCTTGGAAGTGATCAGCATTGTAGAGTCGGGCTTCTCATTGTCCGAAGGCGCTCTCCAGGTCGGCGGGGTGTCATACGAGGGCCTCAACCCATCGTTATCGTCCCAGTTCCGACCTTGAGGGGGCGTGAAAGTCTTGACGTGCGCAAGGATGTAGCACTTCTTAACATCAACAGCTTTCGTCTTCCGGCGAATGAGCTGTCCGGCAGACGCCGGGGGTGACGCCGCGTCAGTAGCTGCAGGAGCGGCAGTACCAGTAGCGCCAGCAGAACCGGCAGCAGCAGCGTTGTTAGCAGCAGCAGAGCGAGGACTGGATCCAGCACTGGGATGTCCATTCGGGTTGAATGACGTCGCGAATGGGTTTGGTCTGAATTCGTGACTGTTTGGGTTCAATTTCCCGCCCATGTGGCTTGGGACACCGCCAGCGCGCCGGAATGCTTCCGTGTTGTTCGCGGGGCCTGTTGGCGGCATGCGCATATCCTGGCCACCAACATGCTGGTTAGGTGGCTGCGACATCTTCTGTTGCTCCACATTACGCAAGCGTTGCGCTAAAGGCTGACGATTCTGCTGAGCCATGTGCGGACCAGATCTGTCGTTCCTGTATGCTTGGGTATGGTACTGAGGACTGGCGTAGGACTGGCGAGCATTGGGATGGCGGTTCGGAACGTTGGAGGGAGATATCGTCTGTTGCGCAGGCGCTGTGCGGGCAGCGTTCCTAGTCTCAGCGGGAGCTTGTGTTGCGGGAGCATCCGCAGAAGGTTTTGCTGCGCCTTCCTTTGAGGGACTTTCCTTGCCCTTCATAGTGGGGGTTGTCTTTGAGCGAGCAACTTCTTCCGCATTCTGGAGAGCCTTGGCCTGGATCTCCTTTTGTTTGTCAGGATCCTTGGCGATAATGGAAATCAGGTCAGTAGGGACTGGGGTCGACAGCTTGAAGGTGTCGGCAAACTTCTTCAATTCTGTCAGTTTGACTTCCTTGTCAGCCTTTGCCTTACTGCTCCGAACTTTTTCAGCGTTCTGCCGCTGTTGGCTGGCAAAAGTCTTGAAGGAGTTGAGAACATCGCGTTCCACAGTCGAAGCTGCGCTTGGCGCGCCCTCTTTGACCTGAGGAGAGATGGTTCGGCTCGTAGCTGCAGAGGGACGAGCCGCGGTGGTCGAGTTGTCGGTAGATTTGGCTTCACTGGTCTTCGCGGTGGCTGTCTTCGTCTCTGACGGCTTGGCCTCGGCCTGTTTGGTCGACTCTTGCTTGGGAGCAGGCTTAGCGGCGGGCTTCGGGTCAGCAGCCTTGGGCGTCTCAGCAGACTGGACAGTGCTACCCTTGTTGATCAGCTGGCTCAGGAGCTTGGCGTCTTCCGGCTTCGCGGTGGTTTGCTTTTTCACAGGTGCTCTCAGTTGCGATGAGATGATCGCAGGGTCAATGGGGGCTCCAACCACAGTTGTGTTCGAAGAGGGTGCTCGTTTCGCAGGAGGGGTGTACTTGTTCTCGCGGCTCGACAAAGGGGGGAAATCCTGGCGGCGAACTCCGCTGTATCTGGACATGGTTGTTAGCGTTGGCTGCTCTATGCAGCAGCATGGCAAGAAAAAACACCTACTTGTCTTCTTCGTCACCACCATGATCATCACCACCACCACTGACAAAGTCCATCACACGCTCCTCTGCCACGTGCGCTGTGGTGGCCAAGCTTCGCTCAATCTCGCGAGCCTTTCGGTCCGCGGCGGCCATACGCTCTCGGTACTGAGGGTGGCTCTTGTCAATGGTAGTGGTGTAGATGTTCTCATCATAGTCTGTCTTGAGGCCGAAGAGCCGCTCGTTCTCAGCGAACTGATCCCAGGCTCCTCCACTGCTAGAGGACTTCTCCAGACTCCCGTCAATACCATCGCTGGAGTCAGGGACCCATGGTTGTAGGGTTCGCTCGTTGCCCGGTCGGTTGTTGGAAATGGCAGTGTCGGTCCTGAATCCAGATCGGGCGCCTCCAATACAGTTAGCATCGATCTTGCGGTTCGGTGAGATGTAGAAAAGCATACCATTCGGGCCCTTTCCGTCGGCCTTACCACCCATGGCTGAGTCCCTCTTATTGTAGGGCATGTTGTTCAACTTGTTGCCGATCTCACTTTGAGGTTTCTTGGGCGCGACCATCTCGCGGTCTTGGAATGTCGAGGTAGTACAGAAAGAAAACCTTCAACGGCAGTGCCACCGTGACTACCAATGACCTCCAATCCCCTGCGACGAAGAGTCAGTCAGATTCCCGGTTATTTATTTTTTTTACACCCATCAACAAGTCCCGACTTGAGTAAGTCCACAATGGATGAGTAAGGTGGTTGATGTTGTCGATGGGATGGATTTCGCTCGCTGTCGGATACCGCACCACAGCCGAGGGAGGTGGAGCAAATGTAACTCTGGGGAACCACGCACCTTGCGACGGGAAACGGAGGATTATGTTGGATCGTCGGGCTCGAAATCGGACAGTCGCCGTTGACTGTTAATCGGCAATGCAATCAGACGGCGAGGCCGCAGCCGGCCCTGCGGTTCTGGGCAAATTCAACTGTAGTAATGACAACGTCGGCCACGGTTAGCTTCCAGAGTCCAACGGCGGGGGGAAGCATGAAGGACAGATAGCTAGGGGCTGCAGCTCGATGCAGGTTCAAGAACAAGTACGGCAGCGAGGAGGAAAAAGAGGTAGGGGCGTGACAATGGGACAATGAAGGATTAGGAAGGGAACGATGTTGCAATGTCCGAGGGCTTGGGCCCGAGAAGCAGAGACGAGGATATGGAAGAGGCAGACGGCTGTGTCTCACCTGGTCGTGGTACAGCGAAAAGGGCTCGAAGAGGCCTGATGGAAAGGGGAGAGAAACGAAAGGCGTCCCCGAATATCGTCCAGCCGAAAAAAACGGACTGCACGAACTGCGTCGCAATTGGGCGACTCGAGTCGGAGGGTTTGGGGGGAAGCAGGCTGAAGAGACCAGCGTCGATCGTGGGCGTAAAAAGGGCGAGGACGTGGAGGGAGTTGGGATTGGGTGTGGAGGTTGAGGTGAGGTGAGGTGAGGCTTTGTTTTCCCACCACCACAGGCCAGCAGCAACTGGCACCAGCGGTCCCCTACAAAAGTACTGGGCCCTGGTGCGCTCTAGGCCGTGGAAGGTCGGAGGTGCTAACTCGGGGTACTTGCCTCGCCGGTGGACCTGAACTGCGGTGTGGTGTACCCTGCGCCTTGTTACTTTGGATAGGGACTAACGAGGAAGAGGCGTGGTGTGGTGCGGGTACGGATAGTGCTCCCGGGGGATGGTCAGAGATGAGTGGCCCCTTCATCGTTTAAGCCCCTCGAGCCGTCGAGCCAATCCACAACACTCCGGGCGGTTTATTAAGGGCACGAGACACCGCCTTAGGTTGCCTCACCTTTTCTACCTATGCTGTCACGCTGAATAAATCGGTAGTAGACACCTAGACTGGGTAAGACATGGAATGGAACGGTTATGCACTGGTCCAACCACCATGTCTCTTTGGTTATTCCCTTCTGGAACTTCTTTTTAGGCTCTCTGCTCTGTTTGTGCATGGTCATCTGGTAACTAACCTTAACAGGAGGTACCAAACATCTCCCATTCAGCACAAAGGGGACCGTGCTTTGTGTTGTCCCCTCAAGTCCATGGAGTGTCCATGCAGTGTTTCGAGCAACCTTTCACTTAAGACTCGTCCCTCCTATTATGCCCATCTCCCAGTACTTTGCTCTTAATGGGCGTGTTGACCTGGGCAGAGACACACAGATGTTGCGACTCTGGATTGTGTCGCATCCAACTACCCTCGCCAATCTGTCACAGTATGTAGAGATAGACTGAGGGGCACACGATTGAACGAGGCACCCACAACCAATGACATGTCCAACACACACGATCAACCTTTCAGACCAATCAGTGGTGTCCATGTAGCCTGTCGCATCTTCGGTGCTACCTCAAGACCCCGTAAGGTTGTGTACCTAGCTTCGGATGGAAGAGAATTTGTGGGTTTCCAAGCTGAACTCGACAGTGCTTTGGGCCTCGCCAGTGTCGGCTACGCTGAATAGGAAGGACGAATTCAGACCATGAATGTCAACAACGTGCTGTTGGCTGTGCGAGTCTATTCGTGTTTTCAAAGTATGGCATGCGTCAAAATTCCTCTCGTAGGAAACAAGAAACATTTGCCTCGCGATTGGATCACAGTCGGTCTGCGTTGCTTCGGCTGCTTGATGGAGTCTACCATAAAGGCCATCCGTCACTTGACAGTCCGTCAGCCGAGTCTTCTTGATTGACACGAGTAGTCGTGAGAAGCTCCAGACGAACATCAAAAACATAACAGATTTTTCATACGAGGGAATTAGGCAAGCTAGGCAGACACAAAAAAATTCTACTACATATGTTCACAACGGATACATTTCCCCAATCTACCGCAAATGCTTGACTGTTGGTACACGGATCGTTCGGCCGTTAAGAAGCCAGGCTATTTCCCGTTTAAACCCGAAGGCCAAGCTCCTCAGCGTACGGCAGAGCGTACAGATCTCCGACAGCCGCGACACTGGCCTTACCCTCGAGGAGCGTCTTCGTCGCCTGGAATGCAATTGTTAGTATATGAGTTCAGCAAACTTAGGATGTTCAATCCACTTACCGCCTTGAGCTTCTCAGCCGTGACGGATCCAATAGAGTTGGCAATCTCGGCGGCGTCGATGGCCTTGCCGTTGTGGACAAGTCCGGATCCAGCGAGAAGAATGCTTCCGCTGCGCTTCTCGGTGGCCTCGAGAGCGTCGAACTTGGCCTTGGCAATAGCCTTGGTCAGGTCCTCCTTGCTGACAGTACCCTCAGAGATGCTCTTAAGAGCCTTGACGGCCTCCTGAGCGGCGGTGCGGACGGCGGAGGCCGATCCCGAAAGCTGGACAGCAAGGAGGCTGGCGTCAGAGTAGTTGAGGTTGACGGTGGAAGTGGACAGGCCAGGAGCAGAGCCGACAGCCTTGTTGATCAGGCTGAAGCCAGGAGACCACTTGATGCTCGACTTGCCACCAAGAAGGGCCGCGAGCACGGCAAGCTCGGGAGAAGCCTGGCCATTGGTGGCGCCGGGGAAGGCAATGACCAAAGAGTTGCCAGAGGGGCTGTAGGTGCGCTGCTCACCACCGTAGTACTTGGTAGCGGCGGTGTTAAGGGCCAGCTTTCCGGAGGAGGCAGAGGGAACAGCCTTGAAGAACTGCTCAGCCCACTTGCTCACGTTCGCGGCGGACGCACCGTCGGCAACCAGGGCGATGTTGGACTTGGCGTAGGCGGACTGGGCGAACTCGGAAACGGCGTACTCGCTCAGGTAGGGCTGAATGGGAATCGAGGGCGTCAGGTTGGCGGGGGAGCCGAGGCCGGAGTGAAAAGCAACCGAGTGGGCAGAGTCGAGAGCGAGAGCGGCAGCGCTGGTGGCGGACTGCTTCAAGCGGAGGACGGGCTGAACCTCCTCGTGGAACTCGTGCGCTAAGCAACCATCAGCCAACCGTATCACACACGGCATCATCTGTTGAAAGTCTCACTAGTGTACTTGGTCTGCGAGACAACCTCTGCGAGAAGTTCCGTGAAGTAGGGAAGGTCATCGCGGAAGAAGCTGGCCTCGAGGACGAGGGCTTCACGGGTGTGGTATGCGGTCAATTGGCTGCCGAGGAGTTCGGATTCGCGGACGATGCGCAGGCCAGAGCGCTTTGCAGTATTCTAATCGTTGAAAACCGTGTCAGCGCATTGCTTCGTTACAGCTGATTCCAAGGGTTGGATCTCGGCTTCGCATCGTACCTTGAAAGCAAAGGACTCAAGACCGGCGGCCAGTCCGGGAAGAGGCTGGTATCTGGTACCGGCCTTGGCCACGATGGCCAACTTGGTCGTAGGGCCCTGCGAGTCTCTCGCAGCAACCTTGACACCACCAACGTCGGAGGTCTCGAAGGCACCGGAGCCAGCAGCAGCGCTGGCGAACCGGCGACCCGAGATTGTGCGAGCACAGCTCGAGTGGCGGAGAGCCTGCTGCGCAGGTCTCGCGAGAGACGGTCTAGAAATCATTGCGATGATGCGGTTGCCGACAATTGGCAGATCCAGTTTCGTGACGCTCAATTCGTCGGAGCTTCAACAAGAAAGTGCCTCGTCACGATCCCGACCAATTTTCGATCCATCGAACGAGGTTAGCTACGGGTCACTGGCGTCGTCACGTGATTGAAAAGTGCCTTCTCCCCGAACCTCCAATGAAAGCTCGACTGATTACCTGTAACAGGGGCCGACAGCTCCACATGTCTTCCTTTTCGTCTGCAATGGTGCACTGACAGCCTTAGGTAATCAGAGTGATGAGTCGGACATTGCCTGGCACCTTGGTGACTGAGGCTGGTGTTCGCTCCAGGTGAGTCTGTCAAGCCACAACGAGCTCCCGCCGTTCCAAAGCAACCGACGTCTGAAATTCCGCCTCCTCCACCAGCCGCAGATCCATTTTTTCCTGAGGGGTGGTACCTCAGCCGAGTACCCAACGTTCTAGCCTCGATTTCCACCACTCCATCAGGCACCGGGCGGCAGCTCCATGACTGACTGTGTCTCGGTGACTCGGCGCTTTCCATCGACTTTGTCCCCCACCCCGCCTTAGGTGGCCCGCCGCTCAGAAAAAAAAGTTCCATACACACTCAATTTCCGTCCATCTGCCAGCCAACGCGACACTCGACCGTGATCACATCATTTTCCAACCGACTGCTTCTTTCCCCACCAAGCACCGGCATTGTATTCTTTCAATGACTTCGCGGTAGCTTTTGTGGCAGCTCTAGGGATATTGAGAGGATCTCTAGAGTCGATTGATTCCTGAGTCCACGTTTCGCAATGTTGGTGGTGAGTCCTACATGCCGCCATAAAGCTAGGCCGACAACTTTTCTCTAACGCTTCCACCAGACCAAACACGGCGCCGAGCTTTGCGCTCACCTCGTTAATGACATTTGCGGCGAGCTTCCAGCTGTAAGTCTGCTCACGGCCCTCTCCATCCCGTTTGGCGCATCGTCACGGCATATCCTTGGCGGCATGCATCATTTTTATCTCGTGCTGACGGGTGCCCTTCCAGCGAATTCTAGGTGTCCTGTTCAGCAAAGGCAGGTCCACCATTGCACAGCTCGTCCAAACCACGGCCCTTACTCCACGACAGTTGCGTCATGGCCTCGCCGTCCTCGTTCAGCAGAACCTCGTATATCACCAGGCCGATTCCAACAATACGATTGCCACCTATGAGGCCAATCCGGATGGATGTTACAGTCTTATTCGAGCTGGGAAGATTATTGAGATGGTTGGCATCGAATACGGCACAGCTGAGCAGGAAGTTGTACAAACAATTATGCAACTCGGACATGCTAGGGTGTCGGATCTGTTACAAGCATTCGAGGGTAGAGATGGGCAGGGCATCAATGGCGAATATGCGACCAACGGTCATGTCAATGGCAATGGCTCCAGGCCGAAGACCAACGGACATTCCATGGCGCATTCGTCTCATGAGTTGCACGGCATTCTGAGCCGGTTGATTGCGGCCGAAATCGTCGACCAGGTTGGTCCCAAAACATTCAGAAACCCTGAAGACGTCTACCGCGAAATCGAAGAGGAGGTCACGAAAACGGCCCCTGGCGAGCGAACGACAGCGCGGAACAAAGAACTCATGCAGCAAGAGGTTGCAAAAAGACTGCGGGAGGCTCGCGATGAGAGCAAGAAATTGAAGCGTCAAGTTGGACGAGGCGGCATGGTTCCAACGAAGCGGAGGAAGCTCGCAAACGGCAACAGACAGCGACAGTCTTCGGACTGGGATGATGATGTCCCAGAGCTCGATGTAAGTTGTCGCCTGCAAGTTATGAAGAGCCCATTCAGCTGACAGGAGCACAGTCACATATTGTTCTCAGAGTCAATACTGAGAAATGCCTTGTCGAACTGCGCAACCAACGACTCGCCCAGTATGCGGCTGATGCTTTCGGAGAAGTGACCGGACAGGTATATCACACAGCCTTGCGGCTGCTAACGCAGCAGATACCCCGCTGTCAGCTGGATCCAAGAATCGACTCCGATGCGAATGACGGTGACGGCCCAGGCCCAAATGTACGCCAGCCTACTGTTACTAGCATGGAAATTCTCGAAAACCTTGATGAGTCTGTCGATGTCTCCCACGGAGTTGGCAAGGCCTCAGCAGACCAGATCGATCACCGAAGCGCTGAGAAGATCAGAGCTGCACCTGGGCAACCCATGTACGATTCTGATGATTCTTTCGACGAAGGCCCGTCGGTACCGAGGGCATCTGCCCGTTCCCAGGCAAACGGTGCAAGAGGCCGCGAATCTGACGATACCGAAGATGACGAGCCGCGAACGGTGTCTGGGTCTCGGGAAGCAAAGGTCAAATTCGAGGACGGCCCTGCACCGAGTGCTAGTCGTATGGATCAAGTACGACAACATCTGCTCCTACTGTCGGAAAGCAGACAGGGTTTCTTACGACATTGTGGTGGGCAGGGTCGAGGCCAATGGACCGTTGACTTCAAGCCGTTGATCGAAGGGTTCAAACAGACTGAGGTGGATGCCGTCATCGAGCAGTCGTTTGGTCGGCATGGACTCCGTCTGACGAGAATATTGCGAGAAAAGGGCAAATTGGACGAGAAGATGCTCCCTTCTCTTGCCCTTATGAAGAAGGGAGAGGTTCAAGGCAAGATGCTTGCTATGCAGATGGCCGGCTTCGTTGATGTTCAGGAGGTTCCAAGAGATGCTAGTCGAACAGCAACACGGACCATGTTCTTCTGGTTCTTCGACATTGAGAGAATCGAAGCCCAACTCGTCGACGATTTCTACAAAACCATGCTTCGATGCCTTCAGAACTTGGAGGTGCACCGGTATCGGGAACGCAACATCCTGTCATTTGTGGAGAGAAACGATGTGAAGGGTAAGGAGGAAGAAGTCATGACTTCGGAGCACTACAACAAGTACAGCAGATATTTGGAGTTGCAGAGTAAGCTTCTCGGTCACGTCATGAGACTTGATGACCTGGTAGCCGTCTTCAGGGACTATTAGATGGAAGCGTGCGCTCACCAGCGACCCCTTGGTTCCCGACACACATTACGGATGCTGCGAGCTTACCATGGAGTGTTTGGGCTTGAGCTGGCAGAGTAAGATCTCTGAAGGGTCAAAATTGGGAAGGGAGAGCAGATGATAGATACCCAACGAAATCAAGATTAACACGCCATCTATTGTTTATGGCGCCTCAGTATCACGCTCGACATCTGTGCAACTTGAGTGGTTGGATGCTCTAATCATTCCAGGATCGAGTATTGAAGGTTCAAAATGCATTCCTTTTGCGTTTTCCGCGTGTCGATTGAGAGCCGGATCCAACCTCGATCGGCCGGCGGTTGCTACGGTCGGAGCTCACGCACCGGTCGGTATTGGCTGTGCTTCGGCGGACGAACCCCTGCTGTGCTCTTCCCCACTTCCCGATCCTCGGCGGCGCTAGGGGGGCCCTGTCTTTGCAGGGCCAGCGATTAAGCTGCGAGTTCGGGCAGAAGTGGTTGAGTAAAAATTTCCAGCTGTCAGTCTCCAAAAACTTTGAATCACTCCTCTCTCTACGTACTCGTCGAACGCTTCGTGTGATATCCGTGCCCCCGACCCTGACGACAGACCGACCTCCGGAGACCGCCCATTCTCTTGATCAATCGGAAACTCGGTTTTCAATCCCTTTCGTCTTTCCAAACGCAAATTCACATTCAAGATGTCTCCGCCTGTTGGTTCTGGAAAGGAGAGGGAGTCGAACACTGCGCGACTCCTGGGCTCCGGTACGCATTGCGCCAGATCTCCCATGGCGCACGAAGCTCGGCGCGCTGACTCTTTGCAGGCTCCGCTGGTATCGCCGAATTGGCCGTCTTCCACCCCGTGAGTCTTGCGACAAGCTGCGTTGATTTGGATGTTGGAGGAGGAGCTGACGGAAGGCTTTAGGTTGACACCATTGCGAAACGATTGATGAGCAACCAGACCAAGGTACGTCCGACCATGCAAAAGACTTTTTAGAAGCTCCGGCGACATGACGCACGCAAGAGACGGCTGACACGTGTTCAAACATTCTAGATCGCCGGCATCGACCAGCTCAACCAGGTTATCTTTAAGGACAAGGCCACCGCGCCCGCCGGCCGCAAGTTCTTCTCCCTCTTCCCCGGTTTGGGCTACGCCGCCGGCTACAAGGTCCTCCAGAGAGTATACAAGTACGGCGGTCAGCCCGTTGCGAGGGACTTCTTGGCCAAGAACTACGGCGAGGACTTTGAGCGCGCTTTCGGCAAGAAGACTGGCAAGGCCATCATGCACTCCACTGCCGGCAGGTGAGTCAAGATTCCATGAACAAAACAGCTGGACAGGGATTGTTGCTGACGTGCAGAACAACAGTTTGATCGGTATCGGAGAAATTGTCCTCCTTCCCCTGGATGTCCTCAAGATTAAGAGACAGACCAACCCCGAGGCCTTCCGCGGCCGTGGTGTCTTCAGAATCGTCGCCGACGAGGGCTTCGGTCTGTACAGAGGATGGGGCTGGACTGCCGCCCGTAACGCTCCTGGTTCCTTCGCTGTAAGCGCTTTTGTCTTTTCCAGTCTTAACTTCGACATAACTAATTCTGGATACACAGCTGTTCGGTGGTTCCGCTTTCACGAAAGAGTACCTCTTCAAGCTTGATGACTACAACAAGGCCTCGTGGTTCCAGAACTTTATCGCCTCCATCGCCGGTGCCTCCGCCTCCCTCCTCGTCTCCGCTCCCCTCGACGTCATCAAGACCCGTATTCAGAACCGTAACTTCGAGAACCCCGAGAGCGGCTTCAGGATCATTTCCAACATGATGAAGAACGAGGGTGCCGGTGCTTTCTTCAAGGGCCTTGTCCCCAAGGTTAGACCCTTTAAACCCCGCCCCTCTAGCTTCCTCGACACTAGCTGACACAATCCCCCTTAGCTGTTGATGACTGGTCCCAAGCTGGTCTTCTCCTTCTGGCTTGCACAGACGCTCATTCCTGCGTTCGACGGTATGCTCAAATAAATCATCAAAAAAGAGCCTAGATTATAAAGGCTTTGGCGTTGGGTTGATAGACATGGAGTCTTGGGAGCTGAGCCTGATAGACGGTTGGGTATTGCGAAGACTCGACGAAAGGGTTCTAGAAAAAGATAAGAAGCAAGGCGTTTCGCCGGTTACTCTAAAAAAGAAGGTGGCTCGGGGCCCCAGATAATGTACAACAACGTAGGATCCATTCTGATGAGACAAATCACCTCTGTTTTTAAATACACATACATACAAATTCACGGAGCTCCCAGTAGCGAAACGGGCCCTGGTACGGAGTGAGTTCTGACTCTGCCCTGCTAGCAATACGGCGGCACCGCTTCCTGCAAAACGTTGCTGGATCCCAAGCACAGAAAAGTCGGGGTCTTAAAGTTACCCCAGGGCTGTTGAGGGAAGTAGTACGATATGTTTCCGAGCGAGAATGGGTTACGAAGGTGTGAGAATATCTTCAATGGGTGAAGTAGCCTTCATTCTAGCTGGACGCTCTAGAATTCCTTGGTAAATGTTAGATATCTTTTCATGAGTTCGTAATCAAGCGGTTTCATCGCTTTCATTGCCACCTGGAAGTCGAATTACTCCGGAGGCCAGACCGTGGCTGCCATTCAACACCAAAGATCCTAGGTACGGGCGAGACACGAACACTTTGGGCCAAACCATACAAGCATTGTTCAGTCCGCGACATAGCAAAAGTCCCTGTACTTGTTTCCTTACCCGTGCTATTCTGTGCTGCTTTGTTTCCGTTACGTACTGATGTCGCTTCGATGCAGTCTCGTCAATCTCAAGCAATCTATCGTTGATGCCAGTGTCTAAACTCCCGTTCTGAATCCATATCCTCTTTGACGGTGTCCTAGACGTTGCTTCCAGAGGTTTCAGTATCGGCAGGAACCGATTGGTTGGCTTCATCCGTCCTCTCGCCATTTCCATTTCCAAAGAATCTGTAGTTGTAAACGCTTTCTTTTAGATCAAACCAGTCGGACTTCCGGTCCGCAACCTTTACGAACCCAGCACGTTCGGTCTCAGCCCAGAGATTAAAGACAAGTTGCACAGACGTGCTGTTTCCCGGATTTCTACTATACTTCGCTTTGCTGATGCGGAGGCCTTCAAGTATGTACCGCGGTGGACGTATAGCTGAAAATTCTATCGGTCCCCAAGACCATGGTCTCACCGGGTATCTTTGGTCGAGTGTGCTCCTGTCCATTGATATGCTGACTTCCTCTGGCGTAGATTGATGCAACTCAGTTGCCTGGCTATGGTCCCTCGCTTCACAAGCGGTCACTGACATTATGAAGCCTCTGACACGGGAGGCCTGGCTGCTGCCTGCTGAAGTGATTCTGAGCAATTGATCCGGACGGAAGGGCGTTAGAACACAACTGCATATGCAGGTCAAAGTGCTCCAATCTTCATATATAACAAGTTCGCCGTGCGGTTTTCTGAGTCCTATGACTTGCACGGCAATGTCGATGCTGACTGGACTTCCGTCGAATGATCTGAGCGTACCATGATGGGTGATATCCCCTGAAAGAGACAACCCTTTACGCGCCCAATTGATTGAGGACTGTAAATGACTGGAATCTAGCTCAGGAAGTTCTATGGTGTCGGCTTCGGAGCCAGTCTCGAAGAAGGCATCGAGCTCGAAGTAGAAGCCTGGGCTGTCTTCGAATGCCATTCTGGTCATGCCTACTGCCAGGGGTAGAATCTGATTACCCGACCTTCGGCTTAATGTCCGGTGTTCTGGCAGTTTGACACTATTAGCACCAAACGCTGATTTCATCTGCTCGATTGTATGTTTGAGTGGGACCACGCGACCATGTCCAAGTACATCAAAGCCAACTAGATACCCGTATACTTCGTATGTTTTCCTGTCGATAATGATTGAGCCGCATTCGCCGGGCAGGATGCCTGTGACTACTGTTAGATAAAACCCGTTTTCGGAGCATAGGCGATCGCAACAAACCGTCATTAGTGTTAAATACCACGTTCCAGACCTCGCATAGTTCTTGTCCAGGGCGAGACCCTAGATAGCTTGATCTGCCTAGCAGTATCCCTTCTTTGAGGTTGCATATGCCCGACACCATAAGGATCTGATTGGCATGGCTCGGAGGATTGGTGGCCACAGTTCGCAACAGGCTTGGAGATGGTCGATGAATGTAGTTACACCGTTTTGGTCCAAGGATCTCGTCATCCATACTGAGGCACGTCCAGTCCAAAAAAGGGCTCGTTGCTGGCAACTTGTGGGAGGTGGTAACCCGCTCGACCAAGTCCCGAAGGCCAAGAAGCTCGGGAGCCTTGCCCTTGCTGGTTGGCCCCGCCGTTCTTGAGATTGTGATTGATTCATTGTCACGAATGACAGAAGTCTCGATCTTGCTTGAGTCTTCATTCTCAACTCCTTCTTTGGTACCGTCATCTTGGTCATCCCAGTATTCGTCGCTAGAGTCGTTATTCGTAGAGTCATCATCGCTGTCATTGATCCAGAAACGACCGATCTCAAGCTCGTCGAGACCATCATCACCGATTTCGCTTGTTGTTTCCACGTCATCTTCTAGGGTTTCTTTCCCAAATGCTTGGTTGAAGAGATGCTCAACAGTCATAAGGAGGTCCTTCCCGTCAATCTCCAACGTGAGCCCGATCGTTGCGACATGACCTTGGTATTCGACAAGAGCACCGCACATGGTTGATTGTGAGTTGTTGAATATTGCAGTGGCTGTTTCGCCAGCTACCCAAATTAATGGGTTTGTTTCTGAAGGTATGTAAACGAGCCTGAAAGGCGGTTTGGAAGGAGGAGGATCCTTAAACAACTGTAGCCAGCGAGAGCCTCTACGACAGAAGAGACGGCTGTTGGCGGTTTTGTCGAATAGAATCTTTAAAGGCTTGGCGTCAAACCTCTTGCATTTGATGAGAATGGAAGGGCTGGCTGTTTCTGGAGTTGCGCCTACCATCATCAAATCGTAGTCGATAAACCGAGCTCGGTCCCTGAGCTTGTCATGACCATCTACGGCCCTCTTAAGTTCACCAACTACATAGCCAAACCTCTCCTCATAATCTCTAGAAGACCAAATATCCGAGATTACTGGCATAAGGGGCCAAATTCTCTTGTTGGGCCTACCAGGCAAAGGTATGCTTCCGACACGGAATTCGTCAGGTACGCCTGGCTCGGAGGCGGGGCTGACGGCAATGTCATCATTATCACTGTTGTTTGCTGATATTCCCTCCCAATCTTGTTTCCCTTGTCCGCTTCGATCATTGCTTGGTCCCGATCCAGGGTGCTCTAGAGTGAAGGCGATATGAGGGAGAAGAGATTTTACGGCCACTGGTAATTGGTCCTCCACAGGACTGTGGCAAGCTGTGGAATTGGATGATGACTGCGGTCCAGGTATTGAGACATTCAACTTGGACCTGGATTGTTTCTTTGGAGGATGATTCTCGCTTGAATGAAGAACAGTCAGTATTAGTCTAATACAATGGGGGAAGTCTCACAACTCTGGACGGATTTGTACCGAAACGGTTTCCGTCTCCAAATTCGACTTTTTCGTTGGCCCATGTGTTTCTTGGCCCATTTTTACAGATTAACTTGATGAACTGAAGAAGTAAGGATGAATACAGGATCAGGCTGAGTGGAGATTGATCCAAGGAGCGCGGGTGACCTCGGGCGGCGCAGACCGAAACACACGTCACTTTCGGCTTATCATGCACGTTTAGAAGAGCTGCGAAAATGATTGGACTCGCCTATCCGTCGGGCATGAGCTATCAACCTCAAGCAAGTCCGGTATTGCATCACTCGTGCTTCCTCATACCATTGCGGTTGCTCTTTCGCAAAAAGCAAGACTACGCCTGGCCACTTTCCTCAGTCTTCGATTTTACCAATACAATAGGACCATCTGACAAGGGGAAAATGACCAAACCCAGATTCAAGGGGAAGAGCGATCTTACCCGCCATCTTTACGGCAAAGATGCCAGCCTCCCTGCTTTCTCTGCTCTATACAATGACCTGTTGCATAAAGACGACGACTTCGTCGTCAACCTCAACCCAAGTGACTCGATATCAGACATAGATGTAATGCTTGCAGTAGACCTCCTCAGGGACGATTCTTCATTGACCAGAGAAGGTGTCGCGTGCAAAATCGAAGAGGCCTTTGCAAAGAAACAACACCATGCCAAGATCGAAAGTCTGATCAACCTCACCGTACAAGTCATGGTCATGGTCGACTGTGCCGCCAAGGAGCGGCACTCAACAGGCTTCGCCGTCGGCGGATACCGACCAATCTCGTGGCTCCAGAGGGAGACCTTTCTCGAGTTCGTCACTCGGTCGTTCCCGGCGAACCTCGACCCGGCCGCGACGGATAGGGCTGAGGCTGCCGTTGACGAGAAGGCGGCGCTGAAAGCATGGAAGCTACAGAAGCGGCTCGGCGTGCGGTTTCGTGGAACCCACAACCTCTCCGAGCATCTGCTGCTGGACCCCAGGAGTAACTGCCTCTACCTCTTCCACCACGCCGGGTTCCTCAAGGCACAGCTGAACAGAGCTCGGGACCAGGGCCAGTCGCTGAATCACGGCATGAGCGACAGCCTTCAGAGGTGAGCACCACGCCCTCCAACCAGGCCTTTGAGCTGCCGATTGACACCGGAGAAAAGGGGCACGTTGCCGCCCCAGCTCCTCGTGGAGACGCTGCACTCACTCCAGTCCATCCTCTTTCCCTCCATCGACCAAAAGTCGGCAGAGGTCCTCGACGACCTGACCAACAAGCGCGTCGGTGGCTTCGACCACGAGTGCACCGAGTACGAGGGTTACAAGATCTTCCAAGACCCCCCGGAAGACTTTAGGTACGTCTACTGGGGAGAAAGACTCGCCCTTCTGCACGACATGGTCATGAGCCGGCCCCCGAGGAACAAGCTGGAGCGATGGCTGCATCGGCAGAGCAACGAGGGGAACGCGCTCTTCATCGCTCTCGTGGCTCTCCTCATATCCATCCTCGTGGGCATCGTCAGCATCGGCCTCGCGGCCGTGCAGATATGGATCGCCTGGATGGCGTGGAAGTACCCGACACCAGGCTCTCCAGGGTAGAGCCGCCAACGACACATGGCGCGTGGGCTTTAGTCACAATAATGACCGGTGGGCTCGTCTCGTAATGGTGTAGGTAGGAACACCTAATACGCAACCGTTGACCGTTGACTCTGCGTCGGGATACCCAGCCAAGGAGCTCACCTCGACCTACAGGTCATCCGCACGCAGCCCGGCAACCCGTTGGTGCAGTGTCCGAGTCAGAAAATCTGACCAGCACATTTTGACAGACGTTTAGCATAGACATGAGCACAGAAGACACCCAAACCAATTCGCATAGCTGGCAATCACAGAAGAGAACAGATGACGTTTGGTAGAAAAAAAAGTTCTTTCTTTATCATGGCTGATCTCAATGATGTTGGTAATCGTTGGTAGTAGGCACATGGTTTATGTACAAACACAGTCTAACGATAAAAGAAACACTCCCCCTTAAACAAGACACGCAAAAAGGACTCCAGGACGCTAGTGGTACAATGACCCATCGCGCCCTCGTTCTGCAACGCTTCTCTTGATCCAAACTCGACATCCTTGTTTTTCCACACCCATGTCAAAAAACACTGAAAAGAAAAGACACTCTCTGTTGCGCTCTCAACCTTTACCTTTACCTTTATCGTCCAGCCTGAGAGGCCCTTCGACACCGAGAAGAAAAGTTGCCGCCTTCTATATATGCAAAAATACCATCTAAGCGTGTTGATTCTCGTGTGCTTGAGTCCCGTTTCAATCATCCTGGTTGACCGGAGCGTATCTACCACTGCCGCTACTGCTCGGGTCTCGTGTGCGGCCGACAACTCTGGACACCCACCCACTAATGGTGCTGCTCGCCTCGCCGTCCTGATCCTTGCCATCGGGAATGTCAGGTGGGTCCAGTGACAGGCCGGGGATGGCGCTGTTGGCAGTGAAGTTACCCGGTCGCCCCCGGTAGTCAATTGATCCGATGGGAGATCCGGCACGCATGAGCGAATCGTTCTCGGCGGCATGGACTGACGGCGTTCCGATGGCGGTGCTGGCGTCTCCGAAAAGCGAGTCCATCTCTTCGAGACGGACTCCGCAAGTTTCGGGGTAGATGAAGTACACTAAAGAGCATGTCAGCCAGGGGGGGTCCACACCCTGAATATGGGGAGAGCAACTTACCAACAACAAAACTGACTGCGCAGAAGAAGGCGTGCACAAGATACAGCCGCCACTTGATCCATTCCTGCAGAATAGGCGTCATCTCTCCGACAAGCCAGTTGAACGCCCAGTTGGTCGCTGTGGACAGACTGGCACCCTTGGAGCGAACGCTCAGGGGCAGAATCTCCGGGGGGTAGAGCCAGGGGATCGGTCCCCATGAGTATCCGAACGCGGCGTTGTAGATCATGACAAAGATGACGACCAGAGTTGGCGTGTATTTGATGTCGAGGTAGATCCAGTACGAGATCAACGACAGCGAAACTGACATGATGATAGCACCACTCAGCAGGATTGGGCGCCGGCCCCACCTGTCAACCAAATACCACGGGGGGATGGTCGACAACAGGTACGTGATTCCGTTGATACCGGTCATGAGCACGGCATCGTGGCCAACCCAGCCCGCAGACTCAAAAACGTACGGGGCATAGTAGCTGATGACGTTGATGCCATTGAGCTGGGCAAGACCCTGGGCCGACATGGCAATGAAGACGCGGGTCTTGTACTTGCGGAACATCTCGGCGTAGGACCGCTCGCCTTCTTGTCGCTGGAGGAGCACGTTCATCTTGATGTCGCGGTACTCGTCCCTGGCCTTGGGGTTGTGGATGTCACCCTTTCCGTACAAGTTGGCAATAACGACAATACCCTCCTCGTCGTGATCGTTGTCCAAAAGCCATCTAGTCACAGGTCAGGATTGCACATAATGTCACACACTTGGAAGGACAAACCTTGGAGACTCGACAATCACCAGACTGCCGGCAGCGAGAAGAGCTCCCATCACACACTGCATCAGGAGAGGAATACGCCATGACATGTCACTCTTGATGAAGCCGCAGAAGTAATCGACCCAGACCGAGGTGGCATAGCCAATAATGTTGCCAGAGAACTCGATGCAGGCAAGCTTTCCACGGTTGTGCGGGGGGGAGATCTCGGACTGGTAGACCGGGACGATGGTGGACAAGGCACCAACGCCCAGACCAGCGATGATTCTGCCGAGCATCATCATGGGCATGCCATTGGCAAACGTCTGCAAGGCACCGCCAACGAAGAAGATCATGGAGCCGTATAGAATAGTCTTGCGTCGACCGATGATATCTCCCACCTTGCCAACAATCAGGGACGAGATGAAGGCACCGACTTCGAGGATGGCAACCATGGTACCGATCTCGGCCGTGGAGGGCTGGTGGAAGTAGGCCCGGAAGTAAACGCCCCTGTAGCATCCGGGCGGTCAGTGGTGATGTTGCCGAGGAGGGGGGGAGGGGATCAGCGGCTCGCATAGGGGTGAACGTACGTGATGATGCCCGACATGACACCTTGGTCATATCCGAAGAGGAATACGCCCAACGATACGAAGATACTCGTAAAGTAACTGCGGGATTGAAGTCAGCCAACCAGATGCGTGGCGAGGAGGGGTTTCTCGAGAGGGCGGGACGCACATCAGGGCGCGGCCAGTGAGGCCGTGAACAGAAGAGCCGCCCGACATGACGAGGCCGATGACTCGCTGCGCGCGAGTCGGACGGGGTTGAGCGATGTCTGGGACCTCGATGGCCTCCTTATTAATGGCTCCACGACGGCTCGGTGAGGTATCGCGATGTTCGGGAGAGAGCTGAATGCGAACACGCTTTTTCTTGGAAGGCTTGCTGTGGGAGGAATGCCTTTTGTGGACGCCGGCTAGCAGCTCGTCTTCAACGTCGCTGGCGAGCTGGATGCGGAGGGGGTCTTCCTCGTCGGCAAGCTGCTCGGCGATGTCGCCAGTGTCGGTCCAAGAATCGGACTCGGAGCCGATAGAATCCTCAGATGATCGGTGGCCGTGACGGTGGTCCTTGTCGTGGTTGTAGTCGTGATGGTGGTTGTTGTGGCTGCTGGTGTGGGAGGAGTTTTGGTCACGGTGGTTGTGGTGGTGGTCGTCCCGATCAGATGCAAGCAATGACGTCGCCTGCTCGTGCCGGTCTGGGTGTGGACGGGACTGCAGGGTCCGCAGGGGGATATTGGACGGAAGACGTCTGCCGTTTGAGGAGGGAATCTTGGGCGGTAATGGGGCTGATTAGCAGCAGCACCCTTCCGCTCTAAGAGGAATTGAAAAGGTTGGGGGTGGGAAGGGTAAAAGAATGTTTAAGAGACGACGCCTGGCGGAGACAGCGAGTCGAGTCGTGTCGAGCGGGCGAGCGAGTGAGAGGGAAGAGTCGAGAGGTGACGGATCAATCAGGGTCTGGCGGCGAGCAGGCCGAATTGGCATGGGGTAAGGTACAGCGCTTCTGTAGCTAGCTAGGTAGTGCCGTGGACAACCCGGGCAGCGCACAGAGGGAGAGGGAGAGGGAGTGAGCGAGACGGTAAGCTGCGGGCGGGCGGGCTGGGCTGGGCGTGGACGGACCACTGGGGAGGGGGGGAAGGATGGTTCTGGGAGGAAAGGGGCGGCTGCTATTGGTGCTGGATGGGAGGGGGAAGGGGGGGGGAGGAGAGCCTGGAGACGACAACAGCGGTGGATTGGACAGGGCTGGGCTGGGCTGGGCTGGTAGGTGGAAGGGAAGGCCAGGCAAAGCGACGCGGGCGGCGCGAGTCCGGCTTGGTTGGGGGTGGATGCTATCGATGCAACCTGCTGCACAGTGACACACTGTCTTCCCGGGAAGCCTGCGAACGAGCAAGGAAACGGCTTGGTTGTGGCCCACTACGCTTGCTGCACCACTGTGGGGATACGATGCGCCGACCGGTGCAAGAGTGCGTCAGAGGCACTGTAGCTGGTCTGGCTCTGGTGCTGGATTGAAAGCTGCTGATGAACCGTTCTTTTCAGCGGCTCCAAGCAGGAATCTAGATTCCAACCTACTCTCCCTCTATTGATGCTGCTTGGGGCTCAACGAGAGACAAGAGGAAGAAGACCGGGGCAATGAAAGCATGTATTGGAGCACGACAGGCTTTGGGGGGTCTGCCGATACCGATACCAAGCAGATGACCAAGATGCCAACCTCTTCTCCGTCTCCTCGATGCAAGGTGCAGCTGGTGAGGGCACAAGCGGTAGCGCAGTCCACCTGATGAGGCCTTACGCAACGGTGCAGGAAACGATGGATGGAGAAAATACAGAGGCGACTTTGAGGAGACACCGTTTTCCCTCAATGTACCTTGGGGTAGGATGAGGACAGCGTCTAACGGGTTTGAGGCAATGTGTCCAAGTAGCGCAGATCCACGCAGCACTCAACGTTTTGCCTTGGCACACACGAGAGAATCGGCTGGGGTCCCGTTTTCGACAACGGCCGACAGTCGTAGCAGCAGCAGATAGCGCGCGTGGTAGGGTGGGAAAAAAACCGATGACGATGCAGGAAGGGGGCTGGCTGCTAGTATCCGTAAGGCGGCGCAATGGGGGTGTATCGCCTGGGCGGTACAGACAACGTCAAGAATAGAACAGATGATGCTGGGTAGGAGGGCAATAGTAGACAGGGCATAAAACGTGCGAGCGTCAACCAGCGGTCATGTGGTCGAACATCCGAGTCGTGGTCGTTGTTGCGCCGAACAAATAAAGGAGTGTCAGGTGGTCTGGATGGTTTGCCGGGCTGCGGTTTGAGAGATGAGAGAGAGAGAGAGAAAGAGGGTTGATGGGTTGGAGGTGGTTGAGCTTGTGAGCCTCCTCCGGGGACAGCACGAGACCTCCTTTTCTTCGGCTGGGCGAGGGAAAAACCACAGCATACCACATTGCTGCTCTTCCTGCCCCCCCCCCCCCCCCCTCCTTCCCTTTCCCCTGAAATGAGGATTATCCGAGCCTGTCGCAGGGGTTTACACTTCTAGAGGGGAGCCAAGGGAAGAGATCTGGGACCTCGCCGACGGGACGGCCTATCCAATGCGATTGC